GAATTTAGGTGTAACAGTAATATACCACAATTTGCAGCTTGTTCTTGACTGGAAAACATTGTTTGTGCTACCTTGAGTCAAATTGCTTCATAAACTTGGCTTTTTGTCAGTTTCACTCTTCTAACTCTTGCTTGAAACGCCGGAAACGCGCTCAACATAAATGAAGTCCAAATGGAAATGATTACAGGGCTTAGTGTTCTTTGGCTAATAGAGATGATAGCGTGAGGTAAGGTGTGGGCTTTGAAAATGTGTAATTTTGCTATACGATAGTATTGGTTTACTTAAAATTAAATTCAAGTAATGTCATGCTAAAGATCTAAAAAAAAAAAATTTTAAATTAGCTATGTTTTTATGGTTTGTCCAAAACTGAGAAAAAAAAAACGGTTAAATTGGGTTCTAAAAAACAAAAACAAACATAACATTTAATTAACCTAAACTATAAATGTGATGTAGATCAGTTCGTGTAGCTGACAGGCAAAAAGACTTGAAATTTGTTTAATTATATAGATTTCTTACCCTAAGTTCCCCCCAGGTAACTCTCCCTAATAACTTGATTATGGAGTGCAAGTACTTGTTCTTGGTCTGGCTGCGCTTCAGTGGTTTTAGCGCCCCCATGTTGAAAACCCGGGGCCTGGGAAGCAGAAGCACCTGATCGCGGGTCTCGCTGCACTTGCTCTCGTTCCTAAAAAAAATATAAATATATATAGCGACAGACACGGGGAACCCTTCAGAGTTGGGCACGCAAATTGAAGAATAATAATTACATGCATAGAAGTCGACTCTCATATGTATACGTACAGCTAAGTATGCTGAAGAGGGTATAGTTGAACGATCTTCACGGTTGACAGAGCTTTCCCACAGCCAATTGAGGATTGTAACTGACACTGCTGCAATTTGGCGAATGGTAGATACTTTGTAGATACCTGACAGATTCTTCTCCCCAGTTCCCCATAATTTTAGCTCATTAGCAAAGCGCTCTAGCAAAGTAACCAGCCAGCAGAGAGATAGATTCAAATCCAGTCGCTAATGTGCGAGTACTCGTCGTGGTTCTTATTCAAAGCTCTCTAAGCAGGTCTCTTTCCATCCATTCACCATTCCACAATTAAGCATTAAGGCGAAATTAGATTAATGGTAGGCCCACATTGGGCAAGGTAAGCCCCCCTCGTCTCTTGGGGCTTTATCTAGTTCCTGTCCCAACACGCAAGCGCAGACAGATAGGCCCCAAAAGATGTGTTTAGATGGAGTTCTAAGCTAAATTTAGTAGAACGTCGCTTGCGGCAGTGCCAGCATGATCATTATTCTCCAAGACTAATGACTTGCTTGCTTAGGCCCAAGCCCAAAGCTTAATAGTACAATGTCAAACAGATGCTAGAGATACAGACTCCAAAGCAAAGATAGATGTACTTTGTGGCTTAAATACAAGTAAGTGTCCGTAAAAAAAATAAATTATTTTACCACTAAACCATAGAAAAAAACGAAAAACTTTTTTTTTTTTTGTAATATAACTATAAGAGTATTACATTTTCAAAGCCTTGTTTAATTATCTACCAAACTAATGGTTGAACATAACACATCGTTTAAAAAACTTTCATCGAAAGTTTGCCTTTAAGCTTAGTAGCTCATTGGTTATGGGTGGGAAAATTTAAACCAACGCAATGTGAACTGCTTTTTCATAGAACTTGTTCTTTTTTACCACTCAATAAAAAATAAGCTAACGGTACGAGTTTAGGCCCTCAGCGCTATAAGACACATTTTGTATGTCACAAGTATCCATGACAATTGCAGTATGAATGAAGCGCTTTGTCTTCGAGTGCCGACAAAGGCAAAAAAAAAGGCAAACAAGTGAAAAACCAGAAAAGAGGGAAATGTTGTTGTCTTTGCCGGCACATTAAGTAATGTGATCTATGCAACCTCATCCGCAAGATACAATCTCGAGAGTGTGTATCTTGCGGCTGTGCATATCTGCATATCGAATGCATTTCTTTGTTGGGCCCCTGAACCACCGAAAGTGCGTTGTTTATTTTTTGTTTTTCTGTAACCAGCTCATTTGCATATGGTCCGCGTTTCTTTAGCGGACCTACAATATGAATGATGAAATGAGAACTTGAAGGATGGTTCTGGTGGCCAATTAAAGCCTCTTCAACGAATCGCAAATGTAACGTGCCAAAGTTGTTAAGCCCGCCGAACCGAAAATTGCAGCCCAATTGTTTTTGCCTTGCCAAGCGGAACGCGAAATTAAAGTGACTTTGAAGCGAGCTGAAGTCTAGGACTGAATCGTGGGGGATGTCCACTTGCCAGCGATGCTCAGGGTTCAAAGTTCACCACAACATATATGTGTATCTATCACTGTCAACTTGAGGTTGTATCTTAAAGTCTCTCTCTCTGCATCTTCTACTCCATTTCAGAGCTGTAAACGAAGACTGCCGAGTTTCCCATCATGGACACCGGAAGTGTGGTTAGTGAACCGATTTCCGCGCATCATCGCGCCTTCGCCAAACAGAAGTCCGCCTCCATGGTAAGTTCCCTCGATTGCAGGAAAAAAAACATATGCACCCATGGGCTTATTGTGTAAGACCTAACATAATTAATGCAACATCCATTGGGGGCGAACCGCCCTGGCCCGCCCCTATTGTCTGATTCGATTATGTAAGTGCGCGAATACTATTTACGCTAATTAGATATTGACACGCACAGGCCCGACAAGCATCAGGCATTAGCATTAGCCATAAGCCATAAGCTGCAAGCACTCACCCCAGATACTTTGCATCGCTACACGCTAGAAAGTTGTCGAAAACGAAATTCGCGAATGGGCAAACATAAGTTTAGATACAGATACAAACGAACAAATACCAGATAAAAACAAAGACATTAACTTAAGTCGAAGGGTTATTACCCTTTAAGAGCCATGTGACTTTTGGGGAACATTTTTCAAAACTATTAATAAACTAAGGAGGTTGCTCTTAAATAAGATTTATCTGTTAAAACTAAGATTTCTTGTTTTCACTACTTATAATATGGTAAAAATTCATTGTTTAGAGCTATATTTATTTCGATTAATTGGCTGTACATTTTTTTCAATTTCTCAAACTCAGCAACGTAACATTATTTTTTCTGTGTACTACAACCACTTCATAAAATGGCTCTTAACACTCTTCAACGCTTTAATCCAAATAAATGCATATTAATAAAGCGTTGAAAACAACATAAAACATGAAAATGTAAAAGCTCAAAACAAATTTCAACAATTAATTGCAAATCCATTTGAATGCATTTTTAAGCAACACTTTCGCGCAGCCCACAATGCAGAGTCATTCAAGCAGTTGCATTCAAACGATTGGTAGTTCGAGTATCCAAATCTTTTTAACAAATATTATGTGTGAAATATTGCATTGCCAAGCTGGGAATTTACGTATGCATTTATTTTTTATGTGGGGGAAGTGAGTGGAATAGATAAGTGTGAGAAAAGTGAAATTACAATTCAATAGACTCGGAGAATTCCACATGTGCTTTGAATTTCCTAAAGTTGATAATAAAAGCGCAATGTCGAGTAATATTGCAATTTTTTCTTCCGAAATGGAAGAAAGTCACTTTGGCAGTAATGAGGATGGAAATGAGGTGCTTACGACCCCACTAATCTTTAACATTCGGCCATTTGGGCCTTTTGTGGGTATATAATATTTCTAAAGATACTCACATGATGGCTGCTTGGCAAATTAGTAGAAAGAAGTCAGACAACACAATGGAACTTTCTCTCGCAGCGAAATGATTGAAACCAAAAGTGAGTGACGAATATGTTTTGTTTGGGCTAAAAATCAAAGCATCAGCATCGATGCGAATCATTAACTGACAGGTGTTTAGTCATGGTTTTTTTTGGGCGGGAAGCGCATCAGTGGTAAAAGCAAGTATAAATAGGCCCAGTAAATTGGCCATAACCAAAAGGCTGCACAAACAACTCCCCCCCGAAATGTGAAGTAATCACAGGCAGAGCGAAACGAAATCGATATCTTTTCTTTCCCTATGCAATGACCCTACGAAGTCCGCACCCCGAAGTCGATCTGCATTTCATACTACCCTTCTCCTAGCGCCAGATTTCCTCACTTACTTCACCATCTACGGTCAATTAATTCCTTCCACAAAATTACACCAATTACTCAACGCGAATGCTAAATAGATTTTCAGACCGAGCTGTTAATGAATGAAATTCAACTCATAAGATATGCAAATTTATTTATGATCTGAGCGAAAAGTCAAGAAATTTTATAACGAAATCCGGTGAATGAAAAAGTTCTCACGTTCACCCCGTGTAGTGGACAATGTCCGGTCTTCTTATTAATTTTGTAAAAATTTCTCAACAACTGCAACTTCCTTGAGGTGGTAGGAAAAAATAAGGTAGGGGTTGCTTGCGAAGGGGTGCAGCAAGGAAGCCTAAAATGCGTTCAGAAGGTGGTTGTTGCAGTTTTTAAGGGTCACATAAGTAAATGCAGCTGAGACAAAACTTTGTAACGGCTTTTGGTTCTTATGTGTTTAGAAGTGTTTTTTCAGATCTTCAAAAATATATTGAAATGTAACAGAAATGCAACCCTGAAAGTACTTCTTTTGTGTAATTTTCCTGTAGCTAACATTTTGAAATGAAAATATGCCAGTGTTGATTAAATTATAGTAGAACTAAAAGGAAATTACAGTTCTCTTTATAGATCTCACAAATCAACTTATTTAATTTAATACTATTTCTTTTTTCTTCTACACTGACAAATAGAATGCGGTTCATGCAATTAATAGATATAGTAGAGAAAAAATATTCAATCTAATACTTCAAATGAATGCTCATCCAAAGGCATTTGAAATATCCCAAATATACACCTGTATTGACATTGAAACAATTATTTTGCTAATCACGTAGTCCAGTCTTGTTCAAAGTTCGAAGAGCTTTTGCTACGTCAAAGCAACAGGTTCCCCAAAAGCTTATAGACGAAGCTCCACGCAACACACCCTAATTCAACTCAGTAAAACTCAACACTTCAGCTGATGTGCCGCTGAAATTTTCTGTGTTCACCAAAATTTGGTTTATTATTGTGTAAATGGTCCCCAATTATTGAATGCTTGTTTACAAATTCCGGTTCGCGAGTGATATGCTCTACCTCTGATCAAGTGTAATATTTGTGATAATCGAAAGACTGTAATCGCAACAACAAAAAGTGCTCAATTATCAGTAATTTAATAAATTAGGAACTTTATCAGATGCCATAAGCCAGCTCAATACTGATTAACTATTTATAAGTAAGCCCACAAAAAAATTATCAAGTGAAACGTTAAGGGGGTAAATAGAAATCTAAACGAACCAAACAATTACACCCGAAGTCGGGCGATTAGAAACGAACCTCAAATAGATAGAAATACCAGCACAAAATGCGAGTACTTGGCTCCAGTATGCTGTTAGCCCTCAAACGGCTCTCAACGAGAAAACCCCCAACCTTGGTCAGTAATATCCGATCGCTGAGCTCTTTTGGAACCATGAGCCTACCGGAACGTCAGCCCTTCTCTCCAGATTTCTTCTTCCGTCAAGTATGTAATTAGCTACTCTATTATGAAATGCGATTTTCATAACATTCTACACAGCTTTTTGATGGCGAAAGTAGCACGTATAGTTACCTTTTGGCGGATCTGAAGAATGGAGAGGCTGTGATCATTGATCCTGTGCTGGAACAGGCTAAACGAGATGCCCAGTTGGTCAAAGATCTGGGTTTTCAGCTAAAGTATGCCAGTAAGTCATAGCAATCTCTGTTTACCGATGAATAGATAATTTCATCATGACACCATCGTATTTCCTAGTCAACACCCATATGCATGCGGATCACATAACGGGCAGCGGTTGGTTGAGGAAGTTGACGGGTTGTCAGTCCGTGATTGCGGCCGCCAGTGGAGCAAAAGCGGATCGTCACTTAAAGGAGGGAGATCGCATTGATTTTGGGACGCATGTAATAGATACTTTGGCCACACCGGGACACACAAATGGCTGCATGAGCTATGTGATCAAGGATCAGGCTTGTATCTTCACCGGGGACACTCTCCTTATACGAGGTTGTGGACGCACCGATTTCCAGGAGGGCTGTCCACGTAACCTCTATGACAATGTGCATAGCAAGATCTTCACTCTTCCTGAGAACTTTCGCATTTATCCTGCACATGACTACAAGTGAGTGGTGAATGGAAATATGTTAGGTTTATCTCTAATGTCTGCCAATTCCAGAGGTCAAATGGAAAGCAGTGTTTGGGAGGAGAAGCGCTATAACCCTAGACTGACTAAGGATATCGAGGAGTTTGTCAAAATCATGGACACCCTAAATTTGCCTTATCCCAAGAAAATAGGTGGGAGTAAAGGAAAATCTAGTTTTACCTTCCTTACTAAGACATATAACTTTCAGATGCCTCGCTGCCCGCCAATCGGGAATGTGGAGTGTACGATATACCCAAGGAGTAAACCTAACACCTGGAGCATATATGATAATGTTTCTAAGAGATTTGTAATCTTTAAAATAAATATACGTATATTTCTTATCAAAATCAACAAAATGTCTTACTTTAACTTAACTCCCTGACTTTGTTCTGCTTAATAAGATAAACTCACTTCTTTGTTTGCTTCTTTTGTTACAGACCATTCTCAATCCGAAGGGTTGTGGCAGTGCCGTCAAGTACAGTCTGCACTCGAATGCAGAGACGAACCAGGAGACTGCCAGTACCACCACCACCACAAGCCACTGTTCCACAACTGGAAGAAGGCGAAAGGGTGGTTCCCTGGGTGGTACGCTCTCCTCGCGATCCACGCGCAGTGAATCCAAGGAACTGCGATCGGCTCTTCAAGATCGGGAGGCTGTCATCCAAAATCTGCGCATTCAGCTATGTCTGGGCAAATTGCCACGCCCCACGGGCCCACCTTTGGATGATACCGAAAAGCCGGCGGCTGAGCAAAAACTAAACAGACTGAAAACGGAGGCGGAAAATAAGCGAATTAAGATCAAGAATCTGAAGAGTGCTCTTGAAAAGCTGGACATCACAGAGTGAGTAGCATAATAATATGAAAAGGAAACAGCTAGTTAATTATCATTTAATTTTACCCACAGCAATATAGACATTCGCATACGGCAAGCCGAATTGGAGTATGCACTTGGCAGAGAAGAGCTCCAGATGCTTTCGATTGTTGAGGAGGCTCGTGCTTTGCAGGCCAGGCTGGAGAAATCCAAGCCCGAGGCCCAGACGCTATACAATATTATTAGTTCTGGCGTCACACTGAGTCTACATGCCGTACATGCCACCTCTGGAAGATGGGCAGCTCAACAGAGAACCGATCAACCGGGATACTACGTAGAATGGGCTTTAGAGGGCGATGGTTTGTACAAAGGCGATCGCATCTTAGAGATCAATGGTCGTCTGGTCACCGGAAAATCCAAAGAAGAACTGCAGAAACAAGTGGGAAACTCTGGCAAGTGCCAGATGGTGGTGCTGCGCAAGAAGTCCGTACCCATACCACAAAAGCAACTGGATCAGGAAAAGGAGAACAACATGAGGCTGCAGCATCGCATTTCGTACCTGGAAGAGCAGGTGCGGGAGCTCCAAACGGTGAAGGATCATAATCCTACCCAGCAGCAGCAGCAGCAGCAGCAGCATCCACATCAGCAGGCATCCTCCAATCAATCTCAACATGTGACCAGCATTAGTATATCCTCACCACCTTCAACGCCACCTGAAAAGCCACTGATCTTTCAGCGGGGCAACTATATAACCACTTTGGTGGGTGGCAAGCCCATCGAGCTGATGGGCGACGACTTAGCCTCCACTCAAACTCCGCCTGGTCATGTGACCAAAACGCTGATCAAGGAGAACACCCACATCGATTTCAGGGATCGTCTGCCGCACATGTACTCCATGCCCTCCAAATCGCTGTCCGCCTCGAAGATCTCGATAAATAGCGATTCCGCCTATATGCAGCACCATCGACGGGAGAAGGAACGTCATCGTCAGCACCGGGAACGCCCAAGAGATTCTCTCCAGCAACAGCAGCAACTGCATCGCGAACACCTCATGACCACGCATGCGCGCAGTGTGGAGCATCTTAATCATTATAATGGGTAGGTCTTCAGTTTGGGTTGAAGAGCAATCGCAGAGCTATTTTAACTTTTATAAAATCAATCTTTCAAGTTCCTTTAATAGAGTTACTAATCCTAAAATGATAAGTGTTGCACAAAAAAAAGATAATTTGTAGATAAAACTCTCACAAATTATAGTTATTCAATACTTTAAAAATATTTTAAATCAACTTGGTGGATTTAGTAAAATTAATAGATAAATTTAAATTTTGAGCATTTCTTAGGCGGGATGATGTCTATCATAAATATAATTACAACCTACCTAACCTTTTCCATTTTCCTCATTCTAGACTTGATCGCCGCCGTGACACGCCCCGTCAAAGTGAGACGCACACCCTGAAGCCCCGCCTCCCAAGCGATATGAGAAGTGTAAAATCCTTGGATTTCGATAGCGAAAACGAATCGAAACCCGCTACAGAGACGCGAAATGCTCGACCCACTCCGCCCAAGAAGCCGCTGCGACTGTCCCTGCAACGAGCCCAAAGTCTGCAGACCGTAGAACTTCATCCCTGTACGGATCTGGAAAGAAAGCGACCCATGAAAAGGGTTCACCACAACAATAACAACAACAAGGGTGGTGGAGGATCACCAACGGATGGGGGTCAGACAATGCTCATCGAGAACTGCGCTCCCATGCACACAGCCTCACTGGGCAGACACAAGCTGATCTAGGGATCGAAATCCAACCAAACTTAGTGTAAATCAAAGTAGCTTAACCCTCGACCGTCACCAGCTGACGATTGGACCCAAAAAACAGGCGGACATGTGCAAAATTATACTTAAATATACAAATAAATAAACAAAACCCCAAATGGGTTGTAGTAGTAGCTTAATTTTAGTAGTGTACTTACATTCTATAACAATAAGTAGGGCTTGGCTATCATCTTATAGTATTAGTAAAACCAATAATAGAAAGTTTTTTGTATGTATGATGATTTTATTAGCACAATTTATCAATGTGAATACACGAATATTTTTACCTAATTATGTGTTTATTTGGAAAACTGGATCTTAGCCTGCTGGAAAGGCAAAAAAAACTTGGTATCTATCCTTTTTTAAAGACATTTACAGTAGTGGTTTATTATTTATTTATTTATGTCATCGGAAAAGATTTAAATTTCTATCCAATAAATGTGAAGAAGAATTTTGTATTGTTGAAAGGATATTGAAATGGGACAACGGCTTTCAAAATAAGGTAAGGACCAAGAAGGTCTTTTAAAAGGTCTTTTAAAAGTTTGGCATATCCAAAGTTATTTCATAACGTTAAGATGATTAACTCCTAAACTATTTTTTACGTAAGGTCTGCCAATATTTTAAACCTTTATTGTAGGCACGAGCCTGGCACACATTTTGGGTCGCTACAGTGATAAGGTATTCAAATGAAAAGCACGTTAGCGTGTCTGCGCAGCACTTTTAGTAATTTCAAAGAATTTGCATTGTACGAAAATGATTACTCAATATATTGTGTTTATAGTTTAACTAATCAGTGAATAGGTCTATATATATATTTTATTGGAATTCTTAAAAATAGGTAAAATTGATCAATCTTTAGTTGATTAAGAGTTAAAGAGGGAGAGAGAGAGAGAGTAAGCTCGAGATAAACCCAAGAGCGGATCTCTCTCCCACGCGATCGTGCTGACCACCCACTGCAATTTCCGCCGCTCTACCAGGTAGCGCTCTCCACTCTCCGGTCTTCATTCTCCGATCTCCGCTCTCCCCAAATCTCCCCCAATATTCTCGCGGCGAGGCGATTTGCGATGGCAATGCCAATGGCTCGAAACAGATTCGTCGCAGTTCTCCAACGGTACGGAGGTGCAACCGCTTAATTCGCGCAAAAACCGAAAACAATCACTACCCAATTATTAAATAGTTGCTAACAAGGTGAGTGCGCAATTGGCAGGCAACAAAAGAAAAAGAATACCAAGGGCTAGAAATCGGGAGTAATGGGTGAAGGTTAAGCTGAAGTTGAAATTCTGTAATTAAAACGTTTTCATTATTTATTTGCTTGCCGACTCATTAGAACCAGATTTAGACTTATTACCTGGAATTGCTTATTACCAAAAACAAAAACCAGTTACCGCAAAACGCAGTTTATTTCACATATTTTTGGTTCTCTCTTTCGGCAGCGTTCGTTGTCCGCTTGCCCTTGAGTGGGTTAAGGTAACCAGTTATAAATCCCTAAGTGTGAGTGGGTTAAGCTGCACTTGAGACCAAAAATATTGTGTATAATAAATATAATACATATCCATTGCAGTCCACACATTCCACTGTTTTACAGTCTTACACTTCAATGAAAGTCTCTTGCCTGAAATGTTTGTCGAACAAGTGTTTACAATTTACTATCTTTCCATTTATGGAAATTTATGTCTCATTCTTATCTCAAAACTGCATAGTTTGAGCGTTTAAATTAGAAGCCAACTCACTGATTGAGAAATAATGTAATCTTTGCCCTATTGTTTGCAAATTCATGATGGGCTTAATGATCGTAATGTATAGATAAGGTGTGTTTCATTAGCATAACATTCCACGGGGAGTATTTCGAGTCAATTGCATCTGAAACTCAACCTCTGTTATTATTTTCAAATCAATCATATTCAATCAGCAAGCCAACGCAATAGTAACGCTCATTTGATGGACAAACGATGGCGATTAGTTGCAATTTGAGACCCATTTCGTGACAGTTTGAACCAGAATAAATAAACAGGTCCCAAAAAAATACTTATAGTCCCACAATCATATTTCCAGTTACTCAGATAGGGCCGAAATTTAGTCGCTCAACGAGCGTGAGAATCGTAAATTATGGAACCCAATTCAAGTGCAGATAAGGATACGTGTAGAGCAGGTACTGACCGCATTTGAAGATCGCCTCGGAACATGAGTTTGCAAGACTGCCAGCATATCGATAAGGACTAGGGAAACCGGACCAATATACAATTATTACCCCGATAAACAGTGACACCCATACATTTCATTCATGGGACATCATTTGAAGCAAAGTGCGTACGAAAAAGAGATTGTTGATTGACCTTCCCGCAGCCACACTTAACCCTGTGAAAAAGGCTGTTTGCATTTAGTTTCGTTTGGGTATCGTTTATTCACACACATAAATAATACCCGTTCGCAGTTCGCACATCATATATGACCCACAAATCGTTTAATAAATTGAGGCTAGGCGCTTCAATTCCGCACACAACTGTCCGCTTTTAATGGAATCAAGTGATTGTGCACCTGATGACGTCCAAGCCAGAGATGAGCTTGAATCACAAAATTTTGGGGATCAAAAATATATACAATATATTTAAAAAAGTTTTTTTGACATTTTAAGATTGGCGCTTAAACAGTTTCGACAATCAATTAAAATAGTAAGTAATATATTGAATGAATAATGGTAGAATATTCTTCATAGAACAGGATCTTTTTGCAATTACTTACATGATTTCAAAGTTGATATTGTTTTTTTGTCTTTGCTTTTATATATCTATTGTATGCATGTCTAAAATTGACAATAAAAATGTCACGTTTAACAGATAACATCTCTAGTTTCTAGCTGTGATTTTTATTATGTTTTGTGGCACTGAATCTAATAAAAATATTTATTTATAGCTATTTACCCTTATCCAATTGTACACGTGTCTTATTTAATAATGATTTCTTTACAGACTCATAATGATGCAATATCTTGTGGTGACCCTGGCACTTTGTGCCACGATCTCTTCTGCCGCTCAGACGGTAAGTTCAATGAGAATTCTTAAGATTGTTAATTAATAAGTTTATTTTATATTTACTCTTCAGCGTAATATGCCCATTCAGGCTATAGCTTATCTGGTCGGACCTGTGCAATCGGATAATACTCAGGTCAAGGGCAATGTGACTTTTACGCAGAACGATTGTGGCCAGAATGTCCATGTGCGCGTCCAGTTGGAAGGATTAAAGGAGGGCAAACATGGCTTCCACATCCACGAGAAGGGAGATCTCACCAACGGATGCCTCAGCATGGGTGCCCACTACAATCCCGATAAGGTGGGTCCTTTATCCTTTAAAACTATTTGCATGAAATGATAACATTGTCTCCGAATTCATGATTTAATTATTCTCAGTAGATGACGGATCATTGATCTTCTTTTATGGTTGTGATAATATGTGATTAGACTTGTTTACTAATAACTAACTTATAAAATTAGTATATGATTATAATTTTATTTTTTTTTATTTGCAGGTCGATCATGGTGGTCCCGATCACGAGGTGCGTCACGTTGGCGATCTGGGCAACCTGGAGGCCAACTCCTCGGGCATTATCGACGTCACCTACACGGATCCCGTGATTACTTTAACTGGCAAAATGGCCGTTATTGGCAGAGGATGTGTTGTCCACGAACTGGAGGATGATCTTGGCCTGGGCAATCACACGGATTCCAAGAAGACTGGCAATGCAGGTGGCCGCATTGGTAAGATATCGGTGTTGTCAATTTAGCAAAATCATATACATAATAAAAATTTATTTTTTACAGCCTGCGGTGTCATTGGTATCAAGTAAATATCCCTTCCACTGCGACAGCCAAAACTGTATGCTGCTCGAATATTTTATGTGTAGTTGTGTAACTCCAGGCCCAGTAACTAATGAAATGTTTTCCTAGTTTCCAATTCCACCCACAATCACACACCCTCTCACACATTTTGGCTTTCACATTTTGCTCAATTAACTGTCTCAGTTCACTGACTCACTCGATTTACCCTTCATGCTGTCCTGTCGTGTGTTTGTGTGTAATAAAATCAACAAAAATTAACCGAAATCTAAGCTAAACATTAGCGTACTATGTATGTGCCACTTGTGTTCCACCAACTCATTCATGGCCTAAACAAACTGCCTCACTTTCCTGGGGTTGGTTGAGTGGTAGGTAGGTATGACAAAGGGTTTTCTTACCAATCCATTCGTACTAACATCATTAACATTAGTGGGCAGCACAACAAAAAGAGGGATATTGGAATAACAACAACGAAATGGAATCGGAATCGGAAGGTTTCTAATCCAGAGCTAAGGGTTCAATCATCTCTGTGAACTTACATTGTGTGTTTTCCAGTGCCCCACCTGTATCTGCACCTGCACCTGCACCACCACAACCACCAAAACGTCATCAGCCACTGTACTATGTGCCCCATGGGGAGCCACAAGATCATGTTGTCTATCCACTACAGCGCTATCCCTCGTACCCACTGCCATACCTACACCCATACCCATATCCGCACCCATATCCGCACCCATATCCCTATCCGTATCCGTTTTCGCACCAATCTGTGTACCTGTGAGATCGCGAGAGTACTACTACTACCTGTTCGCCTGTTCCACCTCTAATTGCAGCTCGGATGTGGACGAATGGCCATGTCGCGATGGTGGCGCCGGCGCCCTCCGCTATTCCCTCTCCATCCTGACCGTCATCGTAGCAATCTTCATGGCTCGAAGCCTCAACTAACCCACTGTACCCTGGAATTGGATCGAATGAGCATGTGGCATGGGACTATTGACCATCGTAGAGATCCGCATCCCCACTTACACCACTAATCACAACAACCATTAGTCACACCACACACACACACCACACCCACAAAAGTAATTATAATACTCCAGCAACAACAGCATTATCCACCCGAAAAGTGACTTTGAGGAACTAACTAAGCTACTTATACTATGTTTGAGTTGATTGATAATAAAGTTTGTTAATTGTACTTTGTGTTTTGTACGTGCTGAGATTGTAACAAAATTGTTGAAGATCAAAACTTGTTAGATAAGGTTTACCTATAACTCAATAGAGAGATTAGACAAGAAGACCTAAGTTTCTTGTTCAAATAGCAAAAGCTTAATTCATTAATGGTAAAATATAATAAGGTACATGGATTTTCTAAGGGAGTTTAAATCTTAATTGAAATTTGATAAGATTTAACAAACTATACAAATTATATTATAAACAACATTTGAGAAGAAAGAAGTTATTATCTTATCATAGTGTTTCAAAAAGAAATTTCTACATTTTTTATGGCCTATAAATTAAGCAACATTTCAATTAAATTTGTAATTTGTATAAAATTTGTTTGTATTCATATAAATTTTCTAAACATAAGCTATTTGTTCCATCTGAATAGGCCAACAACTGAATTAGCACCTTTATTTAACAGGAAAACTATAAATAGAATGGTTCTATCCAAGAAACAGAAATCATAAAAAATAACCAATAACGTCACCAATGCCTTTATTATTCCTTACGTACCCACTTTCTTATTCAAGTAATTGGGGCATACAACTTTCCCTGTGACTTACGGAATTCCAGCTTAGAGCCACAATTTTCTTTAAATTGCGGAAACCTTCAGCAAATGTTTGCCCTCCAATCATTCAAAGAACTGCAGTTTCAGGTGATTCGTGGGCCCCCAACTTATAATGGTCAAGCAACAGCTTTTGCTTTTATTTTAGCGAGATTTCTGTGACCAGATATGGCCAAGACCAAGTCAAAAGAATGGGTCACCCAGCGAGATTCCGGTAACTTGGAACCATAATTCCCGACACGCGACATTAACATCATCCAAAAGACTGTGTGGCATACTTCTGGGCGTCTTTAATTATTTCGCACAGTCCCTCAGAATTTCGTTCTGTTTCTCGAAGAGTGAAAGCATTTACAACTTTCTTTCGCCTTCGCACGACAACACGCAATTAATTTCGCCTTGGGCCCGGTCGAATTCCAAGTGCTAAGTGCTGAACTTTAAAGGGAAACAAAAAAAAAACACCAGACGTGGACGTCCACCTAAATTTGTATGGTAATAAGTGCAATGACCCAGCCGGACCCAACTGGAGGTGTAGCACCACCGGTGGGTGCAGTGAGGTAAGCTCCGGGCGACCCACATAACGCCACCAAAAACGCCCCGCCTTTTGCCTTGGTCAAAGTTCTTTGGTATCGAATGTTGAATCAACGAAATGGGTTATGGGGCATAAAAGCAGTAGGCAGGCACTGCTACCTATCCCTATTCCGATTCCCGTGCCTAATCATGCCTGGCCTGAATTCGAATCGGGCCTCCAAGACTTTCACTGGCTTTCACTTTTGCCCCACCCCAGGCCATAATCCCCGGGTCCGTTGCCAGCACCAACCCGGAAAGTGGCCACAACAGACCCAGGGGGTTTCTAAAGCCCGGCCGGACAGGCATTGCGGTCAGTTCGTGGCTCAACTTCAGTCCGGCCAGTCGCATCGGGCGATCTCTGCCTTTATCTCCCACCAAAGCGGTTCTAATTTTGGACTTAACTTAAATTAAAATAAATTCGGAAACTGCCCAATTAAATAAATCAAAATGCGTTCGTGCGGTCCGAGTTTAATTAAATATGTCCTCTTTGCTTTCAACGTTTTGTTTGCGGTAAGTGAAGAATATACCAGCTAAAAGATTTCCTTTTTTCTCTGAAAAAATGATTCAGTAAAAGCAAAAGGACAACGATTTATAAACTTTAAAGTGGTTCTGACACTACATACGATTTTGAAAAGTTTTAAGAACCTTTTAATCGGAATAAACATATACGGATTTTGTAAACTTACCAAATTCAAATATTTGTAATCAACATATCTGGGATGGAGTTCGCCAAGGATACCATATTTTTGTTTAATTAAATACTCGAGGATTTGGTAGATTATATTTTGTAAGCCAGAGTAATAATACTTTTTAAAGATTTAGCTAAAAATAATCGAGTTAACCACTTAACACTTTTAATAAGACCTAAAACTGATTTATATTGTATTTATTAGTTAAATTTATTAATAAAGAATCATGTCAACATAATAATTTTACCACATATCATCGTTAGATATCATGAAAATCTTCTTTCGATTTTTTTTTGGGATTTTTTTTTTAAGCCCAGGTACTCCAAATAGTGAAAATATACAGTTAAACTCTAATACAGGACCTGCCAGAAAACTTTTGCAATTATATTTTTACAAATTCAATTGGATTATCCAACGTGACTAGATTTCCCCAGCAATTTCGATTTAATTCGCCATAATTAGCGTCACTTTAAGCACCACAATTAGACTATTACACAACGAGTCTTGTTAAGGTGGCTCATTTAGATAAGTATCGCTGGAAAATGGCATTCTCGCTCGCCATCGACTGGTAAATCCGCCGCATCGGAAAACGCGATTTGCTTGTAACGACATACAAGTGATGTGTGCGTGCTCCAGGTCGCAATCAAAATCCAAAGGACATGGACATCGGGTGTCCTTCGCATTGACCAACTGAGTAGAGCCAGCAGGCGACTTTCAATGACGCCATGGACTTAAACATGGAAATTCCATTGACTAAGTCGTGGGCGATTTATATCGTTTAATTAGAATTGGAAATGTAAATACAAATGCCAACTCGAATTAGGACTTGATTGGAAGCCATTAACTTAATTGCTTTGCGGATATTTGATTAATCAGAGGGATCTTGTTTCTTACAGATCTCTGGCCTGGGAATTCTTATAGCTGGTGCCGTTGTGTTGGCCGATGTGAATGAGTTCAATCACTTTGTGGAGGGACGAGTTTTGGGTCCACCAATTGTCCTTATTGTCACGGGATTGATCATATTCGTGATCGCTTCGCTGGGATGTTTTGGAGCAATCAAGGAGTCACCAACGCTTTTAATAACAGTAAGTCCACTAAACAGTCAACAATATGATGATATAATGTCATAATTTATTTAACTATCCTAAACAGTTTGCTGTCCTTCTGGCCGTCATCTTCATTGTGGAACTAGCTGTGGGAATCGCAGCCAGTGTTTTCAAGAAGGATCTGGAGTCGATGGTGAAGAACTCGCTGCAGGAGTCAATCAAGCGTTCGAATAGCGAGGACACCATGGCCTGGGACAACATTCAGCAGAAGCTGATGTGCTGTGGCGTTGATTCTCCGGCGGATTGGAGGACACTCAGCGCGAACAAGACCCTTCCGGGCAGCTGTTGTCAGCCGCAGTTCATCGACACCACCGTGGGACATTGTCTGGACTCACCGGCTCTGGGCAAGGATAAGTACTTCCAGGATGGCTGCGTCGGCAAGCTGAGGAATCGGATCGAAAAGAACGCCACCATCCTGATCGGTGTGGGCATCGGCATTGCCTTCATCCAGATTTTGGGCATCATACTGGCCTGCTACCTGGCCAATTCCATTCGACGGGAGAGGGCCAAGTAAGCCACATCGTATCTATGTTTCATTGATTACTATTTTAATTGATGTAGTGGAAATTATTTTAACGTTAGAACTTGCTCAATCTACATTACCCCCAAAAAAAAAAAAAAAAAACAGAAAAGCTATACGAAAAAAACGCAACAATTCTTATCAGATTAAATCATCATTACATGACTTTATGTTTCTAAAGTTTACTAAAAAGTTTTTTTATAGTTCCAGTTCTATATTCCTTCTTTAAAAAAAAAAAATGAAATGAAATGATATGAATATGAATTTATGCGAATTTCAATTTATATTTTCTATCTCCGAAGTTTTCTACAAAATTCTTTCTATAGTACGCATATTTCAACATCGTATTCAAGACCCTCTATCATCCATTTCTTTATAATGAATCTATTCTCTTTTAATCTATCCATCTATATTACTACGTTTTCTATTACGACCATATTGCTAAATTTAATTTTCCATTATGATAAATTGTTGCTTTGTATTATCGAATAAACATAATCCATTTGTGTTAACCATTTCGTTGTATTGCTCAATAAAAATATATCTTTACAAACGAATGTTTTTGTTGGTGTCTTTCTAGTACTCTTTATTGTTAAAGATCTACAATCTGATGCTGTTGCGATTATTGGCCAGGCTCAGCGTCCACTTAAGCTTGAGTCCCGCCATAAAGTACATACAGATTTTTATGGGGGATTCTACGGTTTTTGGGGGTACCATCTAGAACTACAGGTGGACGCCGGTATGGTGTCTCAGCTGGGTGCGATTGCGGTTTAACGAGTGCTCGACTACTGCTACATCCTCTAGGGGCAAATGCAATTTAATGGTCGGGTTCCATAGCGCTGGAACTTGATTTCTATTCTCGACTTCGTCCTATTTGCTCTGAAGCAGCGCTTCCGAGAGTCGTTCAATGGCCGTGACTGCTGGCTTACGGCCCTCCTTTTCGCCGGACTCCAGGATGGCGGCGGCAGCTGCTGCCTCGGCCGCTTCCGCCTCCTCGAGGACGCGGGCCTCCTCCTGTTCCCTTTGCTTCTGGAAGTGCCTGAACTCCGTGGGCGTGAGCATGCCCCTCAGCACGGTTTCATAGCTCACACTGACGCCCTTGGCGCCCATCTTCTGATGCAACTTCCAGCACTCGCGCTCCTTTAAGCTGCGCACATATGCCGGATAGTTGTGATCCGGCTGCTGTTGGGTCTGATCCTCACAGTTGGCCGCATTGTTGTTGTTCTCCTTCTTGGCCTCATCCGGTGACAGGGTAGCGGCGGGCATCTCAGCACCCCCATCCCTTTTCGGAGGCTGCTCCATTTTGGCCTGGACTTCGGTCAGGAAAATGGAGACGGGCGGCGCTGTCGGCGGTCGATTGGCGCGTATACGGGCGGCCAGAGGTGCTATCGAGCCACGGCGTATCATGTGCGAGTACTCCTTGGAGGCCAGTTGGAAGGTGGGCGGATAGCTGTCTTGAAACGAGACTGCCAGAAAGCTTTAGTTCGGTTTCAAAGGGTTTTAAAGTGCATTGTAGTTACGAAAGGGTCATAACACCAAGCTCTCCAGCGAAAACTGATAGTATAATAAATAATCTAAAAAAAAGTACAACCTGTTTTCTTTTCTCTCAAATAAAAAATTATAATTTACGTTACGTAATATATTTTAATATTTATTTATATATTAGTATCTCGCAAACAAATAAACCGTGAAAAATATTAGGTAAACCACATTTTGAGATTATACAAATTGTGAGCCATGCTTTCTAAAGCTTAGAAATAATCTTTAGAGAGTTAAATGCCCTTTGTAGGGTGTCTAAAAACAAATGACAAATATTATTTGATTAGCCACAGAAATCACTAGGGTTTTGAAATCACTTTAAAAGGGGGGTAGCTCTAAAAAGCTTAACGTCTTCTTTCGAAATAAATCCTAAGGACCTCTAGATTTAACACAAAAAGTGTAGCATACTTTTATACATACTTTATAAATAGATTTTATATATTATTCTTCGGGCAACCAAAATACTAATTTCAAAAAGATAATTGCAAAATATATAGACGCAGATCTATAGACTTACCCGATTTGCCCGTCTTCCTCAGCAGCGGCGCCCTTCGCTGCGCGGCTCCCGAAGGCGGTTTGTCGGGACCGTTGGAGGGTGGCGACGATACCGCCGTGGAACTGTTGTCCTCCCGCTCGGAGTCGCTGCCCTCGGAACTCAGCAGGGAGACCAGGGTAATGACATCGGGGGCAACCACGCTGCGTGCCCGGTTCAGCGATTTTTTCGACGCATTTCCATTGCCGGCGGAGGCAGAGGCAGTGGTATCGCCGATGACATCTAGGGGCACAGATACCCCGGACGAGGGTGTTCTGGTAAAGATCTTGCGGCGACGCAGCTTCTGCTGGCTGCGCTTACTGGCGGCAATAACGCCCTTGCTGCTCTCGTCCAATCCGCGGACCGGAGCGGACATAGCACGCACCAGGGGCGGACGCCTCTGGATGGTCAATGCCGGCGAGATGCTCAGCGGGATGTCCGGCGGAGTCTCCACCACCGGATGACTGCCTTCGATGTCGCTAGTGTGGTCCGCTTCCGCTTCCGGTTCCACGTCCTGTTCCTGTTCCCTCTCGTTGGTAGCCCTTATCGTCTGCGACAGGACTATATTCAAATTAATCCGATTCTTGTCCGCCTTGGCGCTGCTGCAAATGGATAACAAGAACTAATGCAACTCCACAGTTGTTATTTGGGTAAATGAGAAAACGAAATGGAAATGAAAATGAAAATGGAAATGGAAATGGAAAGTCTCGAGTGACCTACTCCCGCCATCCGGCTAAATTTAAATCAAATTATTTGGCATTAGTTGCGGGGCAATTTATGCTGTTCTCGATTCGGAATCATGCAAGGCACAGAAATAGAAATTAACTTGGGTGTTGGGTTTCGTCCACCGCCACACCAACCGTTTGAAAAAGGAAACCATGTCAATTACATTGGCAATTGGCGCCCGAAAAGCATTACCCGATGAAAGTGAGTCTACGAATCGGAGGGTCATTGAACCCCTTGCAGCAATCAGGCACTACTATTTGCGCCCAAGTTTTTCAGCTTTTCAGCTTTTCAGCTTTACAGCCAGCTCTATCTTGTCAGCGATTCCAGGCAATGATCGACTTAAGTGTGCCGATGGGTGGTGGCTGTTGTTTTGGCGGGGGAGGGGGGAGTCCCACTCGTTGCTACTCCTTTTCGAGCATGTCTAGCGTGTGTTATGCACTGGAACATAAAACTTTGACGTTTGATTCGGGCGTGAAGCATGCAAATTGCACACAAAACTTGACGCGACGCCCATTTCGAAAGTGACACTTTCGGCATATTTATATAGATGATATCAGGACAGTCATTACGATTGGAGCCATCGAGCTTATTACGTATACGTATCCGGTGAGTGGAAGCCAAGGGGCTGCGTACCCAAGGGGCTGCTACCAAGGTCAAACAAAGGCACTCACTCAAGGGTTTCCATAGGTGCGACAATCTACGAAATGTGGCTATTCAAATTCCATCTTAGCATTTTCGACGCTTCACAAAAAAAAGAGCTTAAAACCAACCTGCAAAGCACATCGTTCTTGTTCTATGGTTCTTAAACTTCATACTTTTTAGAACGATTGGGCATAATAACAATTATTAAAAACCCTTTTGTAAAATATTTTAAGACTTTTATAATTAAAAAACAAATTATATTTTACAAGTAAGCCACAAACTTATTTTACAGTATTATTTAAAATTTCAAATTTAATAGTAAAAACTATGAACTTTTAAGCATATTAGTTGTACGGAAATTAAAACAAAAATTTAAAATATCAACTTATTGGTAACATATAACCCAAAAATCTTTCTTTGTAAGGTGACTCAAGGAATTAAATAATATATTTATTTTTTAGCAAGCACATGAAGATATTTAGAAAACTCAGTCGAAAATCAACGGTTTTGAGATTATAAGAACACAAAACTCGTCAAAGTCAAAAAGTAGATAATAAAATTTTATGTAATGTTCTATTTCAATTTTTTTTATGTTTCATTTATATCTCTTTCGAAATCGTTAATTTCGAGTAAAGAATACATACGTTTTTGCTTCGGCAGGTTCAGTTTGAGTAGCCCTTTCCGGTTCCTGGTCATTGAGCAATGATGAAGTGGAGGACCAGGCCACCAGGCTCTTATCCCTCAGCCTTAAGCCCTGCACCTGTGAGGCGGTGATGCGGGGGGCAATCCTCGGAGTGACCTCCTCCACGGCCAGCGATGTCTGCCTGCCCACGGGATATAGCTTCTGCCGGATATTCTCGATGGATCTGCCCACGGAGAGTCCGCGGGAGAGGTAGCCCCTCTGTTGGGCCGAGAATCGGGCCGTCGGCTCGATGAAGGAGTGCTGTTTCCGTACGGACAGCGGCAATTGGTAGCGGCCACCGGATAGTGATGAGGAAGATGGGTTCGCGGTGGACGATGGAGCGTTCGTCGTCTGGAGGCGACGACGGCTGGCCACAGACAGCGACATGGTGACAGCCAGAGTATCCTTGATAACCTTGATTAGCAACGGTGACAATGACTGTGGTTACTGAAATGGATGGAGTGGGTCTTCAGGAGGCCGGCGTTGCAAGGAGGGTGCCTTACGATTCAATTGCCAATCAATGTGGCACATCGAATGCAAATCAATTACGAAGTCATTAAGCCCCGGAGGCAATAACTTTGTCAACAAAGCAGACGGACTGAAATGGAAACCCCATGCGAGAGCCCAACGAACCGCCAACCGCCAACCGTCACGAAAGCGAAAGGCACTTTTTGGGGATACAAATCCCTAGGCTGGCCGAGATCGAGGTGGCTTCCACGTCCACTTGGCTCGACTGCCTTGCACCGACTGCGTTTTGTGAATGAAGAATTTCGGACTCCGAACCGGAATCGGGTTTTTTTTTTTTTTTTTTTTTTTTGTTTTTGGGAGGAAGGTTCGTTTATGTTGCCAACAAACAATCAACAAAATCGCAACGTTGGCAAGGAGTCGCCTGTTATGCTGGCTCTCTTTAGAGTTTAGTTGTTTGTTCCATTTCCTGCTCACACCCACACGTCAGACAACCATCCACCGATCTACACTGAAAAGGATTTTGGTATGGAATTCAATTTGATTAATACCAAATAGACAACTTCATTATAACAAGTGAAATTTATCTCCAATTTGATGATTTGATTTATTAGAAGTGGTAAGGCACATCCTTAAAAAACATTTAATTGGCTTATAATTCTCAAAAGGTTCAAGCCACGAAATGATGTTCCTTAGAAAATGGTAACTGACGATAGGTAAATTTAAAAACCAATCGATTAGCTTTTTTTTACATTTTTAAATAGTTTTTATATGCCATTTCTTTTATCAGTGTCATCCACCTGCCAGCCCCGGATTTTCCCCACTTCCTCCGTGGACACGTGCAATTTCGGTGGGTCTGGCAAGTTTTCGACTGCGACTCAATGAACCCGCACGAACTTTTGTTTTCATTTGCGGGCGGTTCGCCATCCCGGCCACCCAATGCCTCGTAATCGAAAGGATTACAGCATTTTTGGCAATATGCAAATCCGGCCATGAATGAATGAATTTTGGCCAAATGAAGAGGTGGCGAGAGGAGAATTGCGTACAAGTCGCTCAATGTCGGCGGAATGTTAGATGCAAATTCAGTTGTCATAATATGGGTATGAGTATCTTCTCCGCTCCGGATGGGATGGCAAGTGAAAAACTTTCACATTTGTGACAATTTCAAATTCATCAAAGACATGCAAAGTTCGGTGGAAAAGTTCCGTGCGCGGTGGCAATCAAAGAAAAGTAACGAACATAACAGAACAGAAGCCCGGAGAGCGAGGCAAACACAAACACAAAATGGCATAAAAACAAAAAAAAAAAAATAAAATTAAAAGGAAAAAAAAAGAAAAGAAAGCAAAAGCAAATCAAGCCCACTTCAAGGTCACAGCCACATCAACCAAACATATGCCTGTTAGCCAAAGTATTTATACGAATGTATCCGAATTTCTGATTGCCAGCCAATAAAATGTACTTAAAACAAAGCTGAAAGGCCAATTCGGGGTGGATGGGCATTAATCATTTCCAGTCGGTAGTCAATATTTATGGCTTGACTTTGACGACGCGCTTTGTACCGATCGGACGGACAGGACTCCGGCTTTGGCATTTCACTTTTTCCCTTTCTTTTGGCTTGTGCTTGTGCTTGTGCTTGTGCTAGTGCAATTCAAAATCAATTACAATCGAAATGCCGTAAATATTAGACGGAGTCGCAACCAAATACGGAGCGGTACCAAAAGGGAAACATGTCAGACGAAAGCTTAGTTTAATTAGTAGAGGCGTCGGTACCCAATCACAGTGACTGGAACGGCCTGGACATAACTTTTCGGTGTACTGAGTCCAATTACATCAAATGAAATACACAAATACATACTGAAATTTAAATTAATTTATTAAATTAATTAAATAGAATTTAAGTTATGCAATAGCTGCAAGAGTATATACTTTCTATTGTTTTTTGAAGCACCGATTGTCTTTAGTTTTAAGTAAACACAATTTTTTTTTTTTATTTTTGTTATTATTTTATTTTTATTTATCATTTTTATATTTCATTTATATTACTCATCATCGCCTGCTTCACAAATGAATAAAGTTAACTGTTCACACGTTCTATCATACATTAGGTTATTAAACAAAACACAGTGATCGGTGGCCGTATTACTGGGTTCCCCTGAAGCCCACTTCAAAAAACTTGCTTTATTTCCAGAGGTCGAGGACATGTACACATCTTTGTCGCCCAAACTATTGATATCCAGCCAGTACTCAGTTGAGGTGGTAAGTTGTGCCTTAATGGCGTTCAACTCCGTTTCATTACTGATGCTCGCCAGGTGACCTCCCATCCGGCGACATAATTCTCCAGCAGCGAACCAATTAGCCTTGTGGTATTGCTCAATATAATAGAAGCCAGAGCCAATCTTCTCAAAGTTCTTTGGGATGTTCTTCTGAGATGTGCCCTGCGATGAAGCCAGGCTGGTTAGGATCTGGTGTTGGGCAGCCAATTGTTTTTCAATATTTTCCAGCCTTAACTCTGAGGCTTGACGATTGGAATCGTTCAAGTTGGATCCCAAACCTTGGCGGTAGAACATATGGTTCAGTACCGCTCTGAAACAAAATCCAGCACACTGGTTTGGATCTTCCACTTGCCATTCAGCGCCACTATTAAGCACCAAAAATCCATGTAGTAGCGCGTAAAAAAAAACAATTTTTGGTTTAATCATTATGAAGGCGTAACGAGCAATAAAAGAAGAACAGATCGAGTGATTTAGCTGGATCGAAAATACTGCCTTAAATACCCATATGAGAACGTTAGTATTTGTTGCTTCAACTTTGATAAGCAAGAGTACTCTCGACCCCTAGATAGACTTACTTCCTCTGCTAATGGTGCGTATCATCGTTTTTCTGATCAGTATATATGTACATATTTTATATGTTATATGTTATACATATGTTATATGTTATTTTATTTATATTAAAGCCATTTTTAAATGAGAGGTGACGGCAGCTGCCACTCATTACTCACCTGAGTTAACCGATATTTATACAAAAACTAGAGAACTAAGCATAATCAAATCTTATGCATTGGTTATTATATCAAAAGACATCCATTTATATTGAATGTAATTTAAATCGACAAAGCAAATCGACTTTGTATAATTGGATTTTAAAGATCCTTAACATAAAGGATAAGGGATGAAGAATTCATTTAGCTATTTTCTAGCTATCTTTGAACAGATAGTGGCCATCCCTGGTATTGGCCAGTGTGACCATCCACCACGATGGACTTCGGCAATTTTCTCGGCTGTCAAGTGACGTATGGTGCTGTCGTGGCGTTAGTTTCAGAGAGAAAGAAAGTCCCGAGTTGGATAGCCGCTAATTCGATTGATTCCTCAATAAAAGCCACCACAAAAACCCGACCAAGATGTCCCGTCAACTGTTTGCCATCTGCCTGTTCGCCGCCGTTTGTGCGTCCGGAGTCTATGGCAGCTGCAAGGCCACCGTGAGCTCCTTCAGCACCCAAGATGCCACGATTCTGACCCAACTGGCCCATGTGGGCGAGTTCACGCTGCAGTGCAGCGGATCAGCCCCCTCCAGCCTTTTCGCCGAGTTCCCCTGCGGCAAGGTGGTCCCAGTGGCCAAAGTCGGTGACGACAAGTACCAGGTGAGCACGTAATCCCCTCCAGACTTTGACCCGACTCTAATGCACAAACACCCCAAACACAGGTGAGCTGGGTGGAGGACATCAAGCAGGGCAGCAGCGGCAATGTCCAGGTGCGTCTCTTCGACGAGGATGGCTATGCCAATGTGCGCAAGGCACAGCGTGATGGCGACAAGGTTTCCTCGGTGAAATCCCTGCTGGACATCTCCGTGCCCACCAAGGGCGCCTACAAGGGACCCTGGATCAAGGCCGAGCTGCTGGCCGCCTTCCTGGTCGGCGGATTCGCCTACTTTGCCTTCACCACCAAGGGCAAGGTGCAGTCCTAAGGACGCGGATGCCTTCGTCATCGATTCCTTGAATGAAATTCATTCGCACTAAAATCATGTAGCATCAAATTGGCCAGGTCCCCCCCAGAGATTTTTCCACATTTTGTACACCTAAGTATCGGAACACCTGCGCCGCCCCAACATAAATAAACGGATCGAAAAAAAAACAAGAACAACCGTAGGAATCTATTTGAGATTAATTTAAGTTTAATTTAAGAGATAACTTGTACGAATACACGCTTAAATCTGCCCGGCGGAGGAGCAGGGCACCCCGTTCATGGTCGCCTCCTCGTCCGAGGAGATGTCGATCATGCTCTCCACGCGCGACGGCGACATCACATACACAAAGTGCTCCGTGGAGCCCTCGGGTCCGACTGGAGGCGGGAGTATGACCACGGAGCCATCCTGAGGCGGCGGTGGCGGAGTATCTATGCTACAGTACTTGAGATTCCCGGCTCCTCCACCACCGCCCGAATCATCCGGCGGCGGCGCTCCACCATTGCAGTCAAAATTCTCCAGCTCCAGCTCCAAATCACTGACAATCCTCATGCAACGCATCTTGGCCAGCGACTGGAACTTCATGGGCATGGCCCGCACCTGGCGGGCAAGGCTCAGGAAGAACAGCGTATTGGCGTCCAGTTCCCGGTTGGCCTGCAGCACGGCGGACACATCCCAATCGCTGGGGAAGCGCGGATCGCAAATCTTTCGCGTTTTAGCCGGCGACTGCGGCTGTTGCTGTTGCTGTTGCTGCTGCTGCTGTTGCTGTTGGATTTGAGGCATCTGTATCGTTTGCTGTTGTTGCATTTGCCCCGAGTTGCTTCCGCCGGAGCAGCTCAAATTGATGGCCGTGGTCTGGGGCGAAGGTTGCACCCTTCTCACCTTGGAGGCTGGTGGTGCAGGCGGTGGAGGTGGCGGCGTGGGATTGCCCAGGGGCAGATTGACACCCGAACAGCTACCATTCAGGCGATTGGCATTCTGCACTTGATTGGCCAGGTTCTGGAACAGTCCGAGTGGTGCTCCTGCTGCCGCAGCGGCTGTCAGCTCCTTCTTGAAGTTATCCGCCGCCGCAAAGAGATGCGGTTCGATGATTAGACAGCCAACATTGCTGTTCGGTCCACTGCCGGAGCTGCAGCCCGGCGGAGTGATCGTGGGTGGCAGCGGCAGTCCAGCGGCCACTGCCGCGGCCTTGAGCGTGGCCAGCGGAAACATCTGCTGGGCCAATCCGCCCACGCCCAGGCCCATGGGCAGATGATTGGCCAGCGAGGCCAGGGCATTTGCATTGGCCTTGCTCACAGCGGCGGCCGCTGAGGATGCGGGTGAGATGGGCAGGGGCAGGACTACGGCGGAATTGCAGCCACTGGTGGCCGGCGGAGTCAGCGAACTGAGCGGAGCCACTGCAGCGCAGTTGAGGCTTCCGGTGGCACTGCCATTGCTATTGCTATTGTGGATCTGAGGTCCTAGGGAGTTGGTAGTGGCTCCAGCGCCGCCCAAATTGCTGCCGGGGGAGATCATGTTAGGGGGCGTCGCCACGCCCAAACTGGTGGTCAGGGCGGGCGCCGAAGTACTGCTCAGAGCGGTCGTATAGGTATTAACCGTGTGCGTTCCTATGGACGAGCAACCCGCTGAGGCCGTGGCAATGGTGATCTTCAGTTCATCCTCGCCTCCATTGCTGGCCGCCTTGGCCAAAACTTGGTAGCCAAAATCACACTCCGTGTCGTCCTCGTCGTTGGATTTGCCATTGCCATTGGCGGAGTTTCTGGGTGGAAGTCAAAGATCAGTTGGTTTCGATTGTCGCAATGAGGAGGGTACTCACCTGCCCGGTCCCTGGAAAGGCTTTAGGAAGTCCATGTGATCCGCATGGGCCCAGTACTGGTACTTCTTGGATGTCTTTGTGCCCACGCGAAACGAACGCAGATACTTTGTATAGCTGTCCCTTAAATTTTTCCATTTCCGCTTGGAGGCCTCTGTAAAATGCATAAAAAATGGGAAGTTTAGATAGATACTTGAACTTATGATTTACCAAAAACTAAATAAACGTTGAATACATCTCAAAGGATTTTATTAAAAAAATAAATAATTATTAAAATGCCATATTTCATATGTAATTTTTAAATAATGTATCACACCTTTGTATTTTTTTAAAACCTGTCTTTGAATTTGTTGTTTAAATACTAAAGATATTATTATAACCATTATTCCATACTATTAAATATATAATTTAACTTTAGTTATTCATTCAATTATTTAATGATAAATATTTCATTTCATTTACTTCAGTTTAATATATTTGACTTTTTTAAATGCAGTGATCAAGTTAAATGTTTGTTATAAATATTCAGTTTTACTTTAAAACTTGATAACTAAAAAATTAACAACCAAATTCAAAATTTTCAATTAGTGTGACCGCCCTTAAAAAACAGGAAAATACATTTTTTAGGGACTACCGTCAAATACTACCACATTAACTCACAACAAGCCCTGGCATTTAATTCATTTCGTTTTCGGAAATCGAGTAAGCTTGTAGAAACGCATTTTAAAGATCTTTAACTGTGTGTGGCTTAATTGCAAAAAATAATCGTGCTGGTGATTAAAAAAGAACAACGAGTAAACAGAAAAACATTTACTTGCAGGTAAGTTATTTTTAATAAATATATTTTTAATAAATATAATTATTGTGATTCCCCGAATTGCAAGTGAGATGATAATCGTAAGCGACGTAATTGGCTGCAATGAAAGCGTTTATGCATATACATATGTATTTTTGAGTGGTAAAGTAAAGTTTTAGGAAAATGATTGAAGGGAATTGCAACCTAAGCATAAAATTAATGCCGGCGATGAAACAATAATAAATAAGCCATGTTTATGCGAGAGAGCGGGGGAGCAAGAATTGTAGAGGCAGAGCTATGGAGAATACAGGGTGTTGCAAGTTTAAAATCTTATCGTAAACAAAAATTTGTAAAATGCATTTTAAGCCTTAAGACATAGATAAAATATTTGTAATTTTATAAATTAACTCAAATACTGGGTATAGCATAGCATAGTAAAACACAAAAAAAAAAACAAATTAAAATAATAATTTTATAAATGAACTCTTATAATGTAAGTATTAAAATTTAGTTCTCATTTACAATTTTTAAAACCGACAGCACAGGTGGTTGCGTGCTTGGACTAAAATTCGCACCTGGCAATACCGGACGCAATGTTTTTGTTTTGAAAAGCTCTCGCCTGCCCACTCCCACTGCCGCCCCGCCCGCTCACACCTCCTCCCAGTCTCTTTGGGTCTCTCTCAGCATCAGAGAGCGCGCAGTTTTCGCTCTTTGACTGTTTTTGTTTGTTTTTTCTGCGTGCCAGTGTGTTTTCCTTTTTATTTTTTTTGTTTCTGCTTCTCGCTGCAATTTGCCGACCGCACTTCAACACACACACACATGGACTTTTTCTATATACATATATGTACCATGAGCGTACGAAAAATATCAGGCCGGGCGGTTTGAGTTTGGCCGCTTTCAGGTACATATATATTTAGGTGTATATATAGCAGTATAGCAGTATGCGTGGGTTCTACGTAATTCAATTTCCTACGCTTCCTTTTTAGAGGGGGGTGGTGTTATCGTAGAGGGGGTGGTATCCTAGGGGGTTCTACTATTATGGGGGGGGAGATTTTAATAGGCAGTATTATTACCTACCCACTGAAAGACCTATCTCATCAGCGATTTGCGTCCACACCTTCAGCTTGACTTCGACGTTCTTGTAATCCGGATTGTGATTGTTATACACCACATCGTACTTCTTGACGATCTCGATGAAATCGGAGGTATTATCTGACGTAGTCGAGGACTCGCTGATTGCGCGCGCCACTTTCACATCCTTCATGCTAACGGGGCTTTTACTAACGGTTCCTTATTTTTCGGGAGCCTTTTGCTAACAGTACACGGCGAGAGTAAGAGAGCAAGAGCGGCCGAGAGAGAGAGAGCGAGCGAAAAACTGGCAAACCGTCCGACTACCGTTCTGTGTGCGACCGCTCCGGCAAACGTTGGACACTTGAATGAAACGACGACGACGACGACGACGCCGCCGCCGACAACGAGCTGCATGCACACACAAGTACGCTCCCCACTCCACCGCTCCCCCTGCGCCGCCCCTGCCCTGCCCCGCCCCTCGCTACACCCCGCACCGCCCAAACCTCCCGCCGCGCGCGCACACTCATACAAACACACCCGAGCCATCAACAACAACAACAACGAAAGCGGGGCCCCAACAACAAGCGTACGTCGTTGGAGGACGTGTAAAGAAGAACAAGAACAAGAACGGCGAGCTCTATCATGATGAAAAGGAGAGGGGGGAGGGCGGGGGGGTCGCTCCAGCGTTAACCGCCCACCAGGCAAAAACAACAACAAGAATAAACCCAACCAGAGGGCTAGTTGCACCAGTGTTTTGTATGTATGTAATTCACATACATACATATATGTGGTGTGTGGGTTGGATTCAAAAACCAAGCGCGACAAAATTGCGATGCTGCCCGCACTTTGTGGCAGGCGAAAATCTGCTGTAAAAGCAGCTTAAATGCATTTTAAAATGCAGAAGAAGGCGAAACTGTTGATTATCACGTGCCATCCAAGCCAAGTTCAAGGTCATAAGCAAGGAAATATCGAAAGGATATCGATAGAAAGGCGAAAGGTATGGGTGGGCTTAAAGAGAAGAAGAGAGTGATCTTCGTTAATCCTTATCAATTTGGCTCAAGAGAGCTTTCGTTTTGGTACTGCTGGGACAGCAACTTCTAGGATAAATAGAGGGACCAGAAAAAGGGGAATGTGTTTTTAAGAGAGGGCTGGGAAGGAGAGACGGTTAAGGAAGATAGAAGAGTGGGCAAGTTGTCCATGGGCGTAACTGGAGTAAACCAAAAGGGTTTCTATAATGATGTTTTCTCAATGAATGTGGTTTGTTGTTAGATTTTGGTGGCGAGGGATTGCCTCAAGTGTTTGATTTCAATAATAAAATATGCGTTTGTAAGGATGCTACATACGTTTATACATTTTTTTTAATTTCGTAGTTATTTGCCTCTGTTTTGTAAATAAAGCGATAAGTTACAAATTTTTCAATATAATTACTTCTATTTCAAAACCTTACATGGGGCCACTATCTTTAGTTGCTCACCCTCTTTTTAGATCCGCTTCTGACCCAACCAAGTGGCTCCATCGATCCGTCTCTTTCCCCCTCTTGCTCACCATCGTCTTCCTCTTCTTCGTTTGCTGGTGCTGCTGCGACTCTGGTTTTGTTGTTGCGAACCTACGACCAGTTAACTTACCTACCGCTTTGGCTCCTTCCAAACTAACACACATACATCTAGACTCTGGCGAATATTTAGCCAGGCGCCTGTACATCGCTATGTGTGTGAGTGTTTGTGCGCTTTGGCTGCGTGTGTACGTTTGTATCTCTTCAGCTTGTGCGGGTTTTTTGTTGCTTTTATTATAAGTATTTTTTCGCTTTTCTCTCGTCTCGCCTCGTCTCTTTCCCTCTCTCTCTGCCTGGCCCCCCATCCTCTTGGCCCGCCCCCACTCGCAGTTCGCAACAGCGACGTCTCTGTGCCCTCTTTCCCTCCCTTTCACTCTTTTGGCACAAAGTCCTGGCGGCCGGCTCTCCCCTCCCCCCTTTCCCTCTCCCTCGCACCCACAGCTCCCGGTTTGCCAGTTCCAAACATCATCATCATCATTTGCCAGCGAGCGACATCATCATCATTATCATCAACAGCCAGCCCCCAAACAGCAGTAGCAACAACAACAACAAAAGCAGCAGCAGCAGCAGCAGCCATTCGTGGAAGGGAGAGGGGAGTGGGGGCGTGGGGAGGAGTAGGTTGAAGGGGGACTAGTGGGTCGCTGGGCGTTTTGGCGTTCGACGTCGAAGGCCTGCCTGCTAGTATGTATGGGTGTGTGTGGGCCGTTCGTTGCCTGTATGTATGTTTTGTAGCAGTGCCGCAAAAAGAGAGTGGGGCAGGGGAAGGGGGGGGTGGTGGTGGTGGTGGGGTGTTGCCTGGAAGGGGGCGAGCTGTGGTCTATGTCAGGCAAGCTGGAACGGAGCGGTGGAAAGAGGCAGGGGCGGTGAGGAGAGCGGGGGAGAGCGGCCTACCGCCGCTGGTGGAGCTGTGTTGTTGTAGCTGCTGTGCTGTACAATATGCTTGTTGTTGTTATAGCTGGCGTTGTTGTTGCCTTTCGCAAATCGATAAACGATGTCCGGACTACGGAGTAGGCGAACGCTTTGCGTGTGCACATACATGAACGGGACGCCTATATATGTATACAAAAACCATATATTATATATGTTCAAAATCATTGGTGTGCGTGTACATAATGTAGGCGATTTTTATATGATACACCGCCTAACGGAGTTTTGATGCAATCTGCAGCAAACAGTACATATGTATTTACTTACGTGTGCACCCACCTTTTGACCCCCCGGCAACTGTTTTGTATTTTGTGTTGACCCAACCATTTGGCATATTTTTCACATTGATTAACTCTAAAATTAAAGTTTCCCAAAGGAATCATTTCAACTTGAAGCTTAAACATATTCCATCCATAATGTAATTTTCCATAAGTAACTTTATTAGATGATAAATGTTCCTAGTTATAGAAAAACATAGTAGTCCTTATAAGTAAATAGTTAACATTTTTGATGTTACTCGCATAATATCAACATATTCACCGGAAAAAAAAATGGCATATAAGAACCAAATATTCCTGAAGTTTATTGTCTGTATCCGAAAATCTCAACCGTTGCGAAAAAGACAGAACAGACAGCCGATTTTTTGAAGTTTCTAAAACTAATCTTTCTGTTTGAAAGTGTCATGTTACTAAGGTTTCTAAGGTTCAAAATAAATCATTAAAACAAAAACCAAAAAACTATGTTATTGAATTTTTTCCTTTTTTTAAGTTTATTTACTTAATTTAATTTTCTGTTTTTATTCACTTAATGTAATTTTCTGTTTTTATTACGAAGGATATTCTATACAAACCGAATTTGAAACAAATACACCAAATATGAGTTCCACTTTTGAACAACATTTAATGGAGATTGCCAACGAACTTAAGGCCCCTTCAGATGATGCTGATTTCGCCATCGTCCGGGATTTTATAATGGATATAATAAGCGATAATCAAACGTTGACTTCCACATGCAGAGTTGAAATGTTAGACTTTGGTAAGTTCTAGATAAATTTTATTGTTTACTTTAATTTTAAACTATAATATGATATTATTGAACTTCATTTATTCTGCGCGTTGTAGGCAGCCGTGCTTTGGGAATAAATAAAAACGATAGCGACTACGACGTAATGGTTGTGCTTGAATTTCCCTATTTTGAAGATATATTCGTGCGTCCGGATCAACATCGTCCGGGAATGGTGCACTTGGACTTCAAGGATTTGCCCTCTAACTATTTCACGCAGGACACGCTGCTGGATAACCGCTGGTATCTCAAGCGCGATGAGTTGCAAACATGGATGCAGTGCATCCTGACAAATGTCATCGGTCGCAGGGTGAGGGGCGCATGCTGGGATTATTACGAATTACGCTACCACCGCAAACCCACTTGCCACACCATCATCGCTGAGTCGAACAATCGTGTGTTCTCCATCGACTTTGTGCCGGCCATTAAAATTTACTTTGATGATTCTGACTGGCTGGCAATTCCCAAGTGGGCGCCAGGTCCAAAACGCTCCAACGGTTGCACATTTATGGTGAGCGACATTGAACAAGAGATATATTGGTTCAAACAGGGTGGTATGGTGATCCAAGACGCCGTAGCGTTGCTGAAGGCACTGTGCGAGGCCAAGGACCTCCCCAAGATTCGCAACTATCATTTGGTTTCCACGGCCATTAGTTTAATCAAGAGTGATGATTTCGATGGTACTTCCTTGGAATCTACCTTTCTGGATGTATGTATTCCAAGCAAAAACAAAAATTAAAATTACGTACAGTAAATCACCACTTTTGTTTCTCCAGCTTCTCTACGATCTAATAGATGCCCTGGAGGATAATGACCTCCCGTACTTCTGTTACGATGAGCTCAATCTGCTGTCAAACTTTAAACCAAACCAGGTCATTGAATACGCCAATGTCTTGAACAGCGTGTACAAGACCCTTCAAAGTTATCCGCACCAGGACAACCTTTCCTATGAGCGATGCAGCTGGCACTTTTTTGGAGATGATGATGATGATTACGATGACTAGGGCTTGTCAGGCTATTAATTTCCTTTTTTAGCACGTTAAACATTTTTCAATCTTTTTCACTTTCGTCGCTTTAATGTGACATGTGCCTTGTGAAATAATAAAAAATTTGGTTTAAACTTGGGAAATAATAATAATAATGGCATCAGATAAATATTCAAGACCCTATGTATGCGAATATTATATTAATTTTAATCAATGTTTTAAGTTTTCTTTTTACCAACTTCTTACTCTCAGTTATTGGAAAAACTAATTTTCATTGGATGCTAGCACTAGCAGGCTATATAAGAATCTTTAAAAATTATGTAAATGGACAATAAAGGCTTCCTTGTTAATCGATGTGTATACTATATACTGTAGTAGTTCGTTTAATCCATGTGAGTAATGGGGCCCATGGGTCCAAAAACGTCAACATCCCTGCCCGATAACAGTTGGAGCTCTTTGATCTGCTGCTGCTGGAACAGAAGCTGGACCAGGATGATCACATAGTTGGCCATGCCGTTGTAGATCTGCCAGGATAGGATGATGGGGAAGGATAAGAGTGGTTTGGCCTCGAGTCAGGTGATCACCTACCACGTAAATGGTGGAAACATTGAGTGTTGTTGTGCTGCCCACCAGAGCCGCCTGCCGATTGTGCATGCGCCAGTGCTGGAAGTCCTCCGTCTGCCGGCGAGCCACATCCTGGTCCGGAAAGTATCTCGAGTAGTTGCTCAGCAAGTGCATGCAGTTGCGCTTCTGGAGAGGAACAATGCACCCTCTTAGTCAATGAAGAGAACTTGCCAAGCTATCCCCACCTCTCGCTGCAGCAAATACCCATAGGTGCTGGTGATTACCACCTTGTAGGTGTGTATAACCACGTGAAGCAGCATGAACAAGTACTCCAGGTCCCAGGACTCTCTGTACAGCAGCTTCTGGCAAATGACGTACACCAAGCAGGTCGTGACGGTAAAGTCGTAGAAGAGGCCAGCGGCGGCTGCAAACCCAAACACTCCATTCAGTTCGGTCAGAAGAAAAGAGCAACGCTTGGACAGGTCGAACAGGTGGGCAATCCGTTCGTGAACCTCTTGTCCACTCCCTTCACCTTGATAAAGTTGCCGGAGCAGCTGCTGAACCAATCGCAGGCGCACCCGCAGAAAGTCCATGATGCCGATGTGCACAAAGCCCAACAATCCCACGGAGCTCATCAGCAGAGTGTAGGTAAAGGCCATCAGCAATGTGGATGGAATGCCGCAGGTGCAACGCACCGTTTTGAAGACCAGCGAGATGGAAAAGGAGAAGAAACAAAAGCCGACGATCACAGTGCCATACCAATATTTCAATCGAGAGCGTTGGTAGTTCCACTTAACCTGAGGAAACACCTCCACGACAGACCGATCGAACTGCTGCATGCTGGCCAGGAGTCGCAGGTGCCTGCTCCGCTGACTGTCCAGCGACAGGCAGAATTCCAAGTAGGTGATCCAGCAGCTGAAGCACTCCCAGGTGAAGATCACCTTAACCAGCGGGCTGAGGTGCTCATACATGGCCGCTGCCATCTCCGGATCCTTCAGCTTCGCCATCAGGCTGCCCAGGAAGCAGATGAGCAGTAAAAAGCGCGCCAATAATGCATAGCCCACTGTCCACCTGGTTGAAACTGCTCCTCCTTGACCCGTACTCCTCACCCGGATCGTGATCAATCCCCAGTAGAACAGCAGGCTGTACAAATTCCCGTAGCAGTAAACAAAGCCATCGTCTAGCCGCATTGTCTTAGGAACTTGAATTTGGACTGGCCAGAGTCGTACAGAGCTATTTATTCCCGCGCAGGGGTTAATGAATATTGATTACACATAGATATGATCGGACTAATTGAATACATCGTTTTGGCCGCCCCTACATGTCTGCTTGTTGTTGTACACATTGAAACACATCCTCTTAAACAAAAGTGAACTGGCGTGCTTTACTGCGGGAATTTGAGTTGGCGGTGGTATTGTTGGCGGAGCTGTTGGAGTTGGGTGCAGTGCGTCGCAGCGCCTTCTGCAGGACATGGGCGTCCGCGGGCTCGATGCGCTTGTAGTACTGCTCCTTGGTGTCGACGATCTCGAAGCCGAACTTTTTGTAGAACTCGATGGCTCCGTCGTTGTTGATTTGCACATGCCTGGAATTGTTGTAAAAAGTTAGTACAAACTTAAGGGTGGCTTTTGGAATAAACAGAATTGCTTCAATACCAAGTTAGGGCAAGGAAATTAGATAAAAAGTCACATTAGATTATTATAGTTAAAAAACTCTCTAACAGAATTAAACAATTGCAAGCGAAATAGTTGTCCAACTTTTGAATCGAAATATGTTGACTTCATAAACATTGAGAGCTCAAAGAGCATTCTGAACAAAACAAGTTAAACTAAAATTAATGATTTTGGTACAAGAGTGTGATATAAAGAATAAACGGCATTAAACTTGAATAAATATCAGATAATCAAGAAAAAGCCTCATTTCTACTGTAAATCTAAATAAAAACTGCAACCTTGGACCCTTAAGTTTTTGCACCTTCTTCGGTATCAAACAATTCCAAATGAGTAGTTTTCTTACAGAAAAATGCTGTCAAAGTTTCCATCCTTTTCGGCGAAGTTCATGATGTGCTCGAACATGACGGTGCCGATCCCTAGACGGCGGTACGGGGACAGGCATCCCAGGGTCATGATGTACAAACGCCGCTGGTTTTCGGTGGTGTCGATGCGACAGCAAACGGCGCCAACCACAATGTCATTGTAGTAGGCCAACTTGGCCAGTTCGCCGGCCTCGAGGACATCCACGTAGAACTTGTCATTGTAGGAGACCGGGAAGACCACGGTGTTGAGCTTCTTCAGCTGCTTGATGTTGTGCGGGGTCACATCGCCCAATTCGATGCTGTTCCTGCGGGGGGTTAAGGGTGGAGAAATGGGTTAACACAAATGAACGACCCAAGCGGCACTTTTAGGTTATGATTCTGGCACAAGTGCAGCGGACACAAGCTCACAGTTGGATGCAGTGCATCTCCACTCACCTAGTCATAGTGGTCGTAGAGTAACTTAAGCTTTAGTAACGCGCTTTGCGCCTCGAATTTCTAATAGAAAAATGTGTTTTAAGCGCCACAGCTGTTGTCCAGGTTGCTGCCCGCCAGTTATCGTTATCGATAGCTGCCGCCCGCTGCAGTGCTGCTTATATAGCTATTTTTTTTAGACAAAGAGCTTGACGAATTTATTTTAATAATCGGTGCTAGTGTCTACTCTATTAAAATAGAGTCTATTTTGAAACTAAAATATGCTTCATCTATTTTCTTCCTGAAAGCTTTTAGATCGCTTACTTTAATTTGTTAACATTTTATTTAAAGTTTAAAAACGGATATATTCGAGCTTTACTGTACACTTAGTATATAAAATTATATTTATTATAATATTTCAAATATTGAAAAGGTATTTTTTTTAAATAAGTTTATTAATGTTAAATTTGAATTTGTAATCTTTAATTTTTTAATAGATAAATGGAAGTAGTTTTTTTTTATTAAGCTAGATTATTCTAGCTAAATGTTTTGTGACGGTTCATGCCATATCTGAGCCACCCCAACGCAAAAATGAGTAATCTCATGCCGCGTTTCACCATTGAAAAAGAAACAAACTGCGGTAGTTTAATTTCTCCGTGAAAATTCAACGTTTTCAAGTGCAAAATGAACCCAAACATGAACATGATGCCCATGTCGGGTCCGCAAATGATGCAGGTGATGCAGTCGTCACCGTCAGGCCCACCAGGACCTGTGCCCGTGCAACACCAGCAGCAACAGCAGCCGCAACCGCTGCAGCAGCAGCAGCAGGCGGAAAAACTAGACAACATATCCAGGGTAAAGAGTTTGCTGGGACCCCTGAGGGAATCGATGTTCCTGACTATCAGATCAAGTGCCTTCACACTGCAGCAAAACAATCTGGCGGATAACTTGAAAAGGGACACGGGGGCTCATCATGTTCCTCGATTTGACAAGCACTTGGAAGATTTCTACGCCTGCTGCGACCAAATCGAGATCCATTTGAAGACGGCCATGCAGTGCCTGCAGCAGCAAAATTCCTCGAATCACTATCTCCCCGGTCCGGTGACCCCAATGCGCATGGAAACCTTCATGCCGGACAACGCTGGACCCATTCCGTATCCCACCTACTTGAACACCGTTCGAGTTCACGTCCAATCGGCGAAGGATATCCACGATACTCTTATTAGCGCCGCGCAAAACATTTCTCAGGCTGATTGATAGTTGTAGTCGATTAGGTTTTATTATTTACAAAGTCTAGGTTTAAGGTTAAAGTGTATTAATAAAGTAGTACTGATTTTTAAACAATTGTAGTTTGCTTTTGTAAGCAGTAAAATGGTGGGAATTCCTCCGATACAAATTTTATTGGGTACAATTCGTTAATATGTAACCTTCGACTTTCTTCATTTACATTTGATCGTTTTATAAAAGTTTGAGTTTTGTTTTATTGTTTAAGTTAATTTATAGATTTTAATTTAACCACTTAATACTGTGTGCAGTGTGAACAACCGGCAGCAGCTGAGCTACTGCAACAGTGAGAACAGTAATACAAGTTCCGATAACACGTTTCGATAGGCAACAGTCGGACGTGTCACAATTAGAACGCAAAAGCAAAACAGCGAAGCCGCGCATTTATTAACAACAAAAAGAGAGGTAGGTCAACGAAGCCTTCTACACTGTAAGTGTAAATATTTAACTATCGTTTTCCCAACCCATAGCTTTATAACCCAGGAAAAATGGCTGATGAACAACCCAATCTTGTTGCTGGACACCCACCTGCATGTAAGTGCACTTGCATTGGTGTGCGTGTGTGCAGTCATGTTTTTGTTTTTCCACAAAAATTCCATAGGAAATCAACGAATTGCCCCGCTGGCAATTAATAATACTCCCAATCCTATCAATTGCCACAATATCTACTCCCTTATCAGTATCTTAACCTGTTTCGGCCAAAGCTGATAAGTAAACAAACAACTTGCACATACGCACACGAAGCCATTGCTTCCAAAAATATACTTTCTTACTTTGTGCTGACGTCAGATGCACAGCGACTTGTGAATATTTAAAAAAAATTTGTATACTCTTACAAAGGGCTTTATTAATTGGGTGAGATGTTTGTAACGCATAGAAGACATCTTCGACCCTTCGTATTTTTATTCTTGATCTAATTATTTTTCTATGCATTACACTCACTTTGTTTAAAATCTAGAATCATGAAAATTTAACAATTAAGAAATTATGTTTAAAAGATCCTATGGTTCCGACGACTTTTAACCATTTTAGGCAGAGTTTTTTATCGAAATCGGATTATTATACTCCGTAGCTTCCATTAATTTATCTGTCATATAGTCCAACTGTTTTTGCATTTTATTCATTATTAATCTTTTTAAACCAAATTTGAAATTTTTATGGTCAAAAGACTATATACTTTTATTTAAATGACCAGAGTATATAAACTTTGACTTATTGAAGATATTTTTGTTTTTATAGTTAAAAAAAAAAAAATTATTTATTATTTTTTGTTTTTAGTGAAGGCAGGTGGCATGAGGATTGTACAGCACAAGGCTCCAACTGCTGAGCGTGCGCCCAAGGATGCCGAGGACTGCACTGGACTTACGGTGAGTCCTGGTCAAAAATACTCTATTATAAATTCAAATAATACTCATTTGCCTTGGCCTTTAGCAACCTATTGCTGTGAACTCGGGATCGGTGAGCGGTGCCCCCGTCAAGGGTAATACGGACTTTACGCCCGCCTCCGCCCAAGTGGCCCACTCGCCCAAGCCCCCGGCCGCAGTGCAGCTGAAGCCCCAGAACCACATCCAGCAGCCACGCAAGTGATATGGACTCCGCCGGGCAACTTATAATCATAATCCTAACTATTTGATCTTTTGCTTTAAAAATTCTCAATGGTATTGAAGTCGCCTATGAAAGCGATAGTTACTTTATATGCATTTGCTACTGCATTCCATAAATGAATTATGTTGATTCTCTGAGTTAATATTTTGTAATAAACTGTATCCTTTTTTATAGATATCACTAGTTTTCTTGTTGGATGGTCAATACTTTCAAATTAGAGCTTTAATTACAGCAATATCAGGATTTATAATACTTTATTTTCAAAACTTTTGCTTCACTACTTAAATATTTAAAATATTTTTTTTACCATTTTGTTCACGTTAAAAATATATTAAGCTAGATATCCATACAATATGCAAACTGGATCACATTTTACAATGCTTTTATTGCTACGTGAACCACCTATCTAAATTATATAGCACTAACTGAAAGATGCTCTAAAAATTCTCCTAAAATTCCCAAGTGCTTTTTCTGCATCTGGAACTTATAAATGGGGAAACTTTAGTAGACATTAGTGCCCCACTGAGCTTTGGTGGTCCAAGGTGCGGACTTCAAATCCGTAGTCGATTAGCGTCGAAGTGGTTCGATTCCACCTGGGGGGCGAATAATGAAGTGGCTTTTGTTTTGTATTTTGTTTTGAAACATGGTTTTTATTTTTGAAACCCCGAGCTCCCAGCTTATAAGGCATTGGCTGCTTTGACTATCCATGGTCGCAGCACAGCGACATCCACATACACACCGGGGTAGTTGTCGTCCGCACACCGGTAACCCCAGGATACAATGCCCACCAGCTGGCTGTTGGCCACCAAGGGACCTCCAGAGTCGCCTGTACATGCATCCGCATCCGTGTTGGCCGCACAAATGGTCTCCTCGCCCACAAAATCCGCACCATAGCCATACTTCTGCGAGGCACACTCGCCACGATCGATGATCTGCAGCTTGGCCTTCTGTAGTGTGTCGGCATAGGCTCCATTATCCGTGTAGCCCCAACCGGTGACCGTGGCCGTCGATCCACCCAAGGGACTCTTCTTGGCCAGATTTATGGCTCTGGTCGAGAGGCCAAAGGTGAGTGGAGTGGACAGACGCAGCACAGCAATGTCGAAGTGCAGGTAGCGGGAATCGAACTGCTCGTGCACTTTGTACGCCGCCACGGGCACCAATGTTCCGCCGTAATTGTGATTCTGTGCTCCCACACGGACCTTTATCAGGGTCACGGATTTCCCGTGCAGACAGTGTCCGGCCGTCATGACAATCTCCTTGCTGTAGATGACTCCGCCGCACTCGTGACGCGCACTGATCTGAATGGAGACCTGCCAGGGGGCATTACGGATGACCTGGTCACTACCACCCACTATCCGCCCATTGGCCTCCACCTCTGCTGCTGCTGCTGCTGCTGCTACTACTGCTAGAAAAAATAGCAGTAGAGCTCTTACTATTCCGTATACAGTCATTCCGAAAGCCAAGTGCAAACTGCTCGTAGTTGTTCATGAAACACCTTCATGACGGATTTATGCGCAGGGCTGTAAAAATTAATCGCCGGCTAATAGGAGCTTATCGCTGGCATTACTGGTATTACTGATACTCTCAAGTAGCTTTGGTCTGTTCCACAATTTACCCACTAGGAAACCCAGTTACCTAGGCAACCTTTGGAAAACAAACTTTTTTTCGAGTTGGGAAAATCCAAAAAATCATTCACAATCAACGATTCCATTATGGAGGACTGGAAGATAACGCCGGAGGAGCTTATCCGACTGCGGGAGAGCTGTCTTCAGTGCATCCGCGATGGAGAACTCTACGAGCTGCGCAATGATGCCAAACTAAGGGCTGTTTATAGCTCCCAAAACTACGAGGAATTCAAGTAAGTTCCTTAAGTCTCAGACCTGACATTAAATATTAGCCAAATGCTTTCAGGGATATAGTGGATGCTGCTCATCTTCGTCCAGTTACCAGAAGGGACAAGGCCAATGCCCAGACCAAGAACCGACTATGGAATTCGGCCGCCCGCGAGAAGAAGAAGGCCGCCCAATAAAGAAGAAAGCAACGAGTTGAGTTATAATCAGCAATTTCGTTTTATTTCGCAAGGTTCTTAGGCGTTGTTGACCACCCAGGAGCGGAGGTCGGCCACGCTGGCGTAGACACCGGGGTAGTTGGAGTAGGCGCATCCGTATCCCCAGGAGACCACACCGACAAGAACTCCACCGGAGACCAGTGGGCCGCCGGAGTCACCCTGGCAGGCATCCTTGCCGCTGGCAGCAGCGCAGATCATGCTGCTCTGGATCTGGCTACCGTATCCGTAGGTGGAGGAAGCGCACTGCGTCCTGCCGACGATGTTCACGTTGACGTACTGCAGCTGGGAGGGGATGGAGCTGGAGCCGTAGGACTGGGTGCCCCAGCCGGAGACGGAGGCAGAGGCGCCGTTAGCGGGGTTGGAGCTGGCCAGACCGATGGCCTTGATGGAGGAGCTGAAGGACAGGGAGCTGCTCAGCCTGACGATGGCGATGTCGTTGACCATGGTGTTGGCGTTGTAGCCCTCGTGGTTCTTGAAGGAGGCCACCTTGGCCACGCTGCCGCCAGAGCTCCAGTAGCTGGATCCGGCACGGACTTGCAGAACAGAGGCCGACACGGACTGCAGGCAGTGGGCGGCGGTCACAATGATGTTGGCGGAGTAGACGGATCCGCCGCAGGAGTGGCCGCCATTGCGCTGCAGGGAGATCTGCCAGGGGAAGCTGGTGATGGTGGTGGTCGTTCCTCCGACGATGCGGCCATCCAGCTGGGGCAGGAGTCCCTCGGGGACGGTGCCTCCCAGGGCGCAGGCTACGGCAGACAACAAGATCACGAACTTCAGCATGGTGCGAATCCAATGAGTTGCCTTCCCAAATGGGCACCCCTTTTATACGGAGTTCCAATCTTCCCCTTGCGCATTAATCAGAGTTTTCAATTATTTTTATCACTATCGTGTCAGGAAAACCCAAAATAATCCGTTGAAGTGGCGGTAGATAAGTCCTCCACTCCAAAGTGTCGCAGTTTTTGTTTCCAAAAAACAATTAATAAATAATATTTAGATAACTAAAACATATTAACACTGATAAAAAATGGAAGAATAAAAATAAATATCTGGCTATTGAATATTTTGTATTTGAAATTAAATATAAAATCATTTTATAAAATACTTTGCAAATTAAATTGCATTTGATGATTGGAAGTCGAAAGAAGTTCGAAAAAATGTGAAAATACTAGATCCAAAATGGGTTTTATTTGTGTTTTCGACTTAAACTTAAAATAAATTTTCAGATATTAAAGTCAAAAATATTTAAAAAGAAATGTTTTATATCCATTATTAATCAGCAACAAAGCGCAACACATTTTGTTTCTTCGATTTACCTTTTGTTTCGCTAATAATTAGCATACAAAAAATCAAACAATTTAAGTAAATGAGATCTACTTAGTAAATAATATTGTTTCTGATTAAAACTGTTTTGAACGATCTTTTAAAAGATACTATTAATCAGTCTGAGAAATGATTAGTTACTTTAGCTCTTAACTCCTTATTTTAAAAGTGTACAAAGCCAAATTGAATAAGAATGACCCCAAATATTTTTCACTTATAAAAGATCTGAGATGAGATACCTCTTATCGGAGATATTGCTACACATCCCGGTTTAGAATCAGCTTGAAGCTATTGTCTTGCCAAAGTCTTTTGACCCAAATGGGCTTACTCGCGTTTTCTATTTGAGAGGTTTGTGATCCCAGCCCCTCTGCCACACTAAAAAAAATAACAACACATCCTTAAATTAATTTATTTGGAGTGATTTCGAGAAACGAATTATCGGACATAATAAAAAAAAAATGGATTTCTATGTGATACACTTGATGGCATATTTTAAGAACTAAAACAAAATGGAATATTTACCAAATGGTGAAAGAGCCGAGTATAATTTATATTATACGAATAAAATATAAATAAATATAAGCTTAAAGACATTGGAGTGGAGGACTTATCTGCCGATAACTTCAACGGATTATTTTGGGTTTTCCTGTCACGATAGAGATTAAAATAATTGAAAACTCTGATTAATGCGCCACGGGAAGATTGGAACCCAGTATAAAAGGGGTGCCCATTTGGGAAGGCAACTCATTGGATTCGCACCATGCTGAAGTTCGTGATCTTGTTGTCTGCCGTAGCCTGCGCCCTGGGAGGCACCGTCCCCGAGGGACTCCTGCCCCAGCTGGATGGCCGCATCGTCGGAGGAACGACCACCACCATCACCAGCTTCCCCTGGCAGATCTCCCTGCAGCGCAATGGCGGCCACTCCTGCGGCGGATCCGTCTACTCCGCCAACATCATTGTGACCGCCGCCCACTGCCTGCAGTCCGTGTCGGCCTCTGTTCTGCAAGTCCGTGCCGGATCCAGCTACTGGAGCTCTGGCGGCAGCGTGGCCAAGGTGGCCTCCTTCAAGAACCACGAGGGCTACAACGCCAACACCATGGTCAACGACATCGCCATCGTCAGGCTGAGCAGCTCCCTGTCCTTCAGCTCCTCCATCAAGGCCATCGGTCTGGCCAGCTCCAACCCCGCTAACGGCGCCTCTGCCTCCGTCTCCGGCTGGGGCACCCAGTCCTACGGCTCCAGCTCCATCCCCTCCCAGCTGCAGTACGTCAACGTGAACATCGTCGGCAGGACGCAGTGCGCTTCCTCCACCTACGGATACGGTAGCCAGATCCAGAGCAGCATGATCTGCGCTGCTGCCAGCGGCAAGGATGCCTGCCAGGGTGACTCCGGCGGCCCACTGGTCTCCGGTGGAGTTCTTGTCGGTGTGGTCTCCTGGGGATACGGATGCGCCTACTCCAACTACCCCGGTGTCTACGCCAGCGTGGCCGACCTCCGCTCCTGGGTGGTCAACAACGCCTAAGAACCTTGCGAAATAAAACGAATTTGCTGATTATAACTCAACTCGTTGCATTCTTTTTTATGGTTTCGTTAGTTTTTTTACGGTTGCTTTAATTAATTTATTATTTATTTAATTAATTAATATTTTTATTATTTTTGGGGGTCTCCAGCAGTTAAACGTTGAAATAAAACAAAATGGGCCAAATCAAACAAAAATTGCGGACATTGTTAGTCAAGAAGGTCTTAAAGTACATGTTACATTCAACCTGACTAAATATTTTGTACGGATAAGCGAGTTAGACAAGTCTTAAATAAATATTAGTTTTTTATTGGGGACTAATCAAATTGGGTAGTATTGCAACATAATATTCGTAGTATTAGCCTGTATCCCTAACTGAATAAATTACAATTTATTTTCCGGCTGGTGCTTTAAGAGACGCGCTAAACTTTTACCGCGAAGCTCTTCTTTACTTATTTTTTAATACAACTAATGCAGTTTTATAGAATTTGCAGATTTTAGTTGTTACCATTTGTAAAACAAATATTTGTTTTGTTATGCTCATATTGAAACCGCTATTTTAAATTGTAAATTTTGTATTTTATTTAAATATTTCAAAAACATGTGTTTTTCTTTTACACTGCAACACAACACTATACACCTATATTACCCTTCCAGTGAGCGGAATATATGGTATGGTATATACAAAATTAATTATGGTATATACAAAATTAAATGTTAAAAATTGTTATAATTTTACGTCAAAATAGTTAATCATTCCTATCATTCTATTTGTACGTAAAGCACCTCTTCAAGAATTCGTAAGTATAAGCGTGCCCATAAGATTACGTATCAATATTCAGTTTGTAGAGTGCTCGCAAAATCAATCTTCAACTGACTTATTTTTCTGAATTACTGACTTAAAAGTGATAAGAACTATTTAATTAAATAAATGGGAGAAGACAGAATAATGGTAAGAAAGGGTCTTTACTACCTTTTCCAAATCATTTAACCCATTCGTAACCATTGCAATCGGATATACGCTTGGATAGGCAGCGTGTAAATATATTTGTACGACCTTTTTATATGCTATAAGAAACCGCCAAACTACCCACTTGTATACGTCCCTCATCAAAACATTGATCGCCTCCCCAAAACTAATATTTTTGAAAGAACAACGTCCATAATTTTCTGCTCGGTTTAGATTTTATTCGCAAGATGCTTAAGCGTTGTTGACCACCCAGGAGCGGAGGTCGGCCACGCTGGCGTAGACACCGGGGTAGTTGCTCAGAGCGCATCCGTATCCCCAGGAGACCACACCGACGAGGACTCCACCGGAGACAAGTGGGCCACCGGAGTCACCCTGGCAGGAATCCTTGCCGCTGGCAGCAGCGCAGATCATGGAGCCCCTAATCTGGCTGCCGTAGCTGTAGGCGCCGGAGGCGCACACGGACTGGCTGACGATGTTCACGTTGACGTACTGCAGCTGGGTGGGGATGGAGCTGGAGCCAGAGGACTGGGTGCCCCAGCCGGAGACGGAGGCAGCGGCGCCGTTAGCGGGGTTGGAGCCGGCCAGACCGATGGCCTTGATGGAGGAGCTGAATCCCAGGGAGCCGCTCAGCCAGATGATGGCGATGTCGTTGACCATGGTGTTGGCGTTGTAGCCCTCGTGGTTGCGGAAGGCCGCGACCTTGAGAACGGTGCCGCCGGAGCTCCAGTAGCTGGATCCAGCGCGAACCTGGAGGGTGGAGGCGGACACGGATTGCAGGCAGTGAGCGGCGGTCACGATCACGTTGGCGGAGTAGATGGATCCGCCGCAGGAGTGGCTGCCACTGCGCTGCAGGGAGATCTGCCAGGGGAAGCTGGTGATGGTGGTGGCGGTGCCTCCGACGATGCGGCCATCCAGTTGGGGCAGGAGTCCCTCGGGGATGGTGCCTCCCAGGGCGCAGGCCACGGCGGACAACAAGATCACGAACTTCAGCATGGTGCGAAATGAATACTCTTGGAGCCGGACGGCGTGGTTTTATAGGCGGGTCGCTATCTCGGAAGTGGTTCAATCAATGGCGAAGTGAGATCCCTCGTGGCACAGGTGGATAGTGGCGTGGAGTGGCCCTTGCCTGATAAGCTGATTAGTTCCCGGAATTACGGGTGGAGTGACGCCACAGCCATGCTGAGGCTATCGCTTTCAAGCAAGTGTAGATATGCGCTTTGGATCATGTATATAAGGCGTCTTGATCTGCGGATCAGCATACAAGCGATTAAGATGTTGAAATCCGCGGTACTTCTTTCCATTCTGGCCTGCGCCTTGGCGGGCACCATTCCCGAGGGACTGCTGCCCCAGTTGGATGGTCGCATCGTCGGTGGCTATGAGACCAGCATCGAGGCCCATCCCTACCAGGTGTCCCTGCAGCGCGGGGGATCCCACTTCTGCGGCGGCTCCATCTACTCGCACGACATTGTGATCACCGCCGCCCACTGTCTGCAGTCGATCGAGGCCAAGGATCTGAAGATCCGCGTGGGCAGCACCTACTGGCGCTCCGGCGGTAGTGTCCACTCCGTTCGCGCCTTCCGCAACCACGAGGGCTACAACGCCCGCACCATGGTCAACGACATCGCCATCATCCGCATTGAATCGGACCTGAGCTTCCGTTCGAGCATCCGCGAGATCCGCATCGCCGACTCGAATCCGCGCGAGGGCGCCACCGCCGTGGTCTCCGGATGGGGCACCACCGAGTCCGGCGGCAGCACCATTCCGGACCACCTCCTGGCCGTCGACCTGAAGATCGTGGACGTTGCGCGCTGCCGCTCCCGCGAGTTCAGCTACGGCAGCAAGATCAAGGACACCATGATCTGCGCCTACGCCGAGCACAAGGATGCCTGCCAGGGTGACTCCGGTGGCCCACTGGTCTCCGGCGATCGCCTGGTCGGCGTGGTCTCCTGGGGCTACGGATGCGGCGATGTGAGGTATCCCGGTGTCTACGCCGACGTTGCCCACTTCCACGAGTGGATCGAGAGGACCGCCGAGGAGGTGTAAGCGCAGGTGTAACCCCACAAGCAAACACTTGAAATAAAAGCAATCCACAAGCAATTGAATCCACTTTGGTGTCTATCTCTTCGTTTTGGCCCAATTGCGTCGCATGTGTAAGGCCTTACACTTGGGCACTTGGCCAGATAAGACGAGTGTATAAAAGGTTTGGATGGCGGCATGTAAGTAAGCACTAGCTAGCACCGCTCAACATGCTGAAGATCGTTATCCTGTTGTCCGCCGTGGTCTGCGCCCTGGGAGGCACCGTTCCCGAGGGACTCCTGCCCCAGCTGGATGGCCGCATTGTCGGCGGTTCGGCCACCACCATCGGCAGCTTCCCCTGGCAGATCTCCCTGCAGCGCAGTGGCAGCCACTCCTGCGGCGGATCCGTCTACTCCGCCAACATCATCGTGACCGCCGCCCACTGCCTGCAGTCCGTGTCCGCCTCTGTTCTGCAAGTCCGTGCCGGATCCAGCTACTGGAGCTCCGGCGGCAGCGTGGCGAAGGTGGCCTCCTTCAAGAACCACGAGGGCTACAACGCCAACACCATGATCAACGACATCGCCGTGATCCGTCTGAGCTCCTCCCTACCCCTCAGCTCCTCCATCAAGGCCATCGGTCTGGCCACCTACAACCCGGCCAACGGAGCCGCTGCCGCCGTCTCCGGTTGGGGCACCAAGTCCTCCGGCGCCAGCTCCATCCCCTCCCAGCTGCAGTACGTGAACGTGAACATCGTCAGCCAGTCGCGGTGCGCTTCCTCCACCTACGGCTACGGTAGCCAGATCAAGAACACCATGATCTGCGCCGCTGCCAGCGGCAAGGATGCCTGCCAGGGTGACTCCGGCGGCCCACTAGTCTCCGGTGGAGTCCTTGTCGGTGTGGTCTCCTGGGGATACGGTTGCGCTTACGCCAACTACCCCGGTGTCTACGCCGATGTGGCTGTTCTCCGCTCCTGGGTGGTGAGCACAGCCAACAAAATCTAAGCGGTTAACCCGTTGGTTGGATATACATATATCAAAATCCTTCAATAAAACTTATTAATGCAGGCACTTTATTTTGACGTTTATTTATTTCTTAGAACTACAAAAACTAAGATGCGAAATTTTACATATTCACTATAGAAATCTCTTAAGCCTTGCATCAGAGAAACTGTGTTCTTATTCTCCAAACTGCCTTTAAAAGCTTAAATAGAATACTTTGGTAAGAAAGAGTTTCTATACTACTGGTCGTGATGACTAGATGATTGTAAAAGGTATTGTTTTGTTAAATCTTAACATGTTTAGGATACAAACTTATTTTATACAAAGGGAACTGTTTTTAAAAGAAAAGGATATGTATTTGGTTTAAGGACTTAAAAGCTTACTAGAAAGTGTAGGATAAAATTTATCCCGAATATTTGGAAATCTATTACTATTTCACCAACTTTCCTTAAAATTTTACATTATTTCACGTAAATTTTATTACACCCTCCGCCTTATTGAATAGATAATAGAAAAGTAGTTACTTAACCTGCTCACGTCACAGGTGTTATCATTTTTAGGGTTCAGGGGAATTCACATAAGATAACGCGACGTGCCTTCCGCGATTTCCACCGATTTCAATGGTCTCAAGTGGCTTAGGGTAAACATTTGGCCAGGACCGATGTATCTAATCACAGAAGCTTAGAGTGCATCGCGTGGCCACAGATCCACTTCATCTTCCATTGACAAGTTGAGTGATGGACTGGATTGGCGAGGCAAGATTAATTAGCCACACAACGAAGCAATCGATAAGATTGCACAGATTTGGTTACGGGAAGTCAAACGTTTCTTTTTTTTTTGGACCATGACTGGTGAAATACTAGGTTGTATGAATTGATCAAACAAGGATCGATTGTAAGGAGTTGTTGTTTTATAATATTTTTCAATCAAACGCAAAAACAAAGCAAATAGTCAAATCAAAAACTTTCTAGCTGATAATGTTGTTTATGAAAGAATTTCGCTATCAATTTAATTTGAAGCACCTGAAACTGATTGAAATTTGCGGTTGATTTTCGCCATTGCGGTGTCGAAATATAGCCACCCCTTATTTTGCGGGGTATTTCCAGTATTTTGGGTTATGAGTTTTGGGGCCATTAAAAATTGCGCATGGATGATATAACCTAGTTTTTGGGAACAGCGTGTCGTTACTTCAGTAAAAAAAAAATATATATATATTCCTTCGAAATTTACAATAAACCTCAATAACTAAGGGTGAGTCTTGCGTAACATTCACTCAACCACTTGAAAAAGACCTTAAAAAAGACATATGACAATGAGCAAACTATATCTATCCCTGATACTGCTTTATGTGTAGGATTCACTACCGACCTTGTTAAGTATAATAGTCTTGATCAACACTTTTCAGGCATATCTTTATAGTAAAAACACAAATCGGTGTCATCACTTGGCCCATAAATGCGAAAATAATAAAGGTGGGCCTAGTTCAAAGCTCACCAAATGAGTTTATGTGATCGTTTAAGTGCCGACTTCCGAGTTTCGACTGGTGCTCCAGATTTCTTGTGCTTTCTTTGACAAGCAGTAAGAGTCGATTGATAAGGAACTTGCCGCCTGGGTATGCTAATTCTTTGGCTCATAAGATCAACCGATACTGTCAGTTGTCCACTCGAAGGTCACCTTCCGTCCAATCAATCATAACACTGATAAAAACATTGAACAGTAAAAATAAATTTGTTGGCTACTAATTCCGAAATTTTTTATTTCATATTTAAAATAATAATATACCATCCATATTCAATTTTACAAACTAAAAGTACAAATTTGAAATAAAGGGAAAAATTATAAATGTTTTTTGTTTTTTTTTTTTGTGCGGTGAAAATGGAAATTGTAAATTTATATTAAAATAAATGTAATAGTAATGCTTCCATATTTAAAATAACTTTCAAAACTTAAATCCGCAATTGAAGAAAATCAAAGCCAAAAACTAAGTATGAAATAATTTACTGCTTTTGTAGCAGTGTAGAATTGGATCTGGTGGAAGGTTATAAATGTTGGTCGTAGTTTTCTGATGGTTTAGTGTTTTTCCAGAATGCAGGGATTAGTGGTTCTTTTGGTTTGCTTGGCAGTGGGTTTCGCCCATGCGGGCACAATTGGCGTTTCCAATGCCGATCCCTTCCAGCGTGAGGGTCGCATTGTGGGTGGTCAAGACACCACGATTCGAGCTCATCCCTACCAGGTTTCCCTGCAGACGAAGAGTGGATCGCACTTCTGCGGTGGGAGTTTGCTCGACGGTGAAACTATAGTGACGGCAGCCCATTGCCTTGTGGGCAGGAAGGCGTCCAAAGTGTTTGTTCGCTTGGGTTCAACGTTCTACAACGAGGGCGGCATAGTGGTAGCTGTCCGGGATCTAGCCTACAATGCGGATTACAGCTCCGAGACCATGGAGTACGACGTGGGAATACTGAAGTTGGCCGAGAAGGTCGAGGAAACCGAGGATATTCGTTATGTGGCTCTGGCCGAGAAGACTCCGCCCACTGGAACCACCGCTGTGGTCACCGGTTGGGGTGCCAAGTGCTATTTCTGGTGCATGACCCTGCCCAAGACGCTCCAGGAGGTTGAAGTCGATATTGTGGACTGGGAGACGTGCAAATCGGAGGAATACAAATATGGAGAGATCATCTACAAGTCCATGGTGTGTGCCTATGAGAAGAAGAAGGACGCCTGCCAGGGTGACTCCGGTGGTCCTCTTGTGGTCGCTGACACCCTGGTGGGTATCGTGTCCTGGGGATATGCCTGCGCCTCGGAAGGACTTCCCGGTGTCTACTCAGATGTGCCCTATTTGCGAGATTGGATCCTGGAAACGAGCAAAGCTTTGTGAATTCTTGTAATAAATTTAATGAACGAGCATTAGGTTGGCGAATGTTAAATAAACAAATTTAAATTTTTTAGATTTTGCTGTGCCGTAAACTAAAAAAATTTTATTATAATTCTAATGGTAATGGAAATTCCGTAAAAATCCATAATGTCAGTCAGATTACATTTTTCTAAGTAGACGTAAAAGTATGTATGTATCCGTGATAACCCATGAAGCTAATAATAATAATACTAATAAGCATACTTTCAGGGATTAGTCAGAAATCGATATCACAAAAGCGATTCATGGTTAAAAATCCAATAGTTTTCAAACAAAGCTTAACTAGCTCAAAGAATTTATGCATATCTTTAGGGGCAACACAAAAGTTCAAATTTCTTTTCACCTATTAGATCAAAAGTTGTCCACTGATCCACATTGCGTATACGCACAGTTGTCTGTCTTATACTTATAAGATGGTTAACTTAAATTCTTTGCTGTGTCATTTCAGTTTTAAAATTACTGCCTTAATAAAAGAGTTATAATAAAATACATTTTTTATTTAAAGCTTTTTTATTATTAATTTTTTGTTAGTGGCAAGCAAATGTTTGTTTAATCCGATAACACTCGATTAAGGCTATTTGATTGGTTATCACAGCTGGACAATGTCGTTATGCTTAGTCAGCCGTAGATTTTTGAAGCTTACGGCGTAAAGAATTCCGGAGAACAGCCACCGTCCGTCCATCTTATCGCTGTCAGAGTAAAAGCAATTTATTGACCAATTCGCGATATGAGGAAAGCTTCTCGTCGGTTTTTGAACAAGCAAAAAGATTCAATTTAGTCACTCATCGAACAACGAAATGAACAAAGTTCTGTTACGGATATTTGCGGTTCTGTTTCTGCTGGGATCGCTGGGATTACTGGCGGTGGAGGCCCAGCCAGATGGTCGAATTGTGGGTGGTGCAGATACCTCCAGTTACTATACCAAATATGTGGTTCAGCTGCGCAGGCGCAGTTCCGCGAGCAGTGCCTATGCCCAAACCTGTGGCGGTTGCATCCTGGATGAGGTGACCATAGCCACTGCAGCCCATTGTGTCTACAATCGCGAGGCGGAGAACTTCCTGGTGGTGGCCGGAGACGATAGCCGCGGAGGAATGAAGGGCGTGGTGGTGCGAGTGGCGAAATTGATCCCACACGAGCTATACAATGCCTCGATCACGGATAACGACATTGCCCTGGTGAGGGTGGATCCCCCGCTGCCCTTGGCCAGTCACTCGAGCACAATGCAAGCCATTGGTATCGCCACGGAGCAGCCGGCTGTGGGTGTCCAGGCCACCGTCAGTGGTTGGGGCTACACCAAGGAGGACGGGCTGTCCTCCAATCAGCTGCAGCAGGTCAAGGTGCCAGTTGTGGACAAAGCTAAGTGCCAGGAGTCCTACTACTGGCGACCCATCAGCGAGGGCATGCTCTGCGCCGGCTTGCAGAATGGTGGAAAGGATGCCTGCCAGGGAGATTCCGGAGGACCTCTGGTTGTCAACAACAAACTGGTTGGCATCGTTTCCTGGGGCGAAGGATGCGCGAGGCCCAACTATCCCGGAGTCTATGCCAATGTGGTTCACTTTAGGGACTGGATAGCCAAGCAGCAAGCAGCCAATGTGTGATTCACCGTAAAAATAATGTTGTTATATTAAATAAATAAAAGTGTAAATATAATACTGTACTTCGCACTTCTTTATTATTGTTCAGATAACTCAACTGCAGTTGTCGTATCATATAAAAGTCTGGTAGTAAAATCGTTTATGGGTTTAAAGGCTGTCGAGTCCATACTTCAACTAGGATCATGGCAAGTCTTTAAAGTTTTCGCAGTTGTTTTATAGATTTCCGTAATAAAAGAATTCAAAATATAATATAAAATGTATTTTTCTGTATTAAAATATTCCTTTTTTAAACCCTTAAAGAGGGTATTACCTGCCAGGCATGTTGATCTACACACGTTCGTCTGTTTTTTCGACCCCCCGGCTACACTGCTGAAAAAACATAGTATAACCTAATAAGTTGTTATTTAAAAACAATTTTTATATATTTTTTAAGAAATTTAATTTAATTATTAATTATAAAGTGTTAAACTCGATAGTCAGATATTTATTTCTATTCCACTTTTTTAACAGTATAATAAAAAAAAATTTGGCTTGGGGCATGATCAGGAGGTACACGGTTTTTAGTTGGAAAACCAGTCGAAATGTGCCGTATTATTACCGTATAAGCGTTTCGGTATTATAGCTTGAACAATTTTTCTAAAAATTTTCAAAAATAAGTTTTCAATTGTAGCAAAAATCGAAAAATGTATTTAAAATTGATAAAGTTTTTTTGTTCTAGTTGTTTTATAGTCAATATTTTGTTAGATTAAGTATTCTTAAGCGAGATTTCATCTGATTATGTTAATAATATATTCTATACCTTGGTAATTGGGTATTACATAATATGTGGACAACCCTAAATAAACAAAAATGATTGAAAACTTCAAAAGCCCCAATACCAATCATAATCTTATTGTCCAATGGTATAGTATAGTATAGTAGTATAGTAGCCATAAAGCTTAATCACTTGTAGTTACGAATGACCGTGCATATCCAGAATAAAATTTATGGTCAATATAGTCGGGTAGACCGTCAGATAAGCCATATGCCGCGTAGTTGCTGGCCAAGTGGTTTGGGCCCTCAGTTCTCGATTCTGCGTGGCTTTGCAAAGATGTCGCGCTCTTGGTTGGTTTGCCTTTTGGCCTTTTTGGCTTGCCTGTTGGCCTTGACGCAGGGTCTTCCCCTCCAGGAGAATCCCCATCAGGAGGACGAGAAGAGCGGTGGCCGCATAGTGGGTGGCTATGCCACGGACATTGCCCAGGTGCCCTACCAGATTTCGCTGCGTTACAAGGGCATCACCACGCCTCAGAATGCCTACCGCCATCGTTGCGGTGGTTCCATCATTGCCGCGGACAAAATCCTAACAGCGGCGCACTGCATCATTGGCACGGTGCCCAGTCAGTATAAGGTGGTGGCTGGTACAAACTATCAAACTGGTTCGGATGGCGTCATCACCAATGTCAAGGACATCATAATGCACGAGGAGTACTTCTCGGAGTTCGCCTACAACAACGATATTGCCATTCTCGTGGTGGATCCGCCATTGCCCCTTAACAACTTCACCATCCAGACCATTAAGATGGCCACGGAACAGCCACTTGAAGGGGCTGTGAGCAAGATTAGCGGCTGGGGAACCACTTCACCAGGTGGAACATCCTCGAACCAACTGCTCGCCGTCGATGTGCCCATTGTGAGCAATGATGTGTGTGACAAGGATTACGAAAACTTCGGCGATGAGACCTACCGCATCACTGCGTCCATGTTGTGTGCCGGCAAACGGGGAGTGGGTGGTGCGGATGCCTGCCAGGGTGACTCCGGAGGACCCCTGGTGGTGCGCGATGTGCTCCAAGGCGTCGTCTCCTGGGGCAACAGTTGTGCCCTGGCCACCCATCCCGGCGTCTATGCCAATGTGGCCTACCTCAGGTCCTGGATCGATGCCAAGCTAGCACAGCTCTAAAGAAACTTTACTATATTGTAAATAAATTCACTGATTAACCCACGTGCTTTAGGGGTTTTCCAAATCTAACCGTTTCTTGTTAATCTTTCCCAATGATAATTGATTAGATCAACCTTGGACAGTTGGATTAAGATTAAGTGACTTTCAAGAAATTGAAGCCAATTTAAAGTGATAACAACAAAACCCCCAGAAGTATGCAATGGCTTTTAAGCGCAATAACAGTTAGCTGAATGTTATTAGAGTGGACCAAAGTTCAAGCGTAATCTGATAGTTTGGGAATTCTTCACTCTCCAAGTTTTATACCGTGCTATAAATAAATGGCGCCCTAATAATAATCTAAATTGTAGTTCTTACCAAAAGGAAAATATGATTCATTGAGCAACTCTTAAGAACTTTCTTATTTTTACTTGCTTTAAGAAGAGTTAAAAAAAGAGTTTAAATGTACTTTAAGATTAATTTAAAAACAGTCCATCAACAAAGAGGCAATCGCCTCTGGAATGACATTATCTTGGCCGGACCCTGGGTTCGCATTGCTATCGGGAGATATCTCGAGCACCGCCCATTAAGTTAATCGATGTGACCATTGAATGCCGTTTGGTAAGGTGAAAATTTGCTAAACTTATTCAGTTCGATGGGAACCTCACGTCCGTGCAAATCGATCATGTGCATCCCCTTACTGTTGTTGGCCATTGGATTCTCCTCCGTTTTATCCATCGCAGGCCAACCGGAGGGCAGGATAATCAATGGCACCACGGTAGACATAGCCCGGCATCCGTATCTCGTGTCCCTTCGCTATCGCCGGGATGAGGAGTCCAGCTACAAGCACGAGTGTGCCGGAGTGATCATCTCGGAGCAGGCACTGCTCACCAGTGCCCAGTGTCTTCATGGCCTACCGGAGGGCACTAAACTCATGGCTGTGGCTGGTGCAAATACCCGCAATGGCACCGATGGCTTCATTTACCCCGTCTCCAATTGGACCCATCATCCGAGCTACGATCCCCTCGTCGTTGACTATGACATTGGGGTCTTGTTCCTGGACACTCCCCTGAACCTCACCCACTTTGGCATCAGCTCGATTGGCATCCGTCCGGAGCGACCGGCAGTGGGTCGACTGGCCACCGTAGCCGGATGGGGATATCGCGAGGAATGGGGACCCTCCAGTTACAAGCTGGAGCAGACCGAAGTGCCAGTGGTGAGCTCGGAGCAGTGCACCCAGATCTACGGCACGGGTGAGGTCACCGATCGCATGATCTGTGCCGGATTCGTGACTCAAGGAGGCAGCGATGCCTGTCAAGGCGACACCGGTGGCCCCCTGGTCATCGACAATCAACTGGTGGGTCTGGTGTCCTGGGGACGAGGCTGTGCCCGGCCCAACTACCCCACCGTCTACTGCTACGTGGCCAGTTTGGTGGATTGGATCGAAGAAACAATCGCCGCTGCCGGAGCGCAATAAACATTTTCCGTTTCTAATCTTCAAGTGGCCAACGCTCGGATAGAGCTACCTAATTCAATAATAAAATCGTAATCAAACAAACCCTATACTACTATATGTTATCGACTAAAATATGCCGCACATTGGTAATCTTCTTATGTAATTTTGGAGGTCATAAGAAAGCTAGCTATAGCATTATGTTTAGATATATTCAGGACTTAAAATTTATAGGAAGTTAATTTTGACTAAATCAGAATTGGCAACAATAATAAAACCGTAATCAAACAAACAATATACGACTTTAGCATGCCGCACATGGGTAATCTCCTTATGTAATTCTTTCTTAAAATATATATATTTAAGAGCTTTATTTACAGAAAGTCAATTTTGCCAATATCAGACTGGGCATCGATGATCTCCAGTAGCCAGTCGCGAACATCCGGAACGGAGCAATAGACGCCGGGATACTTCTCGCGGGCACAGCCCGTTCCCCAGGAGACAATGCCCAGGAGTTCGTTGTTGTGGATCAGTGGACCACCGGAATCGCCCTGGCAGGCATCCTTTCCGCCGCCGGTGACCCCAGCGCAGAGCATTCTACTGGTCAGCATGATGGAATAGGCGCTCTTGCACTGCGTGTTCTCCACCACATTCACGCTGACCTCCTGGAGGACATCGGAGATGGTGCCTCCTTCGCTAGTGGTACCCCATCCAGTCACCGTTACGAGAGTATCGTGCTCCGGACGCTCCTTGGCCAACTGAATGGGTTGCACTGCCTTATTGAACTCAAAGTCGCCATCCAGAATCAAAATGGCCGCATCGTAATCGTTGTTCAGTGTGCGATACTTCGGGTGAATGATGAACTTGCGAACAGCCAACTCCTGTTGCGGTCCCGTGGGAAACCAGATGTTCGAGGAGCCAGCCACAATTGTTAGATTTTCCGGTCCAGTCAACGTGTTCAAACAATGAGCAGCACTGATGATAATGTTTGTCTTGTAAACGGCGCCTCCACATCGGTGATTTCCTCTATATCTCATCGACACTTGATGCGGATAGTGGGTGATGTTCGTGTTCTCTCCACCGACAATGCGTCCATCGAGCTTGGGAACCTCAACCACCTCGTTCCGGTAAAGAGGATCCGCCAGGGAGCTGGCCACTCCGAGAAGCACCACAAACGCGACCAAAATCCGTGACATTTTCGAGCAACTGACCGCAAACGCAGCGCAATTACTGGATTTATAGAGTAACCTTATCAAACTTAGCCATAGATTGTGGTTGGATTGACCATTACTCGGTAATCTGACGAATCTAACGATAGGCTTTGTAATCAAAAAACAGACATGGACAATGAGCTAGTCATAAATCTTGGTTAAAATTCCTTCTGGGCTTTTCCCTAAAAACATGAGCTTGCAAGTTCATTTTATTAAATCAATAAACCTACCATTAAATATCAGGGGTATCCCGCTCTGTAGCACTTAATTGTTGTAGCTTTGGCTATCGCTTTTTAAGAAATTTAATAGTTATTTATATTGTTGCCTAAAGAAACTATAAAATATTTACCCAAAAGTAGGCTACCTTCCAACCAAGTTATTTGTAAATATAAAAAACCATTTGTTTAGTCTACATAATTTAAAGTTTTATTACGTATATCTTAACTCTAAGCCATTTACACTGAAACTAATACTAAGATTGCACATTTCCGGCCCAAGACTGCTGACATTTATCACAATACGCATCCGTTACGATACTAAACGATATAATAAGATGATTGATTGCACTTAGATTTCTTAGGGCTTGGGTTCGTTTCCATTCCGTTCACTCTTCTCAGTTGGTACCTGCACTTTGCGTATTGGATGCAGTTCCCAAGGGTTTTTCTTTTTTTACTAGACTCTAAAGATTATCAGCTAGCTTAGATCTATCTAAATTGCACCTTGTGGTTTGGCAAGAATCTCCGAGTTATTGCACTGATTGTTGTTGCTATTGCGTTGCTTAATCTTAAAACGGAAGTCTTTCTTCTGGTATTGCACATCCCTAGAAACTAGCTATATATTCTATTAGCTATATATAATCTTGTTTAACTAACTTTTCCTAATCATTTTGTAGAGCACGGAGTGCGTTTCTATGCTCTCCGCCCCGGATTCCCACATGTCCTCCGCGTTGGTCTCCTCGTCCGTTTCCGAGGAGCCGCAACAGGTGCTGCGACCACGTCCGTTTTCATCCGAGGAGTAGGACGACATGGTGGTGGTGCTGCCCCGCACATTGTGCTCCTGCGAATTCGATTGGGAGTGGGATCGAGTCAGGGTTTTGTCGGAATCCGCATCGCTTAGGTCGCCAGGGGCTATAGCAGCCATGTTTTCCGGCGAACGACGACTGTGACTTGGAGAAACCATATGCTCGAGATCCTCGAATCGGCTGTCGTTCGGACCGCTTTCCTCCTCGTTGTCCTCGATGGTGTCCACTCGAATGATCTGTCCCCGGCCAGAGAGCATCTTAAAGTTGTACCTATCGTAGACGTTTCGCTTGTACAGCTCCGTGGAATCGGTGCTCATGTAGCCGCTGTCCAGTTGTCCGAAACGCTGCTCATAGTAGGTTTGGCTACCGGGTTGCCCCATTCCAGCGGACTGGGCAGCATCTTCGATGATCGACGCTATGTTGTCATCCTCCAGGAATCCAGCTGCGTTCTTACTGCCATAAGTTGGCGCTGGACTTTGACTGGGACTAAACTTGTTAGCCGCCATGGTCACAAACTTACGCCACGCATTCTTCAGATCCTTGGCCTTCTTGGCGCGATCCTTTAGTCCAATGGCAATCTGCATTCCGGCCGTGAGCTGGGCCTGCTCGATCTCACATCGATAGACGGTCTGTACATTTCCGCCGGCAGTGGGAGTTCCGCCGGAACTGCTGGCCGCCCGCTGGGGATAGGCTATGCCCACGGGCACTCCGGCATTGCGATACATCTCCTTGGTGCGCTCCGAAAGATGACCACTGCTGCGATTGGAACGGGAGCTTATGGAAAGGGCATCAAACTGGGCTAGATCCACCTCTTTCAGGTTCTTATTGCTGCTACTGAACTCGGGTGGTTCGACTGCGTCCTTTGGGGAATCCTGTCCAGCCTTGGAGGCCTCCTCCCGCTGACTCTTGCGTCGATTGAGATACTTGGTCAGACTGTAGTCGTTGCGCAGACTATTGATCTTTTTGTTGTACATCCCCTCGTAGTCTTCCTGGCCATCCTGTTGGGATTTGCCACATGTTTTGGAATTCTTAGAACCCTTTGTGTGAGTTCTCTCCTCGGTGGTGGCCGATATAGCACTGGACATGGTGTTGTTGCACGAGTTCTCGAACTCCGAGATCCCAGTGACCTCGGTGATCTCGCTGTGCAGACTGTAGGCATCTTCATCGGGTGCCTGGCTCTCCGGTGATAAGTTCGGCGGCGGAGGTGGTGGCAGTGGGCGTTTGCCTTGCACCAAAGGGGGGCAGTAGTGTTGATTGACCTTTGGCCGCAAAGGAGGAGGTTTCTCCTCCGCCTTGGGTGATGAAATCGTGATGGTGGTCTTGTTCACCTTTGTGATGTCCACCACTGAGTGGGTGGGTGAGGTCTCCATCAAACGCTGACGACGTGAGTGCTTGGCCTCCAGCGTGAGGATCCTACCCTCCTCCTCCGGCGTCCTCTCCACTTTCTTCTCATACTTGCTGTTCTCCTGGGCAACCAGAGGTGACTCGTAGATCTCTCTCAGATTTCTAAACGAGTTACTGGATCGCAGGATAAAGGAGGCGGTCCTTGGCTTGATGGCCTGACTGGGGGCAGGACTCATCTGGCGACTCAGATCCGGCAGAGAATTGATCTGACTGAAGTCCGCATCCATTTGCTTATGGCCATCCCAAGCGGATATGTCGCAAAAGCTCTGCTTCTTGGGCTTGCGATCCAGGGTATCCGGCTCGAATTGATCGCTATCCGTGCGCTCCAGATCGGAGGGTGGCTCGTGCTCCACCTCAATGGTCATGCTGCCCCGAAAGGGCGTGTCGTATTTGATCCGGGCGGCCACCTCCTTCTGCCTCTGCTGCTGGCCAGGATGTGGATGCTGGTGCTTGGCAGCCAGACGCTTCTTCATCTCACCCTCCTTGCGAAATCCGTCGAGGCGATCGTAGACCGTATGACTGATCTCCATTTCCTCCTCAAGAGGCAATGCTGTACTCAGACTGGGACTCAGTTGGGAGCTCACATCCGAGGATGGTGAACTGGAGGAGTGCGAACTCTTGCGTTTGCTGGGCTCCAGCCGTTCCAAGCTATCCGTCTCGTAGTCCACAATCAGATATTGCGGCGACTTTCGCCTGTAAATCGGTGAATCTGGCTGGAACTGTTTCAAGGATTTGCGACTGAGCGAGCTGTAATCCGGCGTTGGTACCGATGGAATGCTACTCTGCGTGCTACTATAGATATCCTTGATCCTCTTCTCTATGGTGCTATCATAATCGGGCGTGGGAATATGAGCTGCATATTCGCGTTTCAGCGAATCATATATAACCTCCGCCGGTTTCATATTGCGCAGCATATTATAGTGCTGTCGATCGAAGGAGGTTAGGGATGTGGGCGTGGAATTGGCGGCGGCAAACTGATCCAATACCTCACTACGTTTTCTCAGCGATTTGGAGCGACTGGAGGTGCTGCGCAACGAGGCGGCCGGAGAATCGGCCAACATGAACTTGGGATTATTGTAGATCTCCCCACCGGTCTCGGCAAATCCGTAGACATTGGCGGCCACGGAAAAGGCAGAGAAACCGTCATAGGTGCTGTTGCCCACCGGAGTCTTGGGCTTGGGCATTTGTTCCGGACTATTTTTACCGGGACTTCGGCTGGATTGTGAACCAGGAGCCGTTGTTGGTGACGAGGACTTTACCGAAGCCTCTTCCAATTTCGATTTCTGCATCGGCGGTGGTGGTGGTCGCTCCTTGGGTGCTGTTATCTCCTTTTTCCGCAATGAACCCTTGCTGGGTGATCCCGAACCCTTCTTTGTGGTTGGGACTTGACCTTGTCTATCGAGGGTCTTCTGCGACGGACTCGCATCTGAATTAGGCACACTTTGGAGCCACTGTTCAATGCTATTCCGCTTGTCACCCATTCCCTTGGCGGATAAATTCTGTTGCAGCGGAATGTTGAACATGGTGGGTGAACTGGAGTTCGAATCCGGCTGCAGCTCCTCGGGAATAATGTTCAGCGAGGGCTGGTAGCGCTTCGAAGCCATCTTGTACTTGGCAATTGCGATGACCTCGCGGATCTTCTGCAGAAACTCAATGGCAGCTTGAGGGGGTTCCTGGAAAATGAAGAAAAAAGATAAGTTATGGATTAAAGTTTTTTTATAAAAACTTTAAATTTAAAATTTTTAGCTTTGATTTTCGTTTATACCAATTTGTAGGTTTTTTTAGATAAGGAGATACAATTTTTTATAAAATTTAATGTATTTAATGGTGTATATTTAGAGTCTTAGATTTATTAAAATAAACTTACCGCCAGTAGATGAGGCTCGAAATAAGCCGGATTGAAGTAGAGCTTCTTGCGCACATTGCCACTGACCATGGCACGCAGGTTCTCCAGTTTTTCCTCGCTCATGAGCTCATCAATTACGGCCACATTCTCGGCGGGCAGGCACTCATTGTCCTGCAGAAAGTCATCCACATCCATGGCGGCATTATCCGTTCCACCCGCTGGTTTAGGTGATTTACTCAACTGGGGATGCACCAGAACAGATGTCTGTAACGCATACATTTTACTCTTAAATTTGTAAAGAATAATATATAACACACTCACCTTGATCTTCTCCTCCATTTCACATTCCGAATTGGAGTTAGATATATCGCTGGCGAAACCGGAATTATGCTCCCTTTCACTCAGTTGTGGAAAATGTTGCAGCAGGGGGTTATTTTTCACGATTCCCATGTCCTCTTTAAGACTGCCGATACTGGTGCGGGTGTTGGAATCATTGCCATTGCCCAGACCCATGCTGTTCGATGAGTAGATGCTGCCCACTCGACTAAAAGGTGCTCCATAGGTGACCTGATCGTTCTTGGGATAGTTAATGTCATTGGTCAGGTTGTCCAACGAATGACGAGAGCTATGACGCTTGCGTTTCTTCATGTAAAGATAGAGGAACACCGAGGCCACATAGATGAGACCCAGGAGAAGACTGCAGATCCCAATTACCACGTATTCCCGCATGGTCATGCCATCGGAAGTGGAGGCCAGCGTTGTGGAATTGGCCGGCTGGAAGAAGACCTCGGGAACATCTGTTTAAAGGGGTTAGTTATTATAATATTTTATATTTTACTTTGTTGTACTAAATAACACTTACTGTGGGCATACTTCACGGGACTACCGTTCACACGGAAGGCAACACAAGGTGAGTGCACATTTCTGGGCGGCATTAGGGGTTCACCTTTGACATGACTACTGGCATTCATGGCCACCGTCATATCTCGGCACACCAGATGCACCACTATCATACGACCCTGCATCTTCTGGCGAAGATCAGCCTCACCCAGCCACAACAGGAAGCTGCGTCCCTCGTCCCGGAACATTCGGAACGGATAATCCGTATCGATGGGATTTCGCAGGTCCGACCAGCCATTGGAACCCAGGTACTGAGCTCCGGTTACAGCGCAAACGGGTGTGTGAATGCCTTTTAAATAAAAGTTATACAAAATATGGTTAATATTTACCATGGCATTGAAAATTTGGAAAAGACATAAAGTTAAAAAAATTGTTAACAATAAAATGATTACTAATAGAGTCAAAGACTTTCACAAAATCTATAAAATAAACATTGTATTTTAATGGAATGTCAACCAAACTTATTAAATTTTCAATTTTAATTGAGTCAAAGACTTTCACAACTTATAATAACACTGTCAATAATACATTTTATATTTGGCTTGTTAACTAGATTTATTCAATTAAAATAAAAATGTTAAGCTGAAAAACTGGACACATTGTTAAACATACATGTAAATAATAATAAAGTTCTTACTAACTTTCACAAATTATAAAAATGTCCAATATAATACTTTTCAATAAAACAATCGTATAAAATTTATAGAAACCTGTTTTCCTAAAAACCTGTACTACTTAAGCAATTTTAGTTACCAACTGTTGTGTATTATTTAATCCTAATTGTCAACAAATTGGCTGAGAAATGGGTAATTAGTCAACCAGTTTGGGGTTTTATGGACAAGGAGTGATTTAAAAACATTATAAATTACTCACTGGCAAAGCTGATCTCCCTGCTGGGATAGATGATCTGCCCTTTAAGTGGCAGGAAGACAAATGGGATCTTTTCCGATGAGGAACCACTCACAAAGGGCGACAGGGAGCACTCTATAACAATGGGTGGAAAAATGGGAAACGATTAGGTGTGGGAAAGTATGGCGCATAAAAATAGCAACGATAACGATCGACGCTTATCAATTACGATTGGGAAACGGTAGTGAAACTACAACATATTTGTACTGTGCTGTGCTGTGTTGTTTTTCCGGCCAGCCCAGCTCTTTCTTTCGGTCCGACTTGGGGTCCGATTCCGATTCCAACACCAAGTCCAATTCCGATCTTCGAGTCGGATTCCAAGCCCAAGTTAGACCCCCAAATGGCAGTTGGCTGAGATTGTTTATGTTGGCAGACGACGACGACGACGACGACGGCGAAAGTTTCCTTTCATTCATTAGCAGCGGGGAAACAAGCGATTTGTTCAATAATAATAACATTTTTTCCCTCTTTGCGTCACGTTTCGTTTTCATTCTGCAGCCCTGCACAATTTCAGTAGCTGTTATTACAGCATTTCTTTTTCATTTTTTTTTTTATTTTTTATTTTTCAGTTGGGCAACCATTGTGCTGGGATATGACAAAACAATGGATGGATGGAAGGTGTCCCACACACGTGTGGGAGCGACTCCCACCGCGAAATGGAGCACACAATTTGGCTCGGAATTAGCTGGAGCTGGAGCTGGAGCTGCTGGGCTTCCGCAATCCATACTCACCATGGATGTCGTCCACGCAGATACCCAGATCCTCACGATAGGCCCTCTGATATGAAAGACATTTGCATGTGCATCCCGGTTCGCCATTCGAATGGGAGTTTTCCAGTTGACCCCGACCTTTTTGCATTTTAAGACGGCGGGTCAGGAGCTCCATTTGACCGCCGGCCAAAGATGAGGCCGCCGGATTGAGTCCATCTGTGGATTGGGCGGTATTCACTTGAATTGTGACAGGTTGCATATGCTAAGCTGCTGCTTACCCTGGCCAACTTGACCGCTTCCATCGCCGGACTGGCGCACCAGCGAAGCTGTGCCGCTCGAGAGTCCGATGCAGGTGTCCGCATTGCAGGCGCTGCTCAGGCCTGCAAAGAGAAAACATTAAGATGAATTGAGTTGGGACTTCACAACAGCGCATCAACATCAGCCGATTGACGGCTAATCAGAAGACCGGCTGGACGAGACCAAGCCTTACGGGCAAAATTAATGCTGCTGTCAGCGGATGAACCACGGAAAAATAAAAAAAAAAAAACGCCGCATCACCCAGCCGAAGATGCCACATGCCAAGGCAACTAGCCACTGGCCAATGACAGTGACATTGGCCTGGCATTTGCAAAAATAAGCAAGTCTTTGGCACTTCAACTAAGTTGGAAATCAATATAACTAAAGCCATTAAATGCATTGAAGCAAATTATGTAGTTTAATAGTTGTGCAAATGGTTCATTCATTAAAAATAACTTAAGTTTACAACATGAAAACAACAAGCTAAAATAAACTAAGAAAAAGCTAACAAAATAAAATAGTTATTTCAATTTATGTTAAACAAAAAATTAATTTAAAGATATGAAATATTATGTTCATTAAAACCCGTAAAGGATTTTATGAAGTACTTTACGAGGCCGCAAATCTAAAACTTACAAAAAAAAAATTATAGATTTCTTATCATTCTCATTTAAAAGCCAAAAACCCAAAATTTTTTTAAATTTGGTTAGCAGCAAAATATATAGTGATCTGTTATTTTAAGCTCCTCGTATCCACATAAATTATTTATTAACGATTTTACTATTTAAGATTTCAATTGCACCTTTCAATAACAAAAAAATTTCGTTTTAACATCTATCCATTGAAATAAAACAAAATTTATTGCTAACTAAATAAAATATTAAAAAGAGCTAGTGGCCAGTGGCCAGTGGCCATATAGTTTCTTAAGTCCCCATAAATAATAGACCCTCTTTTCTTTTGTGTTCAACTTATTGCCAAGTGTAAAACTCACCGCTCGTGTGGAAGGTATCGCCATCGTGATGTCGTGTCAGATTGATGAGTTGCCCGTTGGTCTGCTGCAGTTCCTCCAGCAGCAAACTGGCCGGCATGAGTGGATCCTCGATGTTATCTTCGCTGGCGGTGGCAGTATAGTGGCTCCTCACCCTCGGATGGGTGGGCGGTCGGGGCGCCGAAGTGGGCGTGACAGGCGGGAAGAGGATGAAAATGAGCTGAAGGAGCAGCGGTAAGGATTGGAGCCGCATCTTAACAGCACCATAGCGGGATGCAACGCACTCTGGGGGATTCTACGGTGCAGCTGCTAACTAGAGAAAAAAAAGCCACTAATTAATTAAAAATATGTCCAAATTCGTAGCTAGCGAAACGAAACCAAAACCAAAACCAGCTACTAGTAAGTTGACATTCTTTGGGGGCCCCGAGCTTAATGAGGCAGAAATTGTTTGGTCCGTTTTGCTGGAATTGGAGCAACATCTACATCCAGTTGTTGCTAGTTGCTAGTTGTAGTTGATGTTGTTGTTGTTGTTGTTGTTGTCCAACGGCTAACGGACAACATTTAAACAAATGTTGCAATTAAAACTCGTTCTGGCGGCAAGTGTATACTTATTGGTTGGGACACAAGGTGAGGAGCTGGCATAATGCTGCACTGGATCAAGTGCGTCGCTGCGGTGGCAGTGGGAAAACGTTATTTCACTGCTGCTTCTGCTGCTGCGTTTACCGTTACCAAAAGCTAGCTGCACTTGGCTTAGAACACCCCGTTTATACCGCTAATCAGTTGCACTTTAGCAGCTGCTTTCGGCCAGGCCAATTTACATAAATATTTCACACACACAGCAAGCAGAGAAAAAAAAAAAAACAACAACAAAAACAAAAACAACTCTAGCACACCGGCACCACAGAAAAATTATTGGGGACTCGTAACTGTTCATATCAACGAGTAGTTCTACTAATCTTGCTTTTTTGGGCTCTTCAAAAGAAGAACAAAAGAGACGGGTGCGTGTGAGTGGGATGGGTAGAGCTAGAGCTAGAGCTAGAGCATAAGCTAGACCTAGAGGTTTATATCCAGAGGCATAATGTGCGCGCGAATGAATGAATGAGAGAAGAAAGCGATAAAAAGCAACAGTTGCGGCCTAATTTGAAAGTAAAATTTCTTTACAAAACGCAGTAGAACAGCAACAGTAACACTAAAGTTCGGTGCCTAAGTCTTTTGATTGACCAGTCACCATCATAATCACCATCCATCTAAAAGCTTAGCCAACTCCATGGCCATCGACATCACCATCGCCATCGCCATCGCCATCTATCACTCCACTTGCTGTACAGTTATGGCATTTAAAAATAAACAACAATAACATTTCTATTATTTCTCTTTCTTTTCGATTTGTTTACGACTTTGCCTTAGTTATTCGGCTTTTGGTTTGATTTTAGGTTGTCTAGCTTTTTTCGGTTGTTTTCGGCATGTCTGCATTTTCGAAACGAATGTAATGGCAGTATTGACCTGCTTTTCGGTTTTCCAACTGCAACATAAGCAAAAGTCACAGCCATACTCGTACCAACTGAAACTGATGCGATTTTGATGACGCTGGGAAAAAAGGCAAGCAAAAAGAGAAGAAGAAGAACTGATGGTTCTGAGATCTGTTATATTTTATGTGGTCTGCAGATTGTAGAATCTCTGTAGTGTGCTGTCTATAGTACGAATCTCCATGGGGCACCTGTGCAGGGTCTTGACTCTTGCGCACTCGACTAAACTCAATTAACAGGTAATTGAACCCAACTGCATAAATTAGCCATATTCCATCTATTCCATCTCATTTCAGCCCATTGCAGCCCATCATCCGCCGCCATGTACGCGATCATTAATTATTGGGCAACACGAAAGAGCGTGTGCGCATTGTTCTAAGTCTGTGCATAAATTTAACCATAATAAACAAGTGGCAGATGCCCAGGGATCAGCTGGATCGACGAGGGATATACCCCTTGAATTTAGTGGACTTGCCCAACGGAGCGTTAAGTTATACAGGCTTAATAAATAACCATTGGTTTTGGCTGTGCTTAAAGCCGTTGGCGGATCTAATAGATTTATTATTTATAAATTCAAAAGTTGAACTTGAAATTATTGATTTGGAGAAAGAACTCTGTGTTTAAAGATAATTTTATCTTGAACATTTTTAAAGTAGATGACAAATTCTGGTCGCTTTGGTAACTTATTAACTAAATAAATGAATTCTCAGCAATCAATGAATAAGTAAAAATATTAACAAACTTATTTAAAGTGTTTTAAAAAATGTTTGATCAAGTTTCGAGTTCATGCTCTAAAATTCTTTTCCCAAAGCAATTAGTCTTTTAAACTTATGTTTTGAGAAACTATATTATATTTTGCATCTAGAAAGTAATTTCTTCACATTAAACTGAAAATCCATAATTTTTTAGAGCAACATTTTATATTTATCTGTTTTTCTACTAATTTTTTAATTTGCCAATTTAGCAATCACATTTATTTGCTTTAACAGTAGTTAAGCTAAATTTAACTTTTTAAAAGGGTTCATTATAAAACCGATCGTAAGCATTAAACTTATTTGTCTATTCGAGTGTGGTGCTTTCTAATGTGGTGTAAAAATAACTTTCAATTTGTGTGAAAGATCATTATCATTAGATTTGTTTCTTTGAAGTTTTATTTATTTTCACAACTTAGGTAAACTTTAACTAATAATGAACATGTAAAAATAGTGCTTCACATAAGTAATGTTTGTGTAGATTGGATTGGGAGTTGAGTCTTTTAAATTCAAACTATAAAGTTTGTATTTGTGATATATTAACACAGCTAATTAAGGTAAATTAACGTTGGCCGCCACTAAGTTTAGCATACCCTTTGAAACCTATGTGCACTGCGAGCGGTATAGAAATTACCACAACGCATTCTAACCTGGCCATTTCAATTCACATGAACATGCACCGACCATGGAGTTATTGGAGTTGGAGTTTGGAGTTGCCTGCATCTCCGGGTGGCAGATAAACCCATTGTCTGGCCGGAGCAGCTGCTACACTTCCGAGTGCAGCAGTCGACGTCACACTCGGCTCACTTTTAACACTTAGAACACGCTAACTGCAGCAGAAAAGAGCAGAAAACTCTGGAGCATCATCATCCCGGCATAATAACAAATTCCAAATTTATTCCGCTGTTAGTTTTATTATTTTGTGTAAGTCCATTGTTGTGGCCAGGGGAGCGCATCATTTGCTCGCCGCCTTAATGTGCTTTAATATGTACTTGGGCTGGCCAACTTAGGGCCAAGTTGGCAGTTGGCCAACGGTTTCGGCCAGTTGTTAAAACCGTATTACGGCAGTGCAATGGCCGTTGTTTTGGTTTTGGTGTGGTTTTATTTTGGTTGTTGTTTTTCACCAAATTACTTTCTCCCAAAAAAAAAAAAAGATTTTCAATTTGGGAGAGTGCCCATGCCCAGTGACCTAAACTCAATTGGCAATGGTCTGATTAACCCGAGAGCCAAGGGCAACTTAAAGCCCTTTTCCATGTCAAACAAAAATCTTTAGTTTTACTCACAGCAGAGCCCGTTGGAAATTGTTGAATAAATTAACACCCTTGGCCGTTAATTTTCCCGACAAGATGCACCTCCCAGGATTGCTTTTCACACATAAACTTAAGCGGTTTCTTTTTTTTTTTTGTGTTGCTGTTTTGCCTTTAACTTGCTTAACTTCACTTTGCTGGCATTTTCACACATTTCTTTGGCAACATTTTTTGCACGTTTTTCAGCATTTTTGAAACATCTTCATCTCGTGCCAACACACAAAACACAACACAGAAACAATCAGAGCCGCGATAAGTGTTATTGTTTTTAGAAAATTCGTAGCGTTTCGTTCGTTTCGTTTCGTTTCGGTTTCTTTTGTTTTTCTTTTCCTTCTTTGTTTGGCCGCAAAGAAAGCGAAGATAGCGGCGGATTTCGCGACTGCGGATTTTATTTTGGGTTTTGTGTTGGGAATTTTCTTTCTTACTACTAAGTAGTAAGTGTTTCTAAACCGCTGGAGACGTCTATCAAGGTCGCCGTCGGTGGAGCGACTGCCAAAGCAATCGCAGCTCAAAGAAGCCAAAGCCGCCAGAGTTTCGTGGAAAAAGATATGGAGAGATGTGGTGGTTACACGCTCTTAAACGAGTTTTCTTTTCAACTCCACGCTCTTATATCTCGAAAGTATAAGTTCGAGCGTAGAGTGTAGTGTGTAGTGTGTGTGTTTTGACAAATTGTACAACCAGCCAAGTGATTTTCTATATAGTTGTGTTGTGATGTGTGAAGGCGAAGATATCTAACTGCAGACTAATTAACAGAGACTGGGACAGGTTCTCGGCATCGCACATACGCCGTGTGGTCGGCGGCGGTAGAAATGACAGGAATCCCCAAGTACCGTTTCATTTCGTTTCGTTTGCCAAGATTCACGCTCCAGTTTGATAAAAGCTTTTGGACCAAGAAAAAAAGGCGTCATTTGTCATTGGTTCAACTCAATTTATGACAATTTACTCGCTTTAGTTGCGCTCGAGATGTGCGCAGCTGCATTTCTTGGGATTTTAAGAGCTTGAGAGCTTGAGATCTGAAGATCTGCAGATCATTGGCATCCAAAGATCCGGAGATCCGTGCACCAGAACAAGTGAAAACTTTCGAAAAGATGGAGTTGTGGGGCCTGCCTCGAATTACACAGCCAATCTGTTTGACATAAGCGAGTTATAGAGTTATAACATATATAGTAAGGCGGTCTCGGGCCAGCCAAACCAAAAAGACAATTACCAGAAACTGGTTTCAATTAAAAACAGTTAAGCATTGCAGCCACACAAATAGACAAAAAACATATAGAAAAATAAATAGAAATATTGGCATCTCCTTTTTGCCGACGCTGCGTACGTGCAGTTTCCCAGTTGGAGACTCCAACCTGAAGACTGTCTTCAGTATGCAGTTTGCAGTTTGCAGTCGACAATCTGCAGTCTTCGTATTTATTCCCATCTCGTCTGGCCAATAATTATACTTTAGTTGGCGACGCGGCTGCAACTATTTGCTTTGGCTGCATTTACAGTTTTGGTTTTTTTTTTGTTCTGGTGCCGCTTAAGTTGCCGCCCGTCATTTAGAAAGTTTTAGTTTCGTAGATCTCCATCTAATGATACCCAATGATCCCGCCTTCTTGCTGCTACAATACTCCACATTAACGCCGGCCCATTTACCCCATATTCAGTTCTCGAAAATGGGCCTTCGATCGTTTTATTTCTTGCATTTATGACTATGACTATGTCTATCTGCGTTTTCTGACGCTCAATGTTCGAATTTGTATTTGTGTGTCAGTAGGAGATTTGAATCTCTGAATTGCCATGCTCCTCTAGGCTCTTATCTATCTGGCTTGAATACATTTGTGGTCGATTTAGCATTGCGTTACCCACACACAATTGCCGCGTATCTGCTCACCATTTAGCCATGCCTGATCCATAAATCTTTAACTGTAAAAAGGAGCCAGCTACAGCTTCAGCATCAGGTCTAGGTCCCGGTCCCGGTCCAAGTCCACATCCACAGCTATGTCCTCGTCCATGTCCATGTCCATGTCGAGGTCCAACTTATGCAAACTTTGGCCACACGTCGCTGGATGGCCGTCGGCTGCGGTGAGTCGTCTGATCTGCTGCTGTTGGAAAACGGGGAAACCAGTTCATGTCTGGGATGAGCACACTGAGGAAAATGTATCCCCATTAGGTTGAAAATTTGTAGGAAAATACATCTGGATCAAGACACAAGTCGAAATATTTATAGCGGCAGTCAAAATATTTTTAAAACCTATTTTTTATATTTGCTAATGTTAAAAGGCTAAATAATTTTACTGACAATATTAAAAGAATTAAAAAAAGAATTATTTTATCAACTTTAATGATTCGTTTGTGTCTAATAGGAATTATTCAAAAAGGTTATTAATAATTATATGGGCGATGTCACTAACAGAAGTTAGTCTTGGCTTAGTAAGCAGTACTAACACTAATGTGTATAAATAATTTCAGAAACAAATTTATAGGATCAGTTGAGTAACTTAATGACTAATAATTTGATATTTCTATAGATTTTTCCCTGTGCATTTGGATTGCAGTGCTCCTCCTGTGCCCGCCACTCCACTCCCCTCCTCGCAGCTTTCCTCCTCAAGATGCGGCTAGTTATTGATACGCTGGCGGCGGAGTGGAGTGTGCAGTGTGCCTCCGGCTGAGCTAAACAAACTTGCAATTGTATTCATAAATAACGATTGAGAAATGTATTCTTTTTTCCACGTCTGCGGTCGCGCACTTATTACCAATTGCTTCTGCAATAAACATGAAAATGCGCTCATCGAACTTGGTCCACATCGAATGTGGAGTTAGAGTCCATAACGGTTTATAGAGGATGCGAGTGTCCGATCTCAGGGGCTTGGTAATTATTTGAACTTTGAACAGGTCGAACATCTCTGCATTGGAATTTTGCGATATGTGGTGTAATAGGAAAACAGTATTGTCTAACCTAACAAGAGTTTTCTCTATAAGAATATTAATACATAAACTTTCAATCTGATCTTTGGGGAGAAAAGATATAAAATTGATTGCTTAAACAGAACTTTTAGTAATTTGTATTTCCTTGCTATCATTTTCTTAATTTATCTCGTATACAAAAAATATCGTTCATGGCTTGCCCTATATTCTTTACTTTATGCAATTTTAATTATATTAATTTAGAAAAATAAATAATACAAAGATGGCAATCAATTTCTAGAAGTTGCTTGACAACCATTTAATTACTGAAACTGGAAATTAATCAATGCATTTCACGCGCAAAGAATCTTTATTTTCTTACTTCTTGTACTCTTTAATTGGCACTTAAAATCAGGTGTCGAACCATAATCTATATAGGTGCACTGTCTTCTAGTTTTTTTTTTTAATTGCCCATAAAATTTAATAGCTGTAATAGAAATAATTGTCTGTCCATGTTTAGTGTTCTCCGCACAAAGTTATTTTTATTAAATCCTTGTAAGCTACATATCAAAACTTTATATCTTTGTGTTTACTGAAAACTGGAAAGTAATTAATGCTCTTCACACATTTTGTTTTTAAGTATTTTTTTTAAAATCGGGTGTTAAGCAATAATTTAAGCAGACAGATTAATAGCTGCGAGTTTAGTAGTCTCCATAAATCCTTGAAGGATACGCTAAGTGTGCATGCATTACGCTTTTTGACCGATCGTTATTTTTTATTATTACTTAAAATCTGTTGTTAAATTTTAATCTGAGCATAATGTTTAATGGTTGTAATATAATTAATTGTCTTATTGTTTGCTTTGTGGTCTTCATACCAATTATTTTTTATAAAATCCTAATAGAATAAACATAATATCTTTATAATCTCATTTTATATCTTTATAGTCTTATATTAATCTAAATTAAATCAGTGATTTAACTTTATTTTGAACATAAAGCTTAGTAGTTGTGAATAGATATAATTGACAGTTTTATTGTTTAGTTTTCTTCATAAAAATTATTTATATACTATACTTTTAAAGAATAAACATTATATTTGTATGATCTCACTTCATATCTTTATATTTGTTTGGTAATTGCCTTCTAGAACTTTATAATTGACACTTAAAATCAGGTGTCAATTGGAGGTAATTCAGCATAGCACACTGATAATTGTTATGGCTTTCGTTTGCTGGGATTGGATAATTAAAATCGTAGCAGGAGACATAGTCATTACCAAGAATCCCCATTGCGTGTTGCGGTTTATGGATATGAATGTGGATGTGGATGTGGATGTGGTTTTGATGGCTTGGCAAAGTGGCGTATGACAGCGCCGTGGGGTTGCGTGTGCATCCTGGCCAAGATTGAAGATCCAAGATCGAATAGCTCCATTACCCTTCGTGCCTCGTTCCTCATTCCTTGGGAGACCAAGTTCCGGGCAGTATCCAACCATCGCAACATCTGATTGACAGCCAACAAGCCAAATGCATTTCAATTAAACGCTAACCGCTACGAATATTTCCATTTCTGGGTGAGTTACTGATTGTTGATGTCTGGTCAGGTGTGCTCTGATCTCCAGCTTTTTTTTTTTTCGTGACCAAGGCAATCCGAAACGAAACCAAACAAGCCGAACCCAAACTCTAATTCAAACTGAAACCCAAACCCGTAGGAGAACAATTCCAGAACAGCGGTCAACTCATCAGTATACTGTATAAATTAGAGCATCAAACGGCGCTTTGCCAACTCGGAACTGGTCTATACTGTTAGTACCACTATCCACTATCCACTGGCCCCATCCCCATCCACCAATTCAACTATTCAACTGTGGATGAGGCGGTGCATGTGGTTGCAGTTCGCTTCTGGCTGGAATCGCATGGGTTTTGGAGCGGGATAGGATGGGCATGAGTTCAATGACGAGGCGCGGAGTCATCGACGCAACTTGTGCACATATTGTAGCGAAATTGATATCAATTTGTTTTAATGGCTGGCCCATTATGGTGCCATTATATGGTTAGTCCGTGGGTTATAATAAAACACACTTTATTACAAGCATTACAGGCAACGCGCGCCGGGACATTGACTTGGACGACTTGTCTAATCCCAGATTGATTCCAATGGCCTTGCTAAATGGCCATGTCCAGCACATCAGACGGTGGCTAGCATTAGCATGTTACCATCAAAACGGATGTCCACTTGGCCATCCCAGACACCCAAAGCCAAAGCCAGTATGGGATCGAATTGATGGGTTGACCAACCCACGGGATCCGGAATTCGGATTATGACGGAAAGTGTGCTGGCCAAATTTGAATACTGGAACTGGATTTATGCTGGTCTTGTATCGATGCCTCTGTGTGGTGGCTCCTCGGGTGTTCAGGATCCTGATTAAGACATAACTCATTCTTCACAGTTTAGTGTTTAGTTATGCAGACAGGAAGTTTATGTGCCAGGTTGATTGAACCTCTAACTCATCACATCCATTTAATATGTTGGGTGGAGCGAGTGAAGAGCACTTTGCCATGATCATGTTTTGCTATACGCTTCAAAAACTGTGAATAAACAGAAGCCCGGCTGAGTTCACCATTTATGCGATATATATTATTCATTGTTCTTAATGATGCTGATGATCTAATGGGCCATCCGAGTCACGCGAAGCCAAAAGTTGGGTTCACTGAACGATGTACTAGTGAGAGATTGACCAAAAGGTCCATATGTTAATACTGTATATGCGATATATCATCAGTAAAAATCGATCGAAATAGTGCGATTTGCAGCACGTGTTCTCAATGTGCCAACATTTAAGGAAATCTACTGTGTGGGCGTTGCCCGCAAAACAATTGCTTATAAACATTGTAATTAGACCCTTTTCCTTATTCCTTTCTTTTCTTTTTTTTTTTATAAAAGGAGCAGGCCGCTGGATTGGAGCACAGTTTTTACTATAATGGCAGACGGTGGCTATCAATCAAATCTTGGCCTTTTGCGGCAGTTCTTGGATGAGTTTCGCTCTGTTCTGAGGCAGGAAACTCCTGGTCTCATCCCACGCCTGGCTTTCAACTATGCCCGCGCCTGTTTGAGGTGAGTGCTGTATCCATCATCCATCATCCATCACACTCTTGATAATCTTTTTAATCCATTACCAGTTTGCTGTGCCAGTATCCCAACAAGAAGTTGGCTACTTTGTCTTTGTACCGCTGGATCAATGTGTTTATCATGTGCAATGTGATGAATGCTTTTGTGACCATGGTTTTCGCTCTGCCAGAGTCCAAGAATGTTATTGAAATAGGCGACGACTTGGTGTGGATTTCGGGGGTAAGAATAACCGTGTCTTCACCCACTCACAGATCATAAAAAAACTAATGATGTTCTATGTTCAAAAGATGGGCCTGGTCTTCACCAAGATATTCTACATGCGTTTGCGTTGCAACGAGATTGATGAACTTATCTGGGACTTTGACTACTACAATCGGGAGTTGAGACCGAATCAGAGGGATGAGGAGGTCTTGGGCTGGCAGAGAATGTGCTACTTGATAGAATCGGGCCTATATATGAACTGTTTTTGCCTGGTCAACTTCTTCAGTGCTGCTGTTTTCCTGCAGCCTTTGCTGGGGGAGGGAAAGCTACCCTTTCACTCGATTTGGCCTTTTCAATGGCATCGCATGGATCTGCATCCCAGTATGTTTTGGTTTCTCTACATCTGGCTCAGTCTGACATCGCAGCACAATCTGATGAGCATCCTGATGGTGGACATGGTGGGTATTTCCACCTTCCTCCAGACGGCCTTAAATCTCAAGCTGCTGTGCATCGAGTTGAGGAAACTGGGTGAGATGAAGGCCGTAAGTGATGCCCGTTTTCATGAGGAGTTTTGTCGAGTGATTCGCTTCCACCAGCACATCATCAGGTGAATTTTTTTTGTTTTTGCCACTTTTGACCAAGATTATCGACTATGATTTGCAGTATGGTGAAGAAAGCCAATAGTGCCTTCAATGCCTCCTTCAACGCGCAGTTGGTGACCAGTTTTTTATTGATTTCCATATCCACTTTCGAGACCATGGCTGCGGCGGCCCTCGATCCCAAAATGGCAGCCAAATTTGTGCTCCTCCTGATGGTGGTCTTCATTCAGTTGTCGCTTTGGTGTATTGCTGGTACTTTGGTTTACACTCAGGTAGGCCTTTGTTAAGCTTGGGGGGGAAACTCAATAGAAATTCATGAAAAATGCAATATTTAATATAATACAATATGCTCCTACATTAAAATCTATTGGAATCTAAATTGTGAAATTTGTTAGTGCTTCAAATCTTAAATCAAACTCCAATTTAATTCTTAAAAATTCACTTTAAAATAAAAATAATATATTTAAAAGTTATTAAATATAGTTTTAGGTGCACCTTCTGAATTTAAACTATTTTGTTAAGCTTTATATTTTAACCTATTATTACTTTTAACTGATTTTGCTTAGATTTGCAAACTTTAATTACTTTCTTAGAAGACCACTTAAAAATCAAACATAGGTAATAGTTATCTGGTATAGGTTTTTCTTTTCTAAGCTTTTTAATAACATCTTTAAAAGTCTTTGCTCAAAAATTAAAAATTATCAAGTATACTTTTGTTTGACTTTTTAAAATTTTACCATATTCTAAGTTTTGCGTTTTAAAATTTTACAAGCTCAAATTCAATTCTTAAACGAGCTCTTTAAAACTGAACATTACCAAGCATAAGTTTTTGGAACCTTGTAAATTAGGAAAGCCAAAGCTTTTCATTTTAATAATTTTATTTTTCATTAACTTTAACAGTCTTTGGAGGTGGCCCAGGCTGCATTTGAAATAAATGATTGGCATACGAAGGCGCCAGCCATCCAGAGGGATATATCCTTTGTGATTTTTCGAGCTCAGCAACCGCTGATGTATGAGGCTAAACCCTTTCTGCCCTTTACGCTGGGAACCTATATGCTGGTAAGGACATAAAAGTATTTTCCAAAATTTAATACTCCATTTTATTTCCAATCCACTTTTTAAGGTTCTGAAGAATTGCTATCGCTTGCTAGCCCTGATGCAGGAATCAATGTAGTTTTGTAGTCAATCGAAAATCAACATTTCTGGAATTTTCTGGGCATTTGCATTTGCGTGGCTGGAAAAAAAAAAAAAAACTAAAGAAAAACCGACAATTGAATATATTATTCTATTCCTCTTCACTTTTTTAGGGTTCTGAAGAATTGCTATCGTTTGCTGGCCCTGATGCAGGAATCAAAGTAGTTTTGTAGTTTTTTCGAAAATAAAAGTTGAATATTTTCTGGGCATTTGCATTTGCATGGCTCGTTTAGGTTGCCGCCGCGCCCAGTGACACTCGGAGCCTAAAATTAACAATGGGGGCGGCCCACGCACACCCAGCGGCGACAGGTGCAACCCAGCTGCAAAATGCAGGGGAGGAGCAGATGATGCAGTGCCTCTGCCTCTGCCTCTGCCTCTGCCACTGCCACTGCCTCTGCAAATGGAGCTAGGGCTGGAGCTCAAGCCAGCCTCGAACTTATTCAGACGTGACTCGTATTGTCATGATCTGACCCAAACCCAAACCCAAACCCAAACGCCAGACAATGAAGACTGGTGATCGTTTAGTATTTAGCATTTGGAGTTGTGGGCTGAACGCTTGGACTTGGAACATGGCACATAGCACATGGCACATGGGACACCAGATGCTGATCCATGCCCTTCACACAGCACACAAGTGGGAAAGTCGCCCATGTCCATGAAACGTTGACCGGGCGAAATGTCATTATGTGCCATGTGCACATTCGGCCAGAACGAAAAGCTCCAGCACTCTCGCAACTCCAACAACACACCCAATTCCCGGGTGCGTGTACCAGTGCACTGAGAAAAATTCGATTTTAGTATGATCAGAGAGGTGGCTAACGAGATTTATAAGGTTTCGTAAAATATATTTTTACTCACTTCATTCTGTTTTTATTTACTTTTTCTTTTTCTGAATAATGACTTTATCTATGCTTTAAATAATTACTAGTGCATAAATTTATGATTTAATTTTTGCATTTGACCAAGTTCTTTTTTATTATGATCATATTCTATTTTAGGAGCCCAAAGTTATTAGAATTGAGCTCTTAATGTATAATTTTTTTTTGTACATCAAAGACTCATCACCAAAAAAAAGTATCTCAATGATATAAAAAATGTAAATTTTTTATTTAAAATTTGTTAGTAAATTATATTATTATTCACCTGTGGGTAACAGATCAGCTATTTTATAGCAAACCAAATCCATAAAAGAAAATTATTTTCCGTGAACCGGCGACTCCCCAATTTGGAGGATGGAGTGGGTGGTCGGCCGGTTGTTCGGTGGGGGGTGGGCTTTTGTCAACTTCGGTTTGCTCGCCGCACTGATTAACATTTGAATGGCAATCCACGTACGAGCATTTAGAACATTGTGTCCATGGCTCTTTGTTGCTGTCTCCACATCTAATTAAATCCCCTATTCGAGCATTGTTGCCATGGAGTCGGTGGTGTGGTGGTGGTGGTGTGGTGGTGCCGCTGCCCCCGCTAATGGTAATCGCATTGGCAATCGCGATGGCAATGGTAAGCGTAATGGTCCAACCACCGATCCGACTGCAGACCATCAGCGAAGTTAGGTTCTCGAATTTAGTTTGTCGCGCCATATTCTAACGATCGGTCGGGTTCGGTCCCCAATAAATCATCTGCAAAACTATAATCGCTTGAGGTCAATCCTTTAAGTTTAAAATCCCTTTAAGACGGATATCCTTGCGGCAACAAACGGTATTGAAATTAATTAAATGGTTTTTAATGGTGGCCTTAAAATCCTGGTTTTAACAGTTGCACTTTAGTGTATGAGTATTTCATTGATCCTTTTAAGGACATAATAATTCTCAGGACTTTCGGTTTAGTCAAAAGTGCATAATAAGAAAGTGTTATCTGTAAGCAACCATTTAGTTGGTGGTTAAATGACAATCTAAATCTAATGATGGTTTAGGATATATCTCAAGAAACTCTTTAACTCCAGAAAAGTCATCAATGTTAACTCTCCAAATCTTTAAGGACTTAAGAAGAGTACTCAATAGTAAACAATAGTTATGTTATGTTAGTTATACTTATGATCATATATAGGATGTTCAAGTACAAAGCTTTTGTTCCGTGGATCGACGCACTAAAGGATCTTTTATATCTTTTTTAATTTCTCCCTTTACATTATAACCTTTCCATACCAAATTTCACAATTCCAGAAAAGCTTTCAGCATTTAATGTGACACTTTCCAAGTACAGCCACCACTTGAGGTCAATAGCTAACGTTTTCCAAAAACTCACTTTGCCTTTGTGTGCTTTGGCTGTGCGTCGAGCATAAAGAGTTGAGTGGACAATAAGCCGGAAGTGACATCCGGAGTTGCGGATCGATATGAGTCGAGCGACACGTAGCTTGGCTAGATTTTCGTTTAATGATCCAAATTCACGTTACGCATTGTGCACATTATGGCGGTAGCAAGAGCAGCAGCAGCAGAAATATATTTAACTATTCATGGGATTTTCCACCATTTTTTGAGCAGGGAAAATTCTCTCCAATTGAGGTCGCATATTTCATGTCATTTTGTCAGCCAATGAACTAATTAGATCACATCGGATAAACCAAAGCGACTAACAACGAGCTTTAAATTCCAGCTAAAACAGCACGCAATTGTTTCGAGAGCAAAAAAGCCAACAGGTTGTGGCTTAAAATGCCGCGATCAAGTTAGAAATCCCCTTTTGGAAGTACTCTTAAATTGAATTATAAAGGATCGTACACAATGAGACCCAAAAAGGAATTTCACCTGCTGCTACTGGCCTTAGTGGTCACTCTAAGTCTCAGTAAAATAAATGGTGAGTACTGAAATGATTTTATAACTCTAAAATATATTGCTCTTTAAGTTGTATTAAGTATGTTATGTTCATATAACATGTGTAAATCCAACATGATCACAAAACGTAATACTATATTTTTGTCAAAGTTTGTCTTTAAAGTATGTCAATAATTTCACATAATTTCAATTAATAATTTACCTTAAAAAATTCATATCTTTGAGTACATGTAAAAAAATTTATAATTCATAAGCTATAGCTAAACAAAATACCAAATAACATTATACATATAATTAACTATAAGAAAAATATAATTGTTTGAGTTAAAGTTTGTCATTAATTTAGTTGTATTTATATTATTTAATTTATTAATTTTCCTTAAGAAAATATATATATTTTAAAACAAAACAAGAGCTTTATAATTCCAAACCAGAGTTTATTAATATAATACAAAAATTTTATATGAGCAGCTATTAAAATTACCATTACAAAAGTTTTCAAAAGATTTATGATTCCCAAACAAGAGTTTATTGCTATACAATAAACCATATTTATTTATGATTTTATACAAGTGTATCTTTAATTACTCAAGTGTTAAATGATTTCATTTTTTTTTTCCTAATCTGGTGTTATAATAGTAAGTTGTTGTAGCATATTTTTTATTTGGTTTTAGATTATATTTATTTTTTTTTTCATTTTTTTTATATTAATACTTCGAAAACTAGAGTTTATTAAAATAATACAAATGCATAAGCTTTTTTTTTTATCACTATGATTTGTAATTCCTCATTATTATTTAATGTTAATACTTATAAATTCGAATGTTCTGTTCAGGTCAAACCACCTGCAAAAATGGCTTAGGCCGAGTGCTCTACGAGAGATTGCCCAACCAGCAACTGCAGGGCTACGATGACGATGTGGTGCGGGATACGGCGCCACCATTCCGGGTGCTGGAAAAGTGCCAGGACTTGTGTTTGCGAGATCGCTCTGGTTCCAACAACCTGGTGCGCACCTGCACCAGTTTTGACTTCCAGCCTGGAAGTCGAATAACCTCTTTTGGTGGCAATTCAGAGTACGAAGAATCCCTGTGCTATTTGACCTCCGAACAGGCTGGACCCGAGGGCATTGGAAGCCTTATGCTGGTGCCCAATAGTGTGCACTTCAACGAGATCTGCTTGACCTGTAAGGGCTCGTGAAAAGGGTAATCCGATCTTTTTTTAAAGCCGATCTTCTCCCAACTTTAGCAAGTCGCCCGGAAAGGGAGTGCCCGAGTAGAAGGTATGTCTTCGAGAGGCATCCCCGCAAGAAACTGAAACTGCCCATAAGTGACATCAAGGAGATAACGGCTGCGAATCGGTCGGATTGCGAGGACAAGTGCCTGAATGAGTTCTCCTTTGTGTGTCGATCGGCCAACTTTGATTCCACCATGCGATCCTGTACACTGAGCAGATTCACCCGACGCACTCATCCGGAACTGATGGAAGACGATCCCAACTCCGATTATCTGGAGAACACCTGTCTAAATGGTAGGCTAAGATCATAGTTGCAAAGCATAACCTCTAATTCACTCCCTGAACCAATGATTAGCTGAGAGGCGATGCGATGGACTGGCCGTTTTCGTCAAGGAGGAGAACAAACGCCTGGGTGGCCCCTTCGAAGTGGACATCTTCAACAACATGACGCTGGAGGAGTGCCAGACCATGTGCCTGCGGGCCGAGAAGTAAGCTTTAATAGCTCTATTCCAGAGTCATTTGAATTAATAGCGGACACCGCATCGCAATTTCATCACAGATATTTCTGCCGATCCGTGGAGTTTGACGACCAGAGCAAACAGTGCATCCTCTCGGAGGAGGACTCCATCTCGCAGAAGGATGACATTAGCATCAGTTCCAGTCCCACTCACCATTTCTATGATCTGGTGTGCCTCGATAATCGTAAGTGGCTACCGTAAAGACCTTCTCCTCTCGAGCCGAGAGCCGAAAGCCGAGAGAAGAGTCAACAGCGACAACAAGATTATAGTGGTGCATCCCATCACAACGGTTGCATCCACTTCCACATCCACATCCATATCCACAGCCATTTTCATTGCCACTTCCCCTCAACCACCTGTATATCCACACATATGTCTATGTTATGTTGTATTCCCGTTGCAGAACGAGCCAACGATTATCCAGATAACTCAGTCACCTCGCACCTCTTCTCCAGCGGCCGGCGGCCAGATACGGCATTCCAGCGGTACCGCAACTCCAGGCTGGGCGGCGAGTTTCACTCCGAGATCACGGGCCGTTCGCTGAGCGAGTGCCTCGACGAGTGTCTTCGCCAGACGAGCTTCCAGTGCAGGTGCGTTTTGTAGTTGCCGTTGCCTTTGCCGTTGCCATTCTTGTTTTGATACCCTAGCAGAAAGTGTTTCTAGTTGATCAAATTCTTACTAAAGCCAATTTTTTTTTTCTGTTAAAGAATTTTTAAGTTCTATTGCCTTATCTACTCCCTTAAATAGCATATTACAATTATAATAGATTTATAGCATATTATTACTAATAAAGTCACTTTTAAAACAGCGATTTACCACAGCTACGACTATGAAGTACTCATATTTAATCTGGTGTAGCATATATTTACATAAAATAAGTTTAAAGGTAGTTCAAAGTTACTGATTTAATTTTGATTCCCACTCAGAGGGTACTTTCATATACATTCATAGTTTGTTATGTAAACAAACGTTTCCTCCTAAAGTCTTAAAGTACGTTTTGGGTTTAAATATTAATTCAGTAGGAATAAGTGAGTTTATTATTCTAAGTGAAAAATAAAGTAAAATAAATCTTATTGTGGCAATCCACAAAATAATTTCAATATATAAATAGTAATAATTTGTATAACATGTTGATCTGGCAATAATCAAATATAATTAAATATTAATATAATACAAAAAAAACTAAGAAACCGATAAATAACTTTAAATAAATATTATTTAGGGTTAAGCTAAGATGAATCCGTTGAAGAGTGGTCAACGCTTCAATCACTATGATCCCTAGAAACTTTTTCTTTACCACCAGGGTATCCCCAACTTCGGCATGCAATGACATTGCAGCTTTGTGGTTCTCCTACTGCCTCACTAACCAAACCACTCTATCTTCCCGCAAATTACAGGTCTGCTGTGTACAGCGATCGTTTTCGTACTTGTCGCCTGAGTCGGTACAATCAAAAGGACGGCATGCGCATTATATACGACGCTGATTATGATTACTACGAGAATCTAATGTGTAAGTGGTTAGACTAACCGTTGGTTGGCGGAGGTGCTAATAGCGGGCTAGTGATCCCTGACTTTGGCTGCTGGTTCTGCTGGCTGATGCTGATGCTGATTCCTTATCCCATCTTGCAGTGAATGTGGTGGGCGGAGGGTCCGATGGCGATCACAGTGGCAGCAGCGATGGCAAGCGACCCGGGGATCAGTCGGGCAGCAACTGGAGACAGCCTAATAAGCACGACGATCGCTATGGGTCAAGTGGTTCGACTGGCGGCGGAGTTGGAGGTGGATCGCATGGTGGGACGGGCTCTGGCGGCTCAAGATTGCCGCCGGGCGAGGGCGTCGACTATAACAGGCCATACGATCGTTATCCGGACTTTGGGGGCAATGAATATGGTATAACTGACCATTTCACAATCTCTCAATTCACCTTTAATGCCCCATTTTAATCCTGGCCAGATCGCAATCCTTATGGCGGCGCTGGCGCCGATCGCGATAGAGATCGCTATCCACCCGATCGTTATGGCTCCCGATATCCAGCCGGAGGAGATCAAATGGGCTATGGCCGACCCTACGATCGCTTCCCCGATGACTATGGTGAGCTCTGTGTTTTGTGTACTCTCTTTACCCCCTTTTAACCCTTAATGTCACAAACATGAGAAAAGATCACCTTAACTCTAATTCTACTGACAACTAATGCACTAACCACTAATTCAGATCGGTACCCAGCTGGTGCGGGTGTTAATGGCGATAGAGACCGCGATCGGGAAAGGGATAGAGATCGCTATCCAGGAGCCGGCGAAAGGGATCGAGATCGTTATCCAGGGATCGCTGGAGACAGAGACAGAGAGCGTTATCCAGGCGCCGGCGACAGGGATCGTTATCCGGGCGATAGGGATAGAGATCGCTATCCAGCTGACCCTTATCCGCCGGAGCGTTATGCGGATAGGTATGGCGATCGTCGTTATACGGACAGGGAAAGGGATCGCGATCGTGACCGGTTGCCACCCTATCGACCACTGCCCTATCCCGGAATCAATGACAACAGCCTGCCCAGTGATCTACCGCACACACGACCCTATCCCACCGATGATGATGCTCCCTTCCGGCCATATGGTTATGGAGGAGGTCGTTATGGTGACAACAGATACGACAGTCGCTATCCCCCGCGTTTTCCACCTGGTCGCGAACGGGATCCCGTGGGCGGCTACACGGGCAGAGATGCACCGGACAGCATTTTCCCGGACAGGCGGTACAGACCTTCGTCCATGGACGGCGCCCGGTATCCCTATTTGCCAGACTCACGAGGGCCACCTGGCAGATACGATGACATAGTGCACAGTGCGAGGAGACCAGAACCGGACTCGGCCAAGCGCTATCCACCAGCACCCATTGCTCCGACGGGCAGTGCCAGCAAGTATGCCTCCACTCCGAACCGGTTCCCGGTAGGTAGCGATCGTTATCCCATTGACATCTACAAATACGGCAATCGCCCGAGACCCGATGATCTTGGTCGGAGACCTGGTAAGTACTTCGACTAACCAACTACCAACTACCAACTCGTAACGCGTAACTCACTTGGTGGCTAGTCGGGCCTAATATCAATATCGATGCTAATTGTCTTATCCACTTAGGTCTGGAACGTCCGCCACCACCTTTCTATGACTATGACTACGAGGAGCGGTATGGCGATAGATATGGACCCTATGACAGGGAGTACGATGGTCCACCGGGCAGGAGACCTCCCAGTGGTGGTCTGTACGGACGCTACGACACTCCTTTTAATCGTCCCTATGCCGGCAATGGTCTAGATGATCGTCCACTTCCACTGCCTGGATTGGGTCTCTCCCATCCACCCACTCCCTACGGAGGAGGAGGAGGAGGAGGCGGTGGAGGTCATGTGGGCATAGGAATAGGTGTGAACTCGGGTCCACCACGACCGCCCATCACCCGTTGCGAGGAGAGTGACAATTTCAAGCAGATAGCCGCCCGGCACAAGATGCGCCGCCACTTTGTGCGACGAGCTCTGACCGTTCCCAGTCTGATTCAGTGCGAGCGGGAGTGCATCGAGAGTCGGGACTTTGTGTGCCGCAGCTTCAACTACCGGTGGGTGTATGTGTGTGTGTGTGTGTGTGGACGGAATGCATAGATACACGATAAGCGATACACGAGCCACGAACAAATTCACATTGTAAATTTCAATTTGCAGAGACTCGGCCGCCTCCAGCTACGAGGATAGAGATAGAGATAGGGATCGCGATCGGGAGTCGCCAAACTGCGAACTGAGCGACAGAGATTCGCGGGAGCTGGACATCCACGATCCGGGCACCTTCGACGCCTCCAACTATGACTTCTACGAGCGCAGCATCGGACGCAGCGATGGCGAGTGCATGGACGGTGGGTGGAGTGCCTATTGAAGTGTCCATTTATCTTGTTTGAAATAAAATTATCTAATATAGTCACGCAAACGTGTAACGAGGAGGGCATGGAGTTTACCATTCGCACGCCGGAGGGATTTTTGGGTCGGATATACACCTATGGATTCTACGATCGCTGCTTCTTCCGCGGAAATGGCGGTACGGTCAATGTACTTCGGCTCAGTGGTCCGCAGGGATATCCAGACTGTGGCACCCAGCGGGTGAGTTCCTTAAATGATGTATAAATTTCAACGCTTGCAAGGGTTTACTTTCTTAAATGAAAAAATATAAACCGCAGTTGGTCCAAATTTAATAAGAAATTTAAACCTTCAAACGATAACCATTGTGTGTTATATTATATATACCCAAATGTAGTGTGTGCTTTTTACAATGACGCACGAAATGTTAAATAGTTTGTGTGATTTGAAAACATTTTTTATAGATTGCATGTTTAACACACCAAAAACTTTACGTGTCTTTTGTTTTAAATAAAATACTCTACATTTTTTTAAGGCATGTTAAGCACAGGTGGAATAAGTATACTGCATGTATACTTTTTTGTGTGTTATTTTATATATATATTTTATATATTATTTATATTTAACAATTATTTATATTTTATATATATCTTTAATATTTCCTTAATATTTCATTTCCTTTACTTGGGTAAGAGTAACAATCATTAATCTTGTATATTTTTTAGTATGGTGACACCCTAACTAATATAGTGGTGGTTCAGTTCTCGGACAATGTGCAGACCAGCAGGGACAAGCGCTACAATCTGACCTGCATTTTCCGTGGTCCTGGAGAGGCGGTGGTTAGCTCTGGTTACATAGGAGCTGGGTAATGAAGATAATCCATTAACCATAACAATCTTTTACTTACAAAGATAACTTTCAGATCTGGTAGTCCCATTCCCATTGAGTATCTGCCAGCGGAGAATACTCTGAGTTCCAAGGTGCGCTTGAGTATTTTGTACCAGGGCAGACCCACTACCACGATTGCCGTGGGTGATCCTCTGACCTTCCGATTGGAGGCTCAAGATGGCTATAACCATGTGACGGACATCTTTGCCACAAATGTGGTGGCCAGAGATCCCTATTCCGGACGCAGTATCCAGTTGATAGACCGCTTTGGCTGTCCGGTGGATCCATTTGTGTTCCCCGAACTGGACAAATTGCGGGATGGCGACACTTTGGAAGCTCGCTTTAATGCCTTCAAGATACCCGAATCGAATTTCCTGGTCTTTGAGGCCACGGTGCGCTCTTGCCGCGAAGGATGCCAGCCGGCCTATTGTCCTGGACCAGCGGGTCGTCAGGAGCCCTCCTTTGGCCGCCGACGAAGGTCCCTGAACACCACCGAAGAACCCGAACCGGAGGCACTGGCTCTGGGGGGCAGCAGCCAACTGGAGGCATCCACTGTGGATGAAGTCACCGTGGTAAACAGCACCACAGTATCTGCTACTTTGGGACAGGCTCCTGTGAATGAGACCCAAACGGGTGACAAAACCAAGGAGACTGAGGAACCAGAGCAAGTGCGGGAAATGATTGAGGTAATTAAAGTTGTTAATTAGGGGAATTTAATTCAGAAGCTTATGGAATCCGCTTAGGTCTTTGAAACCCGTGAGGAAATCGAGAAGGAATCGTATCCCCGCAAATTGGTGGCTCCGGTGGAAACGGTGTGCATGACTCCGGCTGAGTACCATGGCCTAATCACAGCCATCATCCTGCTAATGATCCTGTTGTTTAGTATTACAATGGTGGCAGGTCTAGGATACAGGTAGGTTGTACCTAACAAGCTAACGATGCAGGCTAATTGAGGGGCTTTCTTCTGCAGACGCTACTGGAAATCCATCTCCAAGAATCGACTGGTGGACCGGCACTCGCCAATCCATTCGCTGGGACACTCCCATTCGTCCATACGCACCCATGAGCGATTTACGGAGATTGGACATATGCCCAACATGAATGGAGGAGGTGGAGGAACAGGAGGAACTGGGGGCGGAGCCAATCAGAGCGCATCGAATCGAGCCTCAAACGCTTTTCGCACCAACATGTCCATGTTCGGCGGCTCATTACACAAGACGTTTGCCACGGGGTGAGGAATGGGCCAAGCCAAGTCTCCAATCCACCCAACCGGTCCACTTATATGGGGTGTTTAATGTTTAATGTCTTTACAGCAACTTGGCGCGCATGTGCCAGCTGCCAGTGATAAATCCCATGCGCAGTAACAATCAGAGTGGACCCCATCAATTCGAGGATCCCAGCGAGCCCATCTACACGGATCCCTCGCTCTTCGAGCGTTCCAGGCAAGTGGTTGCTATCCATACCCCAATTAGCGGCTGCAAATCAATGTGTGTTCGCCTTTTATTGCTATTTGTCTAAGCGGTCAACACCTCTTTACAATGGTCTGCAGATGCAGAGGCCCACCTTGTTGCAAAGTCCATCCCGTCCGCCGGCTATTTGGCAGTTTGTGCTGCACCAGTCGCCTTGCAACTGGCACAGGCCAGTGAACGTGGGCATATCGCCTGTAACTAGACACAGAAGTTAGCTCCCAACTTAGGCACAAATCTGCTGTCCAAGATCACACTTACTTCCGTGGGCAGCGACTAAACCGACTAGCAAAATAACCAGACAGAGGCGTAGGCATTCCATGCTGATGAGCTGTCAGATTCAGACTAAAAACTCGAGCTGGGATGGCGATAAGCCGTATCAGTCATGTGAATCTTGAACTCACCACTCTGCATATATATTCGGAATAGTATTAATAATAGAACAAAAACGAAATATTGTTTTTGTATGCCGAAGATTGCGTTCCCTTGCAGCAATAACAAAGTTATTTGGATACCTATCTATACATTTAAAGCATATAAAACTATAATAAAATTAGATAAAATATAACAAACAAACATTTAAGCGCAGAATTTTAGATATTTAAACCACAAACCTTAAAAGTTACATCTTTTTAAAAGCGGATATGTGTAGGAAAAGTTATGTCCTTAAAAATACTGGTCTAACTGGTTTTTTGAAAAAATATAAGGGTCATTAAAATGTATACAAAATCGATCCAATATTACAAACTAACATTTAAACGCAGATTTTATGTCTTTTCAAATTCGGAAGAAAATAAATTATGGCCCGAGAATTAATGGTTTTAGATTTTTTTAAAACTGAGAGACACTTTATACTTTATAGGGTCAATAGTGTCTCCTTTACTGCGTTGCAAACTTTCGACCAAAACTATGAGTATAAGTACTGATCATCTATTGATTATTTTTCGTTCACAGATCGCTGCGAAGTCTGACCATGGTGGCCGAGTCCGAGGACAATCAGGAGGTCTGAGATCCAAACTCCTGTGATTAGTTGTAAATAAGCTAAAGGTTCTAAACTGCAGTTAATCAAAGACAATCTGAGAAATATCAAGACGCTAGCTAAATGCGTGGGACCCTCGAGTAATCGGTGCGGGTCCATCAAGTATAGCCTAAGAACTGCACCACTGACCAGTATCCCAATATTATGATCTTATGCTATTTAACATAGTCTATCTAAGCTTAACAACAGAAAACACAACAATTATTCTCTATACCAGCTAAGAAATGAAATGCAATAAAGCCTAAACTTATCCATATCACAGCCGACTTTCGTTCTGCCCGGAGGAATTGAAAAGCGGTCATTAATCAGCATACGGGAGGATGTAGAGGCACATTGAGCGGCTTTGCCATTGCAGGGTTAACGAGCTAGGCCAATTGCCAGTTGCAGTGGCAGTTTCCGTTGCAGACAGTAGCCAGCGGGGATTTGTTGCAGTTGAAGTTGGAGTCTGCTCGCTGGACAATCAGAGGAACCAGGAGGATCGGTCAGAGGCCAGCACATAAATCAAGCAACAGGGCGACTACCGAGCGTAACTGAAAAGAAACCTCTACAGCTTAGTAGGTCACAAAGATTTCCATATCATTAGGAACTCGTTCCTTGCGGAGCTGAGGCTTCATATAATCATGAATGTGTCCGAAAGCTCCAGCAACTTACACTTAAGCTTACAGTGTACAAATTAATAACATCATTATTCCTTGCCTTTGCATACAGTTTAATTAACACTTTCGAAATAAATTAAAACCATTCATTACTTAAAAATAATTATATATAAATTAATGCAGATACGGAATCCCATTTGGGCCATCCTGATTGCTGGTCTTGACTAGCACAGTTTGAAAAGCGTTCGAGAGGATAGCTTCTTGGTGGGATGCTGGACCAATGCGACTCAATATGCTGTTTAAAAGCTAACATAAGTTATGAATTATATAGATTACACTATTTACAGAAACTAAGTTTGCTTAGCTAGCCCTTTTTTAATCGTCGAAAAAGAGTATTTCTAGTATACGCTTTTGTGCACTCTTCTTGCGCTCCTTGTTCATCTTGAGGAGCTCCGTGGTGACCAGCTCGCCCAGCAGATGCTCCGACAATCGCTGGACGCCCGGATGATTGGGCGGCGCCTGGAATTTCCCGAAGTTTGAGGGGTGTGAGCTGTTGGCCTGGTGTGGAAACTGCTGGTACAACTGGAAAAGGAAGTCCGTGTTTGACGGAAACATGTTCTGGTGCTGCTGCTGTTGCTGCTGCTGATTGTTGTGACCGCTGTTATTGCCACTGGTTATGTTGCTCCCGCTATTACTGCCCGTGTTGTTGCCATTGCCATTGCCACGCTGCATACTCATGGAATTGCCATAGTGATTATCGTGTTGCATCAACACCTGCGGCTCCATCAGATCATGGCTATTGTCATCGGAATCGTCATCCGAGTCGTTGCCAAAGTGGCTGCCATTGCTGGCCATCTGAGTGTGAACACTGCCATTGAGTTGAACCCTTGGTTTCTTCATGTGGAAATTGCTGGATGCCGAAGAGTCCAAATCATCGCCCTTGGGGTTGTAGACATGGGACTGCTGCATCTGCAGATTAGAGCTGGTGCTGATGGAACCGCTTGCGGCACTGGAAGAGGAATGTACCACCGGAAGCTGCTGATTAGAAGCCGGCGACTGTTGCTGGGATGGCTGCTGCTGATGCTGCTGTTGCTGTTGTTGCTGGGATTGCTGCTGCTGTTGCTGAGAATGATGGGTGCCAGCCCCGATTCCTTGCAGCGGCGACGAAAGCGGTGATTTCATCGAGGACGAGGTGGAAGTCAGGCTGCCGGCGCTGTTCTGGACGCCATTCACGCCCACAGAGGAGCCGTCCTTGTACTGATCCTGATAGCCCTGCGAGGAGTCGGCCATCACAGCGGCCACGGCCGCCGCCTGCTGTTGCATTTGTGACTGTGAGATGTGCTGGAGCTGCTGCGAGGCCACGGCCGCGGCAAAGTCCCTGAAGACCTGGTCCGCCTCGATCTTCACCTGCCCGTTGACGTTTTCCAGCGCCGAGGCAGCCGCTGTACTCAAAGCACTCATGGCATGCTGCTGATCCGGCTGGTGGTAGTGGTGGCTTTGACCCGAGCTGTTAAACTGGGAGACATTCTTCATGGAGCCATTCGACTTGTCCACCTGGTACTCGTTGTAGCTGGAGCTGTTGGCCGACTGCGGTGATGTCAGGAAGTTCGGCACATGGCGGTAGGATTTGCGCGGCTGAATGTGCTGATCGAGGAACTTCATCTTCTCCAGATAGGGACGCGACAGGTGTTCGTAGACGGGCGGATCGCCCTGCTTCCGTTGGGAGACGTAGCGCTCGCGCAGGTACTTCCACCGCTTCTTGCACGTGTCCACTGCAAAGGAGGATGAACGTTTAGATACAAAGTCTGGCCGGAGGAGCACCTCATCCTCAATTCTCCTTCCTCACCATCCGTTCGCAGCTTCATCGCAATCAACTGCCAGGCCTCGTCCTTCGTCTCGTACTTCCCGCCATTGGCGCCTCCGTTCAGGTAGTACTTCTGTCGGTTGTAGATCACTCCGTGCTGCGCCACCTCGTCAATTAGCTGCTCATCCATCATTTTATTTTAATTCGCGTTTTTAGCTGCCAATTTGCCTTTGGTGTATGTCAGGCCATTTCCAACACTGGTTGCAGGTAGTGTGCCAGTGTTACCAGAGGCATTACAAATTTAAAGGGGGAATTCAATTAATTTGTATTTAAATATATGTATTTAAAAGTACACTAACAAATCATAACATTTAAAATAAATTATAATACAGTACAGATACTGTACTTATTTTAAAAGGAAAACAATATTTCAGTTAACCATTTATTTATTGTATTGAATGCTTTAAGGTAGTGAATATAATTTGTTTCAGAATTTATTCAAAATAAATTCATATAAACTTAAAAATTCGCTTTTAAACCTTTTAGTCAATTATTAAAACAAATTAAAATAAAAACAATTTAGCTATAAAAAATTAGCTATGAAACCGTTATTTTAATAATGGTTTTTTAAAAACAGGAGGTATTTGTCCGAAATAGAAATTCGGTCACTCTGGCAGTTTTTGTACCCAAGTTGAATTGCGATTTCGTTTCGTACGCATAGTTATCAGTGAAGAGCCGTGAATTAAAATGTTTAAACTGGCCCGTATGCTCCTGCCGCAGCAGCGGATCCTCGCCAGCCCGCTGCGCCTCCAGCGCTTAATCTCCACCAGCGACGAGGTGAACTCTGAGCCCATCCTGCCCACCATTGGCGGCCTGCCCACCGAACTGGTCAACGAACAAAAGCTGAAGAAGACCAGCAGGTAATCAATCCTACCGGTTTTCGCACTTGACCTTTGTTTTGTTTACGTTTCGGCGACCGGTATACATATGTATGCATGTATCGCATACCAGATTTGGGCGTGATTTCGGATGCGGAGTTTTAGGGGTTTCTTCGGTTGCTCGGTGTGTTCATGTGGGGGAGAAAGTTTGTACCTACTTATGCAGTCACGTAGGCCAGATCTCTACGAATGCGCCTGTGTGTTAGTTTTGCACTCTATTGTTCTTAAGTGTGTTGTTTTGTCTACACAGAACCTTATCGACGCTTCAAAATCACTCGGTTCCCATTGCTGCTCGCGTCACGGTGTCGAAAGATGAAAGTCGCGACTTTATGGCCGTCTTCCCAGGTGAGCTGCGTCGCTTATTTTTGCCAATTATCATGCTAATACTAATGCTGATTCTATTCGGTTTGAAAAGATCTTGTGCGTGACATCACCACCGTGACGAAGACGTATAATTGCAACGATGCGGCCAAGTGGTTTGCCCAAGTCCTCCAGTACAATGTTCCCAGGGGAAAGAAGAATCGGGGCATTCTCACCGTGCTCACATATAAGAATCTTGTGCCTGCCCAGGATCTCACCCCTGAGAACATAAAACTCGCCCAGTATCTAGGCTGGTGTGTGGAAATGGTACATATCTATTATATAGAAATAGCTTCCCAGTTTACTATAATCAAATCCATCTGCAGCTCCAGAGCTTCTTCATCATCTCCGACGATGTGATGGACAACAGCACCACCAGACGCGGTCAACCCTGCTGGCACAAGGTGGAAAACGTTGGTCTGACCGCCATAAACGACGCCCTCATGATCGAGAACGCCATGTACGCTATTCTAAAGATGCATTTCAGCCACTTGGACTGCTATGTGGCTCTGATGGAGCTGTTCCACGAAATCACCTATATTACCACCTGCGGACAGTCGTTGGACCAGCTAAACTCGAATCGCAGTGTCTCGGAATTCACCATGGAAAACTACAAAGCAATTGTGGAAAACAAGACTGCCTACTACTCCTTCTACCTGCCCTTCGCCATTGCTTTACATTTAGCTGGGTGCGACATGACCCTTTCATTTTCTAGACTTACTTACTAATCCTCTTTTCTATTGTGTAGCTATAAGGACGCTGAGGCATTCCGCCAATCAAAGACCATTCTTCTGGAAATGGGAAACTTTTTCCAGGTACAAGACGATTTCCTCGACTGTTTCGGTAATCCGGAAGTGACCGGCAAAGTTGGAACCGATATTCAGGACAACAAGTGCTCGTGGCTGGCAGTGGTGGCCATGCAGCGAGCCAATGTAGAACAAAAGCAAATCATGATCGATTGCTATGGCAAAGAAGGTAGGGGTCAATTAAGTATTAGTCCTTATCCATTCTCAAATATTTGATTCATTTGCAGACCCAGCTAAGGTAGAACGAGTCAAGGAGCTGTACAAGGAACTTGGACTGCCATCTACTTATGCCATTTTCGAGGAGGAATCCTACAACATGATCAAAACTCACATACAACAAACCTCTCGCGGGGTGCCACACCAGACCTTCCTGCAAATTCTCAACAAAATCTACCAACGTGACTCCTAAATTACTCGATCGCAACGACATAACTAGTGCGTTTTTAATTATTTGTAGTTTTAGCATTTATATGGATGAACTGTTAGCACGGGCTCAGCAATTACAACCGAAATGAAATTTTACTATACATACATTGTGTTCTTTTCTTAATCGTCTGTAAAATCAAAAGGAGCGAAAGCCTTGCGAAAGTCTTCTACATAAGTCACTTCTTCGTTCTTGTCGAGAAGGCAATCCTTCCAGTTGACTTTTTCGTCGCAGTTAAGCAGATTCTCCGAACAGAACACGTCCCTGAAAATAAGCGATTAGTCAAGCAGTTGGGAGCGGAAATTTAGATTTAAGCGTACCTGGCAAAATGAATGGGAAAATGTTTCATTTGCCGCGTAATCAGAGTGCTGTCGTCGGGCAATTCAGCCAGGAAATAAGGTCCCATTTCTGGTAGCATTTTCTCAGAATCTAAAGCCGGCAAAGTCTCAAACTCCAGATTGAATTCCTCCGCTTTGTCCTGAAATGTATAAGGGAGATGTGAAATACATTTCTTTACAGATTACGTTTTGGATGTACCTCAAAACTATGCTTAATCTTCCAGGCATACCCTTCCTCAAAAGCCAGTACGTTGATCTGCAGATGAACAGACTTGTAATGCCGCTCGGTGAAGCACACCACTTGTCCCAAAGTTTTGAAGAACTTTTTAAGGGCCATCTTGAACTTATTCAGCTCCTCCCAATCCTCGGGGCTGAGTTGAGCTGCGCAGGGCACATGTTTGGTAGACAAAATCATGACATGATGCTTGTTGATGGGTCCTTTAGCCAGAGCCAGATAGAAATGTTCGCCCACAGTGATAATGAGATGCTTTTCCACATCGGGGGAGGATAAACAGAACCAGCATTTATCTAAGTTGAAAAAAGGGAGTGTTATAAAAATGCAGTTTGTGAAAGGCGTAAATAAAGACACCTTGCTCAATTTGAGGTATTCTAGGGCGCTTATCTCTTCTATTATTGTCACCACTTTGCCGTTTACGATTGCCACCATCCATGTCGTAAAAGTACTGACGAGTCTCAGACTGTAAAAGGTTGAATTTTAGAATTAGTTGAATTTGTTGACGGTTTCAAGGTTACCCACTGAATCATTCTTGTTAATGGCTCCGCCCAAATCTAAGCCAATAAAGGGACAAGGTATTTCGTTGGTTGTCTTTTGCACCAGGTCCAGTAAACGTGATTTGTCAACTGGTTTAAGGGTAAGTGCGTAAATGTACTTGGCCTTCTCGGCATTTCCCACATCCGCCAGAGAAATAAAGCGAGTGCAAAGCTCGAATTGCGTCGTTTCATCCTTGGGCATTCGGAAAGGAGCACTTTCGTAGTGGCTTCTGGCGCAAAAGTGATATCGCGGCTTGATTTCGCGGCAAAGAAACGATAGCAGTTTGGAGGCTGTGGCCTAAAATAGATGACTGTGGTGACAAATAGTTATGGAAGGTTTACTCGTACACCTACGTTCTCCTTCTCTTGCATGCCGAATGGCCATTGCGATGTGAGGAGGACATCCACTCCTCGATATTCCGTGGAGCAGTTTTTGGACACCAGACAGGAGTTTCGAACGGCTATGACGTCGGCTTTGGTGAACTCGTGCTCCGTACCAGAGGATTCCCCAGAATTAGCTGCCTCCAAGCCACTAAGATAGGCTATTTTAACACCACTACTCAGGGTGTAGACTCCGCGCCTTCCAAGATATGTGAGATTGGTGCAGATTTCACCGTCCGCCAGGTTTTCAAAGTATTTGCCATGCTCCTTTTTGTTGGGCCCCAGAATATAGGTGGGCACGGTGACTAAATATTATGACATTATAAAACAACTTAAACATGTCTATATTTCAGTATACTTACTATGTTTAAAGCCATTTTTGTAGGCAATCAGCTCCTCGTTTTGTTTGTCTTCGCCAAAGAAATCGCCCACACAACACAGGATTTCAAAGGGTCCCGCCTTTTTGTTGACCTGCTCCACGCGTTGGAAAAGTTGCTTAAAGCGACCACGCACATCGCCCACAACTAAGCTAGGAGGAATAAACAAGAATCAACCTTTAATTTATAATTTTAATGCCGGTTTTATTACTCACATTTTGGTGCCCGCGTCCATAATTATCGATAACTGAGAAATCGATTGTTACTAAGTTGCAGAATGCTGCCAACCTGTTGCAGTAAAAGGCGCCATTGTTCAAAGTTAAAGTAGGCTTAAGTGTTTTATTTATAAAAATCGATTTAAATATAACATGATTTAAATTAAATTCACAAATAATTAGAGCACCTATGCCTCGTTTTAAGCGCCATGACACACTTTGTAGTGAAATTCCCAGTTCCAAAATTTTTCGGCAATTGCTGTTTAATTGACCATAAAACATTCTATGCTTATATAACAAACTTTAACCTTACTGCAATGTCAACGGCCCAAAACATGACATTATTTATGACATTGGCCCCAAATAGCAGCAGATTGCAACAATGAACTTTTGCTGGGCTTTTCTGGTCATGCGTGGCTGGCACTATTAAGTGGCCAATACTCTTTGCGTTCCATTAGATGTGGAGCTGCGTGGAGGGATATAAAATGGGTCTTTCGACTCCATATTCATATCAGTCATTTTTTAGACAGTCAAACGCAATAATGTCGCTTAGTCAGCTATTTTTATTACCCGTTTTGCTTGGAGTTGCATTAAATATTGGTCATGTATTAGGCCAAACCACTATTGATTGCCAAAGACCGCCGCAACTTGTGGTGGGTTTTCTTTTCTAGTTTGATGGAGGTTTAACGGAATATTAATTATTATTTCTAATTATTTAGGATCCTGCACTTTGTTGTAGAGACGGAGGTCGTGACCAAGTTACAGAGCAATGCGCGCAGAGGATTTTAGGAGCTGCAAATGGTCAAAAACAAGGAGGCCCTCCATCTTTAGACACTGCTGCTGTAAGATTTCTTTGCTAAACATTTGAAAAACCTTTTAAATCTAATTACTCCCTAATTTAGTGCCTGGCTGAGTGCATCATGAAATCAAATAAGTATATTGATGAACCTCAAAAACTTAATTTGGACAATATACGTAGCGATCTGAGCACCAAGTTTTCCAACGATACTGCCTATGTGGAAGCCATGACGATGGCTTTTTCCAAATGTGAACCACAATCGCAGCGAAGATTGGCCATGATCCTGCAGCAACAACAACAACAACAACAACCAAAATGTAGCCCCTTCTCCGCCATTGTACTCGGCTGCACCTATATGGAATACTTTAAGAACTGTCCGGATCATCGGTGGACTCAGAATGCCCAGTGTGCTCTAGCCAAAGCCTATGTTACGCAGTGCGGCTTGGGTGCTTAATTTTCCAGTTCGCTTGACACGGAAATTGTATATACAATTTAGTAAATAAATAATAACAACGAATTTGTTTGTTTTTAATTGTCCCTTAAATATGAAAGTCTCCAAAAGATATACATATTTTTAAATAATTTGTTTTAACGCAAAAAATCTTTATTAAATTCGAATATTACCTTTTTTAATTGAAGTTTATTATCTTTTTATAATTAATTTGTTAGTTTAAAACGATAACGGCATATGATTGGTATGGTGTGGCCAGATTATTAAGTATCGAAGTTGGCTAACAAAAACGCAGTCACACTATTAAATACATCGATATATCGGCTTACATTTTTTTTTCTGACATCCGCAGCTTCCTCGTAATCGTTTTTTTGTAATTATTGAGATAAAGTCGGAATTTGAAAGCGAATAGTCTAGTGCAGACGCTGCCCAAGTGCTCCTTAAAAGACAATCTTGAATAATATCAACATGGTTGACCTCACAGACGCCGGTTCGCCATTCCAGCAATCCATTCCCGACTTTGCCTTTTATGTGCCGGCTGTTGTTGTATTTACTTTGGCAGGTGAGTGTACCCTCTTCCCCCTCCCCTCCCCTCCCCTCCCCTGTGTATATGTATATCCCTACCCCCACCCACCCGAATGTTATGCATGTTATAACCCGGCCAAAATCCCGACCGCAAATTGGGTCAAAAGACTTTCACCAAGCGAGCAAGTCAATCTGAATGTTTAGCCCCTTCGTAACTGCCCCTTTTTTTCCTACCACCAGCTGTTGTTTGTCGTTTGTGTTTGGTTTTTTTCGTTCTTATCTTACTTTGTTGGAGATAGAGATAGTTTTAAAGATTTGATTTGTGCTTTTGGCCAGTTGTCTTACGTGTTCTATCCGACCATTCTGTCCCATTCCGGTTTTCTTGCGTACGTAGCCAAAAGTTTGTTCGTTTCAAGAGCGATAAGAGCGGTGTGATAAGAATATGCGACCTGCCACCATTCAAAAGTCCATGTAGTACAGTCAAACCTCCGGCGTTAACAAAACGTAGCTCTTAAAAAAACTCTGTGTTGGGTTTTCAATTTTAACGAATTCCTCACAGGATAAAGTTACACAAAACATGAATTAATTATCAAAATTTTGAATAACAAAAAAACGAATGGGAAAAACTACCATCACTCTATGTGAAGTTCTCAATTTTAAAGAACCCAATTCAATAAACCTTCATAATAAACATGTCTTAGAATATAACGCATAAAATACTTCATGTTTTCCATTATAAAATCTATAATTTTCGATTAGTTCATACTTGTTCTACATGAAGTAGAACAGAAAACATAAAATTATGATCAATATTTCGAAAAACAAAAATAACTTAATTAGGAAAAACTACAAATACAGTAATCACTCTAAAAGAAAAACAAGTTATTCCAACTCTTGATGATTATTAGTTCATTGTTCTTAATTAGCACTGACTGTAGCTTTTAATAGGATCAGAGATTAGAGACATTGATCAATTATTAGGCAAAATTATCTTAAAAAGTGCGAATTTTGAATCAAAATAATTTGTATCACATAGTTGAAATCGTCTGAAAGCAAGTCTGTTTTATGAGAAACTATTGGCAAACTTTGGCGGGTGGCCCTCTTGGCTTGGCTTCTGCTTCAATATTGTCGTGTGTCCGGCACTGATTAGTGGCTCTCCCTTATCGCACACAATATACATTTATATATATTATATGCTCTCCAACTTCTTCGAACTACCTTTGGAAATATGCTGACGAAAGCGAGAGGCAAAACCAAAAGCGCAGCAAAAATTCAACTAGTGGGCATATCTGAGAATAATGAAATACAAGCGACTGATTACACACGAGTGCCAGTTTATTTTCGAATTGATTTTAATATAAATTTTAGAGAGTCTCCACTCAGTCCATCCGAACAGCAGAAGTCGTAGCACGTAAGCACCGGCGATCTAGCGCCCAAATTAAATAGTATCCGCAAAAGTGTGTCTGCGATCTGGGGGGAGCAGTACCTATCCATGATTTGTCATACAAAATTCCTACCCAATCGATACTATCAATGCATGCCGCGTGTCAAACTTGTGTTAAAGATAATCAAATCCATAAAGAACCGAAATCCGTTTAGTTTTGTTTTGCCACGTTGTTTGTTTCTGTGATTTTGTATGCCCCCCCAGAGTAGTAGCATGCTGAGATCCAAAACCATGATTCTATCCCATAATATACCACCCATTCAGACGCGAACCGCTAAAGGCGAGAAGCCCAAAAAACACAGGCCGTTAAAAGTAAAACCGAAAGCAAAGAGATTAGAAAATGGCTGAGGATCCGCTGAACCAGCAGGCATTTGCCGAGGACGTGGCAGCTGCCGCTGCTGCCGGAGGACCCAATGGCTTTGCCGGAGCCGTCGAGCCGGGACATCCCGACTTCAAGATGCCCAGTGCCGAGGAGATCTGGAAGCTGGTCGAGGGCATGGAGGGCATTTCGGACGATGAGCGGGCCGAGCTGAGGGACAGCATCTTCAACCCGAAGCCACCGTCGCCGGAGGACTTTATGCGCCAGTACGGACAGCCGGGCCACAGTTCCCGCGAGTACCTGGTGTTCTTCGTGATGCTGGCCTTAATACTGATTGTCTTTGGTAAGCGATCCCCTTTACGGGGGGAGGCTAGAGTGCAAAGTATCCAAGCCAAGTGATTGAATTTCGCACCCGTTTGGGTTAAGCCAGAAATCAGAAAGGGGCAGACCATAAAGTTTAGGTTACCCTGCCATAGCACTCACACACATTGACGAGGCTAGAGTGTTTGCCTCGTTTTATAGGCGTTCGATTTTTGATAAGATAACCAGAGGTGAGCGTGGCGTAGAATCCACCACAGCGAGACACCCCACAAAGCAGTACTTGTTAGAGACCCATGCCGTCCAGAAGTTGACACCTAGTAGGCCGACCTTTTTCGAAAATCCCCCCCACAAAGAAAAAACATGAGTTTCTCAGGGCCCAACGACAGCGAACTCGGCGTGATCGAGCAGCTGAAAAAGTCCGTGGAGGCGATTGTGGCCAAAACGGGGCCCAGCAGCAAGTTCTCAATGGATCTGGTCAGGCGGATTGGCGAGATGCAGAGCAAACTGGAGTCCCTGGCAGAAACGGACAGGCATCAGTTTCTCGACGAGATGAAGGACAAGTTCCAGGAGACGATAGGCAGGATCGAGCAGCGAATTGTGCAGCATGCCAATATAGCGCAGACCTACTCCAGTTCCATAGTGACGGCAGTGATCTTTCTTCTGGTCTCAATATTCGGTCTCAGTCCCTTGAATTTTACTTTTTAAATGGAATTACCTTATTAATTAATATATTTGCCTTGACATTACAGCTCTGTTCGGCTACAAACTGTACAAATCGCTGACGGAGAAGGAACTCAAGAAGCAGGAGAAGCTGAAGAGCAAGCAGCAGAAGAAGGCCAAGAAGTTTAACTGAGGATGAGACGAGGAAATATCCTTTATAGTAGGAGTTGTAACTTCCGGCCCTGAAACCTACCTTCCATCTTGTTAATCAATACAATACAATCGCCCTGTAAAAACGACTAAATTATGAACCAGTACACGTAATAAACTCTTTTAAATGCCACGGTAATTGTGTTTCTTACAAGGAGTCGAATTAATTGCCATTAAAATCAGGCAACAGCCATCAGCCATCAGGAAATGCAAATCGGGTTTCGTGACCGAACTTGTTGCTGCCCATCTAGGCAATCCTGGCCTCCGTTGTCATGGCAAACACGGTCGTTTTGTCGAAGCGCCTCCTGTCAGGCTGCTATTAATAGCCAGATTCAGTTTCCAGTTACCCAGTTAAGCAGCAACACTTCGGAGAGACACATATCAAACATGTCCTATTCCAGCCGTAAGTGGAGTTTTTACCAACAGTACTTTACTTTCCTAATGTGTTCTCCCCAGGATTCGGTTTCGACTTCCAGCTGCCGGACGAGGGATGGTGCTACCCGAAGAACGACATGCACTTCATCCGCAGCGAAGAATGGGTGCCCGTGGAGAAGGCTGGCGTGGGTCGCTCCTTCGCCAATCCCAATGGCGTTATCTATCCCCGGGTGGTCGGCATGATTCCGCGCTACGGGGGCCACGTTCCGGGCAATAAATTCCGGGTGGGCAACACCTACGGCCGTTCCACCATCGATGCCAAGCGTCATCTGGCCCTCAACCACGATTGAAGCGAAGCGATTCTTAGATCACTTTCTCACTTATAGCCAATCAAAATTGCTGTGTTACGCTTAGAGAAGCACCCAAAATAAATCGTATACTGTAGTACAGTCGAATGGTGATGTGTAGAAAAATGGCATGTGGAAATAAAAATTATTTACAGCTAATTGTCTTTTTTGTTTAAATATTGCTTGAAATATTTATATATTAACAATAGTCTTTAATCATTAAATCAATTATTTTAAAGGTAAAACACAAATATGATTTTTAAGATTTAAATGGAAAAAGTGATAACAATAAATTCAAATTCGGCGCTTCATAAAAGTCGTTTATATCTTATCGTTATCGATAAGGTTTTTCCTATGAGAGATCTGGTAGCGTTGGGTTTGACTTTCAAAAAATTATAATTTCTGTAAGATTTAACGTTTTTAAAGGTGTAACGTTAAAAGAAGATTGTTCAGATAATTTTTTTAAACTATATAAATGCCTTTTTCTCTTAAAAAAGTCTTAAAAACGGAAAAAAACCGCAATTAAAAAGTGTTACCAGGCCTTGTAATTCTGGAAAATACATTGTTTTGGTTCAGTTATTATGGGTATTTTGAGAGGACCAGCAAAAGTCTTTCAGCAGATAAGAGTAAATAACAAATCATCATTAACAAACAACTTTAATGTGCTAATTATCTTCCATGCCACTATCCATTACAAGCTGAATTTACTTGCAAACTAGCGTCGTCACAAATCACATTAATCAGAGGAGCGGCGAATGGTTAACGATGGTCTCAAAATTATTTAACATCTGGAGACGTGGCCTCCACACGAGTTCCGCCCGACTGCAGGTGATCCGCGGTGCCACGCCCACCAAGCGAATATGCATTGTGGGCGCCGGACCCGCTGGCTTCTATGCCGCCCAACTGATCCTCAAGCAACTGGATGACTGCGTGGTGGATGTGATGGAGAAGCTACCGGTTCCCTTCGGTCTGGTGCGGTAAGATCTAGAGCTAGCTTTATAAGGCGGTGCTGTTGGTTCTCAGGCCAAAGCCAAAGATTGGACCCACCACGGAACGAAAGATGCCAGTGAAGTAGGCTGAAAGAGATCGGGGAGAACTGAGAAATTCCATCAAGCAATCCCAGGGTAATACCTACCTCCCAACTGGTCAAGACTCCACAAAGAATTGGCCGCACTCAAATCCAAACTGGTGATCACCAAAAGGCAGACAATGATCAGTGGAGCACCTTGCACCTGCATCTTGGCGACAAGACTGTGACTGCCTGCATCAAGCTCAAATGCTTTTATCCGTACCCGGTTGCGTGTCCACAACATTCCATTGCACTTATCTAACTAACGACTTGTCCCATTATGCAAATCGCACACTTTGCAGCTTTGGCGTAGCACCCGATCATCCGGAGGTCAAGAACGTAATCAACACCTTCACCAAGACCGCCGAACATCCGCGTCTGCGTTACTTTGGCAATCTATCGCTGGGCACGGATGTTAGCCTCCAGGAGCTGAGGGATCGCTACCATGCCGTGCTGCTCACCTACGGAGCGGATCAGGATCGAGAGCTGGAGCTGGAAAACGAGCAGCAGGGCAATGTGATATCCGCCCGGAAATTCGTGGCCTGGTATAATGGTTTGCCCGGTGCGGAGAACCTCGCGCCGGACCTCAGTGGTCGGGATGTGACGATTGTGGGTCAAGGCAATGTGGCCGTGGATGTGGCCAGGATGCTCCTCAGTCCTTTGGATGCTCTGAAGGTTAGATCATCTTACGTCTTAATCATTATAAAGCAGTGACTGCAAGTAATAACTATTTTTACAGACCACCGACACCACGGAGTACGCTTTAGAAGCCCTTTCCCGCAGCCAAGTGGAGCGAGTGCATCTGGTGGGCAGACGTGGTCCCCTGCAGGCCGCCTTCACCATCAAAGAACTGCGGGAGATGCTCAAGCTGCCCAATGTGGACACCCGCTGGCGAAGCGATGATTTCTCAGGTGGATATTACTCAAAATACCCCACTTTTCACTTCCTAATGACTACCTCTATTTCAGGCATTGACAACCAGCTGGAAAAACTGCAGCGACCTCGCAAGCGACTCACCGAACTGATGCTCAAGAGTCTGAAGGAGCAGGGCAGGTCCTCTGGCTCCAAACAGTTCCTGCCCATCTTCCTGCGAGCTCCAAAGGCCATTAGTTCCGGGGAAATGGAGTTCTCGGTGACGGAACTGCAGCAGGAGGCGGCAGTGGCCACCAGTTCCACGGAGCGTCTTCCCTCAGACCTAATCCTGCGCAGCATTGGCTACAAATCCAGTTGTGTGGATGGGGGCATCAATTTTGACACCCAACGGGGTCGAGTTCACAACATTGAAGGTCGTGTTCTCAAGGATGATGCCACGGGGAAAGCGGACCCCGGACTTTATGTGGCCGGCTGGCTGGGAACTGGACCCACGGGCGTTATTGTGACCACCATGGGCGGCGCCTTTGCGGTGGCCAAAAACATCTGTGATGACATTACAGCGAATGTGGTGGACACCAGTTCAGCTAAACCAGGATACGATGTCGATGGCAAGAGAGTAGTCACTTGGGATGGCTGGCGGCGCATCAATGATTTCGAAAGTGAGGCGGGCAAAGCCAAGGGAAAACCTCGCGAGAAAGTAGTTAACATCCAGGATATGCTGCGAATAGCTGGCGTTTGATTATAAGACTCCAATGGTTACGGTTGACTACGGTTTTTTAGAACAAATCTAGCTTACTTTTATTTAACTGTCGTTTGGATTCCTTTGTTGTTCATTGTAAATACATAACTCATTTATGTAACACTTGCAAATTCATTTGTACCATTGCTTAGTTTCCAAATTATTTGTTTAAGTTAAATTATAGTAAGTGAAATGGATCATGCCATAACGCCGGAACCGCACTTGGTGCCAGGGTAAGAAATAGAAAGTTACTTGTACGCCTTGAGATCTAAACTATGTCTTATAGATACACGGGTCATTGTGCCCAGAATCGGGACAGAGTGGGTCGCACTTATGGCAGGCAGACGCACAAGTTGCTCATTGATCCCTGCATCTACCATGCCCCGGAACTGATTGTGGCCCCCATTCATGCCAAGCGTGGCCTCAAGGATTATCCCACGGAGCAAGAGCTGAAGATCCTACGCACACGGGAAGGGCTGGTGGACTCCGTTTACAGGCATCCCATTCTGCCGGGCTACGCTGGTTTTGTGCCCAATGTAGTGAGCCAGATTGGCAAGCGGTATGTGGCTGCCGCATCCGCTGGAGTGGCTCGCCACGAGACCTTGATGGAGCTGTACCGCTGCGAGAAACGGACTCTCCGGCACCGGGATCTGCTGGAGAGCGGGAAGGGTCTGTTCGAACGCAAGATAAACGAAAGGCTGCTGCCACAGACCAACTACAGGGCACCGCTGATCCCAGTCACCGGCGTGTCCAAGGGCATCAAGGATGAGTCCTGTCCACCGAGGGTGGAAAAGCTCTGCTACAGCAAGTTTACTTCGCCGCATTTCCTCGAGGACGAGGATCCCGACAAGTTCATCATCAACGGATATGCCGGGCACATTCCCATGTCGGTCACCCGTTTCGGGGAGTCGAACAAGGTGCTCACCGGACGGGCGTTGTGCAGCTTCTCGGATTACATGTACAAGCGGAAGAGGGACACCTGGTGCTGTGGTCAGGATCTCAGCCGACCGGCCATCACCTGCCCGCCGGTGGGACACTTTGTTGTCTATCATACGGACGACGGAATGAACCCCAGTTATGCGGGTCACGTGCCCGGAGAGACCTACAAATTCGGGCGAACCTACGGCAAGACCACTTACGATGCCAAGCGTTGGCTGGAGGTGCACAAGAATCTCACCGTGCTGCCGGAGGTGGCCAATCTGGATTACGCCTACTGAGAGGGGAATCCCCTTGGCGCAGATTTCAAATAGTAACGCTTTTCGCCGAGCGATGCCACCCCGCCGAGGAAATGCAGCATTTACCGTGTATCGTGCACCTGGTCCCACCGGCGATTGTTGTGATGTATCGATACAACAACAACATCCCCAGCTTTCTATCTACGTCGTTTGTTGCAGCAAATAAATAAGTTTTAATTGATTGTGCGCCTCTAAAATGTACGAATTGTGGCTAATGCCGTGACCAACTGCAGTGCAGTGCCCCCGTGATTGGCAAAAATGTTAAATCGGTCATTTCAGGCAGCAGAAAAGGCCTAAAGTGTCCATAAAACGCCAAGGGAAAAAATCTTTAGAATCGAATTCGAACAATTCAAACACACACACCTAGTGCCGTACCGTTCGCACACCGCCGAGCAGTACAGTACCGCAGTGCGTGAGAGCGAGACAACTAGCGTGTCGGCAGATAACATACATTTGTGTACCTACCTCTCTTCCAAGTGGTGAGTTGAATGCCGATTATGCACCCTGCACGCGTCGCGTCGAGCATTGTATGCAATAAGTGAAGTGCAGCGCCGCGAGAAAAATAAGAGCCATAGTGAAACAGGAAACCCCCAGAAATGCTCCCCATCTGTATAGTTTTGGGTAGTACCCCCCATTGACCCCCCAATTTTGACCGAGATTTATGGCGGGAACTTGAACGGAGTGTGCGCACAGGTCACAAACAAGTCGATGCGACCCCAACTGCGGTCGACTTGTTTATTAAGAGCGAACAAACGAATAAAAATAAAAACAAAAAAATATATATGTAATTTGTTGTAGCAGGTGAGATTTACGACTGTGTGTTGTTAGTAGAGGAGAGGAGAAAAGTGACAAGAGAAAGAGAAGAGAACTATTCGTATTGAGAACGGGGGCGAATAGGAAACCGTGAAAAACCGCCAAAATGGGTTGAGTTCTTTTTGCATCGATTTTCCCGGCCGGAATAAGAAAATTTTAAATAGTGTTTTTTTAAGTGGGTGCCTTTAATGGCAGTCTGGAATATTAAATGACAATAAATAATAATTGTTAAACCTTTCAACTTGACCCGTCGATTTGTATTAAAACGGTATAAACAATATACAGTAAAACTTCTTTAACAAGAACTTTTTAAAAAAAAAAGTCTGTATAAGTCTAATTCGTTTCTTGTACAATAAACAAATAAACCCAAATAAAAATTAACAACATATTTCATTCTGAAGAATATAAACAACACGTCAAACTTCTACCAGTGTTTTTAAGTACTACTTTTTCTTAATTAATTTTCCTAGATCGTGCTATGAAAGTGTGACTACAATAAACATAATGGCATTGATAAAGTCTCCACTGTAAATCAGGTAATAACTTCGGTACTCTTTTTAATTGCAGAAGAGCGAGTGGAGTGATGAGCGAATCTCTGGCCTTGCAAGTGGAGGAGACCAAGGTGTCCGAAGAAGATAATGTGAAAGAGAAAGCTGAAGTGTCCACGTCAAAAGTTCCCGCGGGATCGGCAATGAAGGTGGACACCGATGACACTGGTGGTCAGCAGCAGGCGCAAAGTGATCCGGGAGATAAGGAGAAATCTGCCACGGTGGACATAAACACACTCACCCCCTCGACGCCTTCGCAAACACCGCCACAACTGCTGGCCGTTGAAACTGCCACATCGGGGAGCACGGCCGTCATCCCGGAGAACATCCTGTCGCCGCCCAAGTCAGAAACCCAAACGGATGAGACCAACACGGCCACATCGACATCTTGCTCCCCGGCCTCCGAGGGCCAGCGATCTCCCGCGGCGAAGCAACAGTCAACGGCTCCTCCGTCAAAGCAGCAGAAGGAGCAGGCTCAGCCCACAGCAGCGGTCAATGGCTCCATACCAAAGACGTCGGGAAAGCCTCTTTCCTCCGCGCTAAGTGGCAAAAAGCCCAGCAAGGCGCCCTCCACGTCACCACGCGCCTCCCGATCCCGCAAACCCAAGGCGCTGCCCATGTACGAAAGCGAGATCAGCGACAACAAGGTGGGCATCAAGCTGTGCATCAAGAAGTCCGATGCCGGAGACGGTGCACCCGCTGGAGCCACATCTCCCCCAGTCGCTGTTCCCGCTGCCTCCAAACCGGTGCGCAAGCGCGTCCGCAAACCAAAGCAACAGGACAGCGATGAGGCCGAGTATGAGCCGCGCAAGAAAAAAGGTGGAGGAGGTAGCGGTGGCGAAAAGAAGGTTTCAACGAGTTCGGATCCGGAGGCAGCCGGTGAGCCGATCGAGCAGAGTGTCTGGGCCCAAAAGCTGCCAGAAGAAGTCCTTTTCAGGGTAAGTATAATATCAGTACCTTAATAAGAGCAAAATTTCAATTTAATTTTATTACAGATCTTCGAACATGCTGTTGACACACAGGGCTGCTTGCCCACCCTGTTTCGCCTTGGCAGAGTCTGCTCCCTCTGGCGCCAGGTTTCCCTTAGGCCCACCCTGTGGCGCACCATGGATCTGACCACATGGGTAAAGGAGAAGTATCGCACTGAACTGAAGCTCAAGTGGTTCGTGGACAACCGCTGCAGTGCCTGTACAGAGCTGAATGTTTGTAAGTGAAAAATATCTAGCTTTAAATTATTATGTCTAACTTGAAATTATTCCCTTTCAGCCAACTGGAAAATATCGGACATCAATTGCTTCCTTGCCAAGTTGTCAAGCGGTTGCCCGAATCTCGCTGGCATTACGCTGTCCGGTTGGAAGGGTTTCACCTCGGATCATCTCACATATTTAGTGGATAACATGCACAAGTTGCAACGCTTGGACTTGAGCTCCATTAATGTAAGCTGTGGCGGGCGATTTTTAAAAGCTCTGTTTATTTTCAATTTGTTTTCTCAAGGTTGAGATGAATGCCAGCAAAAGTGCTGTGGGTGTCAACTCGCTGTGCAATGCATTACAAACCATGGGCAGTCGCCTAACGCATCTCTATTTGGCGCACAACCGTTTGGCGGGTATTCCTCAAATAGTCGGAATTCTTTCGGTGAGCACTGCACTCTAATAATCTTATTTAATCTGGTTTATTGATCGATGTTTCCTGTTTCAGACGCACTGTCCGAATCTAACGTTATTGGATCTCTCAAATGTGACCACTCAGGCCACATCGCACGGCGTACTCCACATTGAGAAGCTGCAACGCGGCTGCCAAAAGCTTAAAGTTCTGCGGGTGACAAACTCTCACATAACGCCGAGCACGGCATCAATGCAGGAAATTGTAAGGCAATTGAAGAGCACCCTCTTAGATACTTTTACTAATAACACTCATTGTCAGATGGATTCCCCCGGCTTTCCTGATCTGGAAGAACTGTCCGTGGCTGCCTTGACAGATGAATCACGCATCATTAGCGACGATCATTTACAGCGCATCCTGAAGAGCAGCTCCAAGCTCAAGCTGCTAGACGTGCGTAACTGCACGCGGCTGACACACGAGAGCCTCATCCGCCTACCAGCCTGGGATATCAAGCATTTATTCCTGTCAGGCTGCTCAGTCACACGAGATATGGGGTGGGTTCGATTGCTTATTACTATTAGTTAGACGACAGCCTTATCAACAATTCTCCCAATTAGGTCGGGCCTGGAACTCATTGCCTCCAAGTGGGCGCACAGTCTTATTGAATTGGATCTGGCTTGGGCGAATATGCAGCAGCCCATAGACAATGCCCTGCGTGCCCTCGCCGAAAAGGGCAGGGAGTCCCCGATGGCGTGAGTATAGATTGAACTTGTTAAACTATTGTGTTGTGCTCATAAAACCCAATTGCAGTCACTTAAATCTGTGTGGTTCGTCCGTTTCCGATGAGGCGGTAAAGGAAATACTGACGAATTGCCGGAAGATGAGCTCCATCAACTTGGCATCGTGCCGAGGACTGCCGCGTGGAGTCAAGCGTCTCATGCAGGGAACTCAGGAGCTGGGCGAACTGCGCGAGGTTCTAGGCGTGCAGCTGAAGAACAGCAGCGGGAGCAACTAATCCAGTCAGTGGGCGAGTCCACACACACACACACACACACACACATCGGTTTTATTGTTGATCAGGCGGGCCAAGTTTAAATGTAATTTAAATTGTTGCATCCCTCTTTGCGCGAAAGGCGTTTAGCGCTTTGTTGATTTTGTAATGTAGTCGGCAAACATATTGCAATATTTGCAAATTTGCAATCGCTTGCATCTTCCAATAATGCTTATTTTGTTCATAGGCCCTAGAGTGTAATTATTGTACTATTGTACTAGTTTAGTATTCTCCGCACAGCGGCAGCAGCGAGATCCTCCCTTTCTGGAGGTTCCCGCATATAGATGCTGTGCGAACGAGCAACCTTTTGTAAATGCAATATGTATTCATAATTTAGTTGATTCGAATTTTTTGCAGCGCGAAAATCATTCACTTTCGAGGACAACCGTTTGCAACGATTTTCAATGATTTTTTTTTATTATATAGGTATATCTATATATATATATATTTACTGATTTATTGTTAAGTCCGACCATTGAGCGTTTGTAAAGTATGTATACAAGAATTTAAATTAAGTTTAAAGTGTATGTTTTGCAATACAAAAACCATATATTTACCATAAAGTAGTCGTCAATTCAAAGTCGCTAACTAAGGCAATTTGTAGAATGTTTTAACCCGATAGAACTGTACATATTGGCGTTAGAGAAACTTTCCGATTGGATGTTTTTATATACAAAATAACCATTAATAAAGGTAAAGCATATACCACACATAAATAACATAAATTAAAACAATTCAATTGTTAAGCATTATTAGCAGTTAAGAGACGGCAATTAAAGGTACATTTAATTTAAAATAAACGCAAACATTTTCAATCTACGCCTGGAATTATCTCTTGAGAGGAAAACACAACTCGCTGCTGCCTCGAGTTTATTGTATAATTTTATTCAAATATGCGGGAGATAATATTGCATTACGAGCTATGTACGGCCAAGACAGCAATTACGGTACGAACCCATAAAGTTTGGGTTCCATCAGTTCATCTAGATAATAGATCCATCGGTCATCTAGTTCTTCTGCAGCTTGTCCACGTCCTGAATGTAATCGGTGCCGACCTTGACGATGGCGGCTCCTGTTCCCAAACCCGCCAAGGTGGCGAGCAGGGCATTATCCTGCGGCAATGCGGACTTGATGAGCGCCCAGGCCAGCACGGATCCCATGGAGAAGAGGGTGGCTCCTAGCAGGGCGTATGCTCCCCGCTTATTGTTCTGCACATCCTTCAGGTGGGGCCGGCCGTAGATGTAGAAGGCGCTGCCCACCACCGCCGAGATAAGGAACACATTTGTGAGGTCCTTCTTGGGCAGGATCTTGGGCACGATCTGGGGGTTCATAACATTCACCGCCAGGGCTCCGTAGCTCACCAGGCCGTGGAGCGGTATGTAGTAGTTGAACACATTGTCCCGGGTGAAGGGCTTCAGGCCGACCTTGTCGCATATGCTGCAGGCGTCCTTCGGCTGTGAGCTGGCCATTATTTCAGGTGAAAATGCAATTAAATCTTTAAATCCCGATGTGGTGGGGCCGATGAGTCCTCTTCTTCTTCTTGTTATGTAAAGAACAGGGTTGCCGACTCGCGCCGAAGCTCTAAAGTATTGCCGGGCTACAATCTACGGAATATCACTATTTTAAGATAAAAATAAGAAAGTTTTTGATGTTTTGAGCAATATATGTATGTCGATATCTAAAAGCTTGTAGTATGCTATAAAAATGTATTCTGACAGCATACGGAATTTTCGAGAACCAGTTTTTTTCACTTTAACTCTTAATTTTACGAAAGATCATTTTTGGCAAGTTTATGAAAATCAAAAAATTAAATTTGAGAATAGTTAAACAAATTTAGAACGTAATATATTAATGATCCGTACCGTGTATTTGGAATTTAAGTTTTCAGAAATTTGGTTCCCGCCGCAATATTTCTTTAGCATATATTCAACATATACATGGTTGAGACTCATTTGTTTTTCCTTACAATACTAACAAATTACTTAATAAGTATACAACCTTCATGCAAGGCAGTTAAAACTAAATCATTTTTTTTGGTAGGTTTTTTAAATTATAAAATTTTCAAAATTATAAATAACGGCAGTGGTTCACGAACCGGTCACCTTTTTGAGCGGAAAGTGTCAACTCTCTTGAACAGCCGGCACAGTGTGCAGAACCAGGTGGCAACACCAGCCGGCGCAGGAGAGTGAGTCGGAGAGGGACAGAGAGGTGGGAGGACCGAATGGGGAGAGACAGAGAGCGAAATAGGTGCGAAAAATTTGTAGTTGGCTGGAAATTCCTTGATTTCGATTAGCAAAAAGTAAATATATCAACCGCCGGAAGGAAATCCCAATAGATGTGCGTGCCCCACGAGCAGCGAACAGCCAACATCAGCTCCTGAAGCACTCCCAGTCCAGAGATATCGCCGAAAGCCACAGTGCAGCAGATCCGTGGACGACATGTTGACGCACAAAACTTGTCAGGCACGTAAGAAAATGCAGGTGAGTGCGCCAATTGGAAATGCGGGGGGCGGGGAACGGTAAAGCTGGGAAACTCAAAATCCAAAACTAATTCAATTACACCGCCGGCGGCGACAGGTTTCCTTTGTGATACGGGACGCCGAGGAGAAACAGCACCGGAATGGCGTCAATGCGCTGCAGCTGGACGCGAATAACGGTAAACTATACTCCGCCGGACGCGACGCCATCATCCGGGTGTGGAACACACGGACGGACTCCAGCGAGAAATACATACAGTCGATGGAGCACCACAACGACTGGGTCAACGACATAGTCCTCTGCTGCAATGGAAGGAACCGTAAGTTGTTCCCAACATTTGGCTTCAAAGTAATCTCATGCTAATTTTCACTTAAATTCTTAGTAATCAGCGCCAGCTGTGATACCACGGTCAAGGTGTGGAACGCCCAGAAGGGCTTCTGCATGTCCACCCTGCGCACCCATCGCGACTATGTCCAGGCATTGGCCTACGCCAAGGATCGGGAGCAGGTGGCCAGCGCCGGACTGGACAAAGCCATCTTCCTGTGGGACGTGAACACCCTGACAGCTCTAACGGCCAGCAACAACACAGTGACCACTTCTAGTCTGACCGGGTCCAAGGACTCCATCTACAGCCTGGCCATGAATCCCTCGGGCACCGTCATTGTGAGCGGCTCCACGGAGAATATACTGCGTATCTGGGATCCCCGGACCTGCATGCGCAGCATGAAGCTTCGTGGCCACACGGAGAACGTGCGCTGCCTGGTGGTCTCGCCCGATGGCAACCAGGTGGTCTCCGGCAGTTCCGATGGCACCATCAAGGTATGGAACCTGGGACAGCAGCGCTGTGTTCAAACCATCCACGTGCACAAGGAGGGCGTGTGGTCGCTGTTAATGAGCGAGAACTTCCAGTACATTATCTCCGGCAGCCGGGATCGCAACATCATTGTGACGGAGATGCGGAACCCGAGCAACAAGACGCTGGTGTGCGAAGAGCAGGCACCCGTCCTCAGTCTGGGCTACAACATCGACAAGACGGGCGTGTGGGCCACCACCTGGAACTCGGACATTCGCTGCTGGAAGCTGCCCATGTACGAGCGGAGCACGATGAACTCTTCGGGCGGAATGGACGCCCAGTGGACGCAGGGCGGCACAGAGGTGGCCTGCATCAAGGGAGGAGCTGCCATCAAGGAGTGCACGGTGCTAAACGACAAGCGTTATATCATAACCAAGGATTCACAGGATCAGGTCGTGGTCTACGATGTGCTGAGAGTGGTCAAAAAGGAGCAACTGGGGGCCGTGGATTACGAGGCGGAGGTGAAGAAGCGCAACAAGCAGGTTTACATTCCAAACTGGTTCACTGTTGATCTGAAAACCGGGGTGAGTTTAAGGTCATCTAAAGTTTAAGCTATGTATTTTACAAAAAATATATTTATCTGCAGATGCCAACGATTGTTTTGGGCCAGGAGGAAGTGGATTGCTTCTCGGCTTGGGTGTCTATCGAGGCCGGACTGCCAGAGTGCGGTGATCCCACAACAGAGATTAAGGTGGCTATCTGATTAAAAATCTTCTCAGTAAATTTTGTTTATTAAAATGCTTGATATTTAGATCAACTATGGAAAACTACTGCTGGAAGCTCTATTGGAATACTGGACACCACCGCATAGCATACCACCAAATGAAATGGAGCCCGATATGCATGGCAATGGCTACTTCCAAGTGCCCAAACACACGCCTGTCATCTTTAGGTGTGTTTGTGTGGTTTAACTATATCTAGACTATCACTAATTACTGCCATTTCTTGCTAAATTAAACAGTGAAGTGGGTGGCCGCACTGTTTGTCGACTTTTAGTGCGCGATGCAGCCGGAGATAGTGAAAGCACTTTGCTCCACGAGACAGCGCCACAGTGGGTGACCGATGTGGTGATAGAGAAGAACATTCCCAAGTTCCTCAAAATACCGTTCTTCCTGCAGCCCCATCCGCAAATGACCAAGCCAGAGCGAACGAAGAAGGTAATAGTTTAAATTTCATCTTGTAGAGCAGTCTTCTTATATGCTTTCTGTACAAATATTTAGGATCGCCTGGTGGCTAATGAATTTATACAGTGCCGCAAGGTCTGCGAGCATGTGCTGGAGAAGGTGCTCAATGCGGAGACCACCCCAAGTGGGGGTAATGCAAATAATTCCCTGCAGAATAGCCAGAGCGATGCTAACTCGGAGGGATCCCAACTGCCGGCAGAGGAACGCATTGAACTGTGGTGCAATGATGTGGTAAGAGGACGGCTGGAACTGCTCTTAGAAAGACCTCTAGCTCATTTTCAATCCCTTGTAGGTTGTGGACCCCAACATGGACTTGCGCACAGTGCGCCACTTTATCTGGAAACAGTCGACCGATCTTACGTTTCAGTACAAGACCAAGCAGAATTTCAACTACGATGGTAAATAAGAGAGCCCACGCATAGATCAACACAAGAAACACACCCTCACAAACACAAGGCATTCTTGAATTCTGCAATATTGCGATTGGCTAACCGAGCGTTGTGCTTATATATCCGCCCCATAGGTCCGATCGGGGATAGTCTGGAGCGCGTGACGCGCAAGTATTGAACGCTGGCATGTGATCTCCCGCCTAACCGAAGCAGTCCGATGCATTATTGAATGAATGAACGAGATTCAGCTGATCGATTAACCATTTGTATGTATTTATGCAATGTATTTTTGAGTTTACCTTCGACTTCTCGTTAGGAATACACATATATGTACTTCAGATTCAGACTTATAAGAATTAAGCTTGCGACACACAAACACGTAGATAAAACATTGCAAGGGAGTAACAACTACAGACATACCATTAAAACCGTATTCGCATCTGAAGCATTCTAGACCTAGAGGATTGCGCATATATGTATGTAATATTCCCACTTGTTTCACATTAGGTTTATACATAATTATATATACATAGAACATAAGTATAAGTAATCTTGTTAAAGATACAAAAAATCAATGCAACGGCAGTAGTCCAACCTGTAAAACGCTCTATGCAAGCCAATTTGTACATAAGTAATAAGCGGAAAACGAAAACGAAAACCAGGATGAAAATCAATTAAAGTTATTAAATTATTTGGAAATCGAGCCTGGCTCTCAATCCCCAAGTGTTAATCCCCCCTGTTAACAACTATTCTAAGGTATATGATTCTAACGCCGACGTCTGGTGCCGGCCACCCGGGAATACGACTCCATGGTGGTGAGCAGGAGGAGCAGTTGTTGCTTCAGCGTTGCGGGTATGTGATAACCATGGATGACCCTCCGAGGCGCATTGCTCGTGCGGATTAGCCAGCGGGCCACCAGCCAGAGGCAGTTCTCCCGCAGCGATCGCATTGGGAAGTGGATTAGCACCTGGCTGCGCACGTCGCACAGCTGCTCCGGATGCTGGGGATTCTTGGGCACCCGCACCCGGATCGGCTGGAAGATCCTCCGCGAGCGCACATGCATCCGTTCGCCCGTGTAGTAGTCGCGGAAGAACCAGCTGTGCGTGCTGAACGTATTCACCCGGACCTCCTCGAAGGGCTTGAGGGTGAGGTACATGTTCTCCCGATCGCGGTCGCACAACCAGTACAGATCCAGGGTGCGATTGGTGGTGTTGACGAACAGCACGTACACCTCCACCACCATCTGGAGTCCATGGTGCCCCTGCTGCTGACCACCCAGTCCCACCAGCTGCTGGCCATCGCGGTTGTTCTGCGCTATTTGGAGCGCCATCTCCAGCAGGGTGCTTAGCCGATCCGCAATGGCTACCAGATCAATTTTCGATGTTTTTTTGGCCGCCCAATTTGGTAGAATCAAAATTAAACAAGCAGAACAACAAGTATAGATAAAATTCACTCCTTATCACGATTTACGGTAACATTTTTCGCAGTTTGTTGGCAGGCACTGGTCATACTTTCGATAGGCGGTCTATCGATAACGGGGTGAACAGCTGACTTTCACCCATCTCGAATGACAAAGTAAACAAATAAACATCCAGAAAAAAAAAAAATGGCATTTTGCATAGCAGTTATTGGCAAGGATGTAAACTATATTTCCTTTTCGTTTATAAGATTAATAACTGGTTGAGTGTCCGCAGAATGCCCCACTGTACTTGACCACAGCCGATATGGAGCAGGAACTGGATTTGCAATATCACGTACACGCCGCATTGGACGTCGTGGAGGAAAAGTGTTTGATTGGCAAGGGTGCTCCCGAGTCCAAGGAACTCTACCTGGGACTGCTCTACTCCACGGAGAACCACAAAATGTACTTACATCTAGCATTAGCCATTGTTGATTTATAAGCTCAAGATTGAATCCGTTGCAGCTATGGCTTTGTGACGAATACCCGGGTGAAATTCATAGTGGTCATCGATTCCAGCAATGTGGCTCTGCGCGAGAACGAAGTGCGAGCGGTGGGTTTTTTATCCCCTCGCGAGTTTTATACTTTTTAACTCCACTTAACCCCACTTTCCAGATCTTCCGCAATCTCCACTTGCTCTACACAGACGCCATCTGCAATCCATTCTACATTCCCGGCGAATCACTAACTTCCAAGTGAGCTGCCTTAATACAAGTTTATCCAGCTATTGTTAGCATATCTCTCCTTACAGGAAATTCGATCGCGCTGTCCAGAAACTGATGAGCGGCAATGCCTAGCTGTAGATTCAAACTAAGCTAACAATAAAGCGAATTATTTATCAAGCCAATTGATTTTTTAGGAGGGATGTCAAGGTGGCTTGACCAAAGCCCACCCGAAGCTAGATTCGAAAAAGAGATACGCACCAGAGCCACGCAAACCGGTCGCTGTCTGGCTGGCCGATGCCAAATAATATGCAAATTTCAAATTTTTGACGATAATAATTCGAGAATTAATTATATCTTTACAATGTGTCTGCTAGTTGACACATAGTTAGTTAATGTCTCTGTGTCGAACTCGTCTTCCGTCTGCTTTTTGGGCCTTGTTTTGTGGGATCCGCTGTAATCTTTAACTTAACGGCATGAAAACATGTATTTTGTCTTATCTTATGCATAATTAATGAAATTAAATCCTCCGCGTCACTCGGACTTGAACTTGGGCGCCACCATCGTGATACTCCGGTATAAAAAGCTGGCAGAAGTTTCAGTTCGATATCAGTAAGCCTTCTCCAGTCTTTCTACAAACAACATGAAGTTCTTCGTAAGTGGCTTTATCACAAAGCGATCCTCAAGGGATACTAACGCTTATTGAACTCCTCCTGTAGATTGCTTTCGCCTGCCTTTTGGCCGTTGCTGTTGCCAACGAGGATGCCGGAGTTCTCCGTAGCGAGTCGGAGGTCAATGTGGACAACTTCAAGTATGCGCTGAAGCTCGACAACTCTGTGGACGTCGAGCAGGCTGGTCAGCTGCATGGTGATGAGTGGAAGGTCAACGGACAGCAGTCCTGGACTTCTCCCGAAGGAGAGGCAGTGTCCCTCACCTACGTCGCCGATGCCAACGGATACCAGGTGCTGAGCGCCAACCCCCCTCTGCCCACCCCTCCCCCAATCCCAGAGGCCATCCAGCGCGCCCTGGAGTGGATCGCCGCCCACCCTTCCAAGGAATAAGTTGTTTGTTATTGAATAAAAGCATTTAAAAGTATTCCCATCTGAGTGTCTCTGTTTTTTTGTTCTTCCCCTTAAAGGATGAATGAAACTTTTTGCATTGCCTCCAAAAAATTTGAATATTTTAACATACCTCATTAATAGACAAAAACTAGTTTCCCAAACACATACAGCAAGTGAAGGTCAGCCAGATAGAGAAAGAAATATGAATATTTGATTGTGACTGACAGATGGCCATTATAGATTAGCTGCCCCTGAACTTGGGGTGCCCCGGAAAGTTTTCACTTTCGATTACAATTTTGTTGGCCAAGGCAGGCAGTTGGAAATCTCTTTTGCATACTTTCAGGCATTCGAGTACCACCCACGCTATAAAAGATCTCTTTCAACATGCGACCATGAACACATAATTTTTCTCACACAGGGCGCTACTTTCCAAAAATGCACTATTTGAATTCATGATGAATTCACAAATTGACAATTTCATTTGCATGGATAATAACTTTACCGAATTATGATGAAGGTTTGAGTTGGTCCAACAAAGTTGCAATACATTTATAAATTTCTTATATTTGAAATAAAGGTTATACATTCCTGGAAGATCTTTGAAAATTAATGTGCATTTCTATTTGAGCACTGAAAAAAAAATATTAAAAGTATTCAATTTTCAACTAGTATTTTTTTCTGTGTGGAGACATTTAGCAATCCCTATCTAGTCACGTGATCGCGATGCGATAATCAGGCTCTTTGTTGTCATAATTTCCGATGCAAATGCTAGGCTTTTTGGACTTTGAAAGTGATGCGATGCGATGAGACCGTTTAAGTTGTGCGAAGCAGAGTATGCCACTGCAATTATGATGACGTTCAAAGTGAATGCCATCGTAAATTACGAGGCAACCAGGGGCAAAAATAGCTGTATCTGAAGTAACTAAAGTGGTCGATCCGCCGCGACGATCAAGGCTAGACCTCGTCGCCTCACAAATGTCAAAATAACATTGAAACGCTTGCGCTCCGTTTGCCGATTTGCCGTCAAATCCGTTGATTCTGATTTGGATTTGGATTCTGAGTCTCTGAGGCTAATCGCTCTGGAAGCACAACATGAAATCCCCGACAGACTGCTGGCGATGGAAACGAATCCGCAACGATGATGGATTGAGATGTTGAGAGGGCGATGTCAGATGCCAACATGCTCACAGGGGATCGATTCAAATCGCTGGAACACTGGCCGCAAAAATTACAACTAAATTCTGTAACCAGCTTGAGGCAGATAAAGGAAAATATAATTCTTAGGGGTAAAATAATTAGGTAACTATTTTATTTTTGTAACGAAAATTGTATTAAATAGGTTTGAACAGTTTCGATCAAAGAAAACGAAAAACGAAAAAAGTAACAAATATCAAAATAAAAAAAATCTTTTTGAAATAAAAAATTCTTGAATATTTAAAAAAGTCATATGTCATTAATGGATAGGTGAACAATGTTTGAGGAAATTATTTTCGTAAAGACAAAAATATACATATTTAATAGGTTTAACAAAGAAGTTAAAATTTATCTTTGAGATTGAGAAAAAAAATGTATATATATCTGACATATTTATAAATGTCTGTTAAAATGTGGCTGTTAATTTTAAAACTAAAAAACAAAACTCTCTATATATTTGCAAATATAATCAATAAAATATTTTGCTTCCATTTTATAAAAAATAGTCTCGAACAGAAACCAAACCAATTCGCTTTTGTAACTGGCAGTGTAAATATATTTAGGCAGATGCAGCGGTCACCGAATTTCCCGGATTCTTTGCGGCGCCAAGAATTCATTTCTCCGGCTCAGCTGTTGGCCATTACTAATTCCTGTCGTTTTGAGATATGTGTCTCATATATTTTTTGCTAATAAATTTATAAAAACATAAACAAATGGTCAATATGTCACCGTGACGTCAACTTTTTGGCGGCTGCTTTGGCCGGTGCTGTCATAATTCGTAAACAACATTTGGTTTCCTCAATTTTCCCAATATTCCATAGCAACATAAACAAATAAGTTGTTCCGAAAAATGTGTGCCACACAAATAGCAATTTTATTGAAATGTATAAATCAATTTGCATATCATGGCTGGCATTAAACAAAGCGAAAATTAATACTATGGCTGATTTAAATCTGAATAAACGAACGGGGTATAGGAAGCAGAATCGCAAGAGACAATATTCGAATCGTTTATAAAAATGTTTTAGCATGTTGTTCATTTGATATTTTCATGTGCGAGTGTATTGGTGATTGTGTGTGTGTGTGGAATAATTCCATCCTATTAATTAATGTCGATTTTTTAATTGGTCGTTAATTTGGTCGAGTTATAAAATGATTTTATGGGCCCGCCGTGATCGATTCATAAAGCGTGTCACCGCCGTGAACGTGAAAATATGATCAGATTTGCTCCAATTATGGGTGGATATCTGATACATATTTAAATGAGCACCACTTAACTGTACACTGGGGGAAATCGGAGCATTGAACTTGATCGTCTTTCGGTTTCAATTTGAGTTTCGTATTTTTAATGCTCAATAAAAGCGAAACCGAAAAGCTGTAGATCAGGGTTGATTTTTTTTAGTTTCTGGCGGAATTCGTAGTTATTTAATTAGCCATAAACAAAGACCAGTATCGATCGAAAAAGTATAAAAAGAGATGTTCATTTCAATAAGTTAATTTAAGACCCCCTTTATCGTCATTAAGCGTGTTTAATTTTAACAGATGGTGACAGCGCATTTGGAACTGGTTTATCATCAGCATGATACTAAAATATCGCTATCTTTCCTCCGATTTGAATGGGGATTTTTCCCGCAGTGCTGAGTAAATATAGTGATTGTTAAGCTTAGCAAACCACTACAAAATCGTATTGGGTGGGTGGATGTGGATGGTGGTAGCGGCATTTCTGCTGCCCAGGCACAGTAAATTTGGCCAGTGCTCGGTGGTTTTACAGTGCTTTTCGTATTTTCCATTCTTTTTTCACTCCAAACGAAAATTAGAAACACATTTTAAAATTTCCACACGGATTTGTGTGTGCGTTTCACCTCTCCTTTGTTTATTTCCCACTGGTTTTATTTTCGAAATGCTGTTGAAAACCATAAATTAGCTTGTTACTTTTGGAATGCTCGGCGATGTGTGTGGGTGTATTCGGTTCTTGGGTTCTTGGGCATCTCGAGAGCCAAATGCAGAAGTGGGGAACTGTTTCAGTCGTTAGCGGTGATCGATCTGGTGAACAACTAGCACAGGATTTAACATGGACAACATTGTGAGTGCAGCGAGATTAAAGAAAACCTTAAGGACAACCAATTAAATATGGTGAAAAACAACGACAATTTATAATAAAAGCTGAAAACAGCTTACAGAGTACGAGTAATTTTGTTCCGTCTTTCTTTTTTGCCATGTATATATAGATTAAATTTGGATGCGTCGCAGTAGTTAAGAAAGATTATAACCCTGTTTGACTTCCCTCAAAATTCGATCATTCATTCAGGAAAATTAATTCAGTTTATATTTAATAAGTAATTCAAAATTCTTTTCAGGATGAAGACCTGACCCCCGAGCAGATTGCCGTTCTGCAGAAGGCATTCAACAGCTTCGACCACCAGAAGACTGGTTCCATTCCCACCGAAATGGTGGCCGATATCCTGCGTCTGATGGGTCAGCCCTTCGACAGGCAGATCCTCGATGAGCTGATCAACGAGGTCGACGAGGACAGTGAGTATTAAAGTCATTTGAAGTCTGGTTGACAAACTAAGCCTCTGATCCCCTTGCAGAGTCTGGTCGCTTGGAGTTCGAGGAGTTCGTCCAGCTGGCCGCCAAATTCATCGTGGAGGAGGATGACGAGGCCATGCAGAAGGAGCTGCGCGAAGCCTTCCGCCTGTACGACAAGCAGGGCAATGGCTACATTCCCACCTCCTGTCTGAAGGAGATCCTCAAGGAGCTGGACGACCAGCTGACCGACACCGAGCTCAACATGATGATCGAGGAAATCGATTCCGACGGCTCCGGCACCGTGGACTTTGATGGTGAGTACGAGTGTACGAGTGTATGCGGACCAATTAGCCGCCGTCAGTCTGGCGATAAAATTCTCAAATTCTTTGGCCCGTTGCCATGGTGTTTTCCACTCAAATTATATCAATTTGTTCGAGGGGAGATGCCCTTGTGGCTGCCTATTTATAGATCTTTAGATCTTTACATACAGATTTTGGACTAGATCTTAAGGAGTTATTTTGGACTAGATTTTAAGGAGCTATATAACTCTGATCTTGGAAATAAATTTTAAAATATTGCTCACATTTGTAGAGGTTTTGAGTGCACCAAAATATAATTTATATCTTTATTATTTAATACTGAGTATGTCATTTTTTAATAACCTGATTCCTATTGAACTGTGTCTTTAACTAATTTATTTAATTCAAAATCAATATTTTACTCACACTTAACAGGCTTTCAATAAACCAAAAGATTGTTTAAAGTACTGTATGCAATATTTTATATTTCCGGAGACATTACCGTATCGACTTTTAATTTATTAAATTACGGCTTTAACACATTTAATTCTAAGTTATTAGTCTTAAAATTGTTTTATAATGAGACAAATTAATTGTAAAAATTACATCTTCAAGTGGATCTCATTGAATTGCATGTTTGTAACAAATCTTAATTGTAGTTATATTTTTTTTAATTCTCGTCATATTGGATAGCTTTATCACTAAGCGCTTTATTTATTTATTAAGCTTAATCGATTTTAATTAATTGTTCAACTTTCCCATCCGTTTCATTCACAGAATTCATGGAGATGATGACTGGCGAGTAAGCATTTTGGACCCATCCTATCTTATTAATGTCTACTACCCACAATCCCCGAGGCTTGAATAAACGTTTTGTATTTTATTTCTACGATTGAGTAATCATAATTGCGCTATAAATAATCGGCTTGTTCAGGAACTACTGCTGAGTTAGAAAAACCCAAAGCGCGGCAAACATTCTATGGCTGCATTGCATCTGCATCCGAGTTGAGTC